GTGGTTGACTGAAAATTTTCCTATCTTATATCGCGATAACCAACTCGCCTACCAACGAGGCTAGGATCACAAAGCAGCTGCGATCGACGACTCGTTCGTCGAAAGTTGAAAACTCTTGATCCCTCCGCGACGCAACCGCGATGTAACGATTTGTTTGCAATTTAAGGACAGACCATCCTCCGCTACCGCGACGTGAATCGGACGACATCGAGAAGCGTCAGAACGCCCGTTATACCGGGGATCGAATCGGCGCGAGGAAGCGACATCTCCGCTTCCGATTCGCCATTGATATCCGCGGCGGGATTGATATTCTCCACGTCGCCGTGATATTTCCTCCTCGCGAGATCGCGTGAGAAGCTGCATCGTATGCATTATGCATCGCCGCCGTCCACGCCGGACGGTCGGTCAGCGTCACTTGAGAATCTCCCGACGTGGACCGCGTTATTTTCCGAAAATTATATATATATACATACATATACATATACATGTACGCATATATACAGGAATATATACAGGATGCTAAATTTCAAACGTAACAGGTAAAACATCTCGAAAACTATGAAAGATATTAAAACAAGCTAAAACACGTGTTCCATGATTTCGAAGGGGAAAGAGAATGGCATTATCAGTTTTTTATTTGGAGGGCATTTTCAAGGTCAGTTGAAGGTCAACTTAATTTTTTAAAATAGAAAGCCCAATTTTTTATCACATCTTCTTTTTCTACCAATTAATTTTAACAACTTTTGTCTGAGAAAATCTTTTTATTTGCCTAATATTTTTTGAAATATTTAAGGAAAACTTGGTAACTTTCTCAACATCTAACTTACGATATTTCGCTAACTATTCGTCGAAAGAAAAAATAGCACTAGACTTTTTTACTTCATTTACTATCAAGGATATATTACTATAATAGAGTGCCCTAACTATTTTGTTAATTTAATAATTTTGAAATTTCCAAAGGTCGATAAAACACACACATGGAACACGCATTAGTTTTAGCTCTTTTTAATATCTTTCATAGTTTTCGAGATTTCGAGACCTGTTACGTTTGAAATTTAGCACCCTGTATATATATATATATATATATATATATATATATATATATATAAAGAATGGCATTACATTCACCAGGGAGCTGTGCGAAATCGTAGCTGTTCTATCAGAAAGGCCATATATCCTTCTCCCGAGCATCGTCGATGTGATCATTACTGTAACAATTAACTCGTCGAATGATCTCCATCATTCGGCATCGAAGTAGCAATCTGTAATCTCTACGCGTAAGGAACTCAGTCTCGCCCTTTCTCGCTTCTCCAGTACATTCAGGAGAAACGGAAACGCAATCAGAGACGGAAATGCAATCGGGCAACACCGGCAGACGGACGCAGTGCGAAGCGCAGTGGGAGGAGCAGGGGTGCGCAAAAATATAAGCGGCAAACCGAATTAAATGCGAATCGCGCGTGGACAAGACGCAATCAGTCGACGCAAACGCATGAAAGGGTGACCTAAGCCTTCGTTATTGCACGTGTATGTACCATGAAATTGCATTAGCGATCACCGGTCGTATTGCTCGTATATACGCGGTGCCCGCGTGGCGCAAGAAACCAGAGTGAGAGAGAGAGAGAGAGAGAGAGAGAGAGAGAGAGAGAGAGAGAGAGATTGTATACGGCGCGTTATATCAATCGAGCTCGTTAATGCGAATGCGAGTCGATCGACGATCTACGAATTCGAATCGATCGCTGAATCGCTGAATCGAGAGTAATAATTGGAGAAATCATTCGCCAATTCTCCAACGGGATACGGTTGTGGTACGCGATACGCTTATTTTCGGCCGATGGCGCGTCGCAAGTAAACAAGATAACATTTATTATTGTCACACGTAATATTATATTATCAGTCTAATTATACCGAGCTGGTGTGAAACAAAATTCGAAAGTTTCTCTCTCTCTCTCTCTCTCTCTCTCTCTCTCGCTTTGTTTTTCTATCCCTCTACGCTCTCCCCGAGAGATCCATGAATTCGGGAAACCAGAAACCGACGGAAACCAAGTAGTAGCCGCGCGAATCCAATAATACGTACGGGAATAATCCGTCGGTCGCGACGGTTCGTTCGTTCGTCGGCTAATTTCAGGATAGCTACGCGTTATACATGAGAAGCAGCAGGCTTAAGATCTAAGTCTCCATGGAGTTCCCAACGTCGACGTTGAGAAAGGAATGGCAGAGGAGGAGAGGGGGATGAGTGAACGAAGAGGGTGGTGAAAGGGGGCAAAGAGAAGTCGCGGATTAGTTTCGCTCGCACGTGTGTTCCCGAACTCAATCTACGGCGCAAGATTCGGTTTGCGCAGTTCGAGACAAGACGATGTCGCGAAGACGTCGACAAAGAGAGTGGCCTAATCATGAAAAGCCTAATCAGCCCGTCGTATGTTCGAACTTGATAATCCGTTGATCAGAGCAACGACGGCAACGACGAGGACGACGACGACGACGTCGTCGTCGTCGATAATTAGCGGTTTTTATTATCACACTGACGAGTGCCGTTAGACGACGATTTGGATAAATCGGAATTACTCTTTAAAAATATGGTTTCAACGCGACTCGAGAATAATTAAATGTAATTCGATTGCATTGCACGAAATATAATTGCGTTTGTTTGCGCTTCGTATCCGCGGTATCATGTTCGTCGGCACGAGCGATGGGACTTTTGTTAAATAAATATTCAAGAACTGGAGGCAAACTTGTCAAATATTCCATCAGGTATATCGTCAAATATTTGACTTCCGATTGAGACGGCACGATACGGGTTTAAAACTGAAATCCGAAAATTTCCCGCGTGTACTTTTCCGTTCTCTCTCTCTCTCTCTCTCTCTCTCTCTCTCTCTCTCTCTCTCTCTCTCTCTCTCTCCCTCTCTCCTCCCCTCTCTCACACTCTCTCTCTCTCTCTCTCTCTCTCTCTCACACTCTCTCTCTCTCTCTCTCTCTCTCTCTCTCTCTCTCTATCGTATACCTTCTGCATACACTATTATCAAACTAAACTAACTTAATTAAATGATCATTTGACGAATAACATTAAATTATAAATTGCACAATTGCAAATTAGCAAGTTATAAAGTTGTAATTATACGTACATACGTACGATTGTACAGTATAGATATAACTAAAAGTATACATATATACGTATACATGTATGTAATTTATACAAGATGTGTGGTCCGATGAATAATTCGCGACGATGAAAAATGTTTGTCCGGAAGTGTCGCGTCGACTTTCCTTCGGAAAAGACGGAGGAGCGTTATAGCGAAGTTCTCACGGCATACCAACCATCCAGTGGCATGATATAAATCTCTCCGAATTATCCTTGGACCTTGGAGTTATTATTCAGATTCAAACGCCGCCTCGAATTACAATTGCGATTTTAAATGCTAATTATCCCAATCGTATCTTTGTCTTTTCTTAATTGTAAAGTCTAGCTGCGCACCTGCGTTTTCGCAACGTCCGGTAGGTGCGACGAAAAATTCAGACGCGACCGGGAGAGTTTCGGTGACGTCGCGATAATGATTTATTTAGCGAAAGTGGGCGGATTTTTATTGGAAACACGTCGTAACTGGATATCGACAAGTACTCGGATTTTAGGTTGACAGTCGGAAGGGGGTATGGAGGAGGGTCGCGACAAGAAGAGCGAGAGGGAGGCGGCGAAAGGTCATGAGATGAATTTTAATAAAAGAATCTCTGCAATCGGCCTCTGCGCACGGCAGTAAATTACTTGATTTAAGTTTCGCGATTGCTTCCCCACCGCTGAAAGTTTCGCGCACACGAAAAATTATGCCGAGGAATTTCGTCCCCGTCGTTGAAATGACGTGAATTTTTTAATTAAATATCGCGAAACGCGATCGAAAATCTCGGAAGTAAGGAAAATAATTAATCGACGGAAAACATTAAGATCAAGGCTATTAACGTTTCGTTGTAACGCTTGTTAACAATTGTTATTATTTTGTTATTATGTGGTAGCCGCGTAATTATTATATTATATGATACACACACACAATAGAAACACGTGTACGTGGCTTTTGGATTAATAATGTCGCCAATGTTGGTAAATTGTTGGCTAAATTAATTCTTCATACAAAGTATCGACAAGTTTGAGGGAGAGATTTAATGATGGATTGTTGTCTTCTCGTTTGCGCTTTTCGATAATACGTACACACGATTTTTGTCATTCTAACGCATTCCGGGTCTGAAAAAAGGAGAAGTGTCTCGAAAGAAAAGCGCGCGTTACGCACGTATACGTGAGTGCGTATGCCTACGGAGATAACCTTCCCTCGAGAGAAAGAGGAGCAACCTAACACACAGGCAGATAAGGGCTCTTTCGCCCTCGGCGTGTAAAACGAGGGTCGCAGGCTGCCGTGGCTCGCGGACGCCGTTTCATGCATTTTAAAAGCTCGTACGAATTATGTTTTCACGATCGTCGCAACCCTTTCCAATTTCCCCCCTCCCCTCTCGCTTCCTTCCTCGCACTCTCCCTTTACCACCCCTAAGGGCTCGATATCGTGCGCGGCGTCATAAAGTTTTGACGATTATAACCCGCGGAATGTCGTTCGTCCTGGCGAGAAACGATCGAACATTACGAATGAAATTTCGATGTTTATGTCTCTCTCGCGCTTCTTATTTTTTTCTTCCGCGTTCATATCATTGTGTAACGTTATCGCGTATATTGGATGTATAAAGTAGTGACAGCGTTTTTCATGGAAAATCAATGCCTGTTAACGCGGGCGATGCGGGCCGATGCGGGAAATCTCATAGGTGGATTTTAAGCGTAAAGAAATATCTTCATTAATTTCAATTGATTCCATTGTCTTGTTATTAATAACGCGTTATAATGAGAGAGCTTATATTATTTCTTTGTTTCTGTATGTTATTTTTATAACGCGTATTTTCTTGCAATTCGTCGTACATCATCCGCGACCTATTAATGCGGATGAATCTCATGCGAATATTTTGACTCGTTGCAGGAAAAACAGCACGACCTTGGAGAAGTTCCACCTGCAGATCTCCAGGTTAGAGTTATACCCCGAGGACTCGAAGTACGTGGACCAGTTGCTGTACGAAATGGCGACCAAGCCAATCTTGCGTGTCGGTGAGTACCGGTTCTTGCGCGTGAAGCATAAATGCGAGTTTAAATTGAAGTGTGTTTAAGGGGCTTAAACAAATGGGGTTCTACGTAAAATATGGATCTAAAATAGATTTCGCCCTCGAGAGTTCCTTAATCGTTTGGACCGACCCACCGATTTTACCGCACTCCGATTTTATCGCAATTTTTGAACGTGACATATTCCTCGGTACATCAAATAATTATAACGCTCTCAACAATATCGTCAATTTATTCACTATGTACAACGACTACGTGAACGATTACGCACGCATTATTTGAAATCGTCGCTTGATCAAATTCTTACTTCTCGAGTTTCTTTCGCGGCATATTAATTGCTGATTTTTTGTAAAATTATAAGGGAGGAACAATTGGCGATGAGGATAATGACAGTGATAGCAACGCATTAAAAAGTTAAAGATACTGCTGAACTAGTAATAAGACAGAACTCTCGGAACGGCCGAAATATTTAAGACTCTCTCCTAATTCACGTCGATCGTGAATAATGGAGACCAACGGGTTTAGTTTCCTCATTATGATTGATCTAATTATTCACGGTGATGGTAATTTAGTTAGCGCACTGTCAGTAGAAGGTAAAAATTATCATTCGGCTGAATTGGCAGGATCGAAGTGTCAAATTTGCGCTGATGAGCACAACGAAGACCACTTGAAAATAATAATTTAAGCGAGATTATTTTCCCCTCTTTAGTGTAACTCACAGTCAAGATCTATCTAAAATTACAAAGAGTAAAATTATAAAGAGTGAAAAATCCTCAAGAGAGAGAAACTTTAAATTCGTTTTGAGATAAATATATATTTAAATAATAAAACAATTTATAAACATATATTATATAGTACAATGTTAGAATAGACGTCCGCATTAGCATATTACTCGAAGAAATAGACATTTATTATCTAAGCGCAAAATATGATAGATGTCAGTTCCATCGACATCCTCGCATCATTTTAATACACCTGTATATGTCAGTCGCTCGGCGGCAACAACACACGGTAAATTATATATATACCTATTAATTCGGCGGCTAGACGGACGGAAGGACGCGCTTTATCGGCCTGGTCGAGCAAATTATTGACTCGAGCTACTTAAAGCTTGCTCGTAGCGTGACGCGGCTGAAGTGGAACGTAATGACTTAATGGTGCTTTATTAGCAGTGCCCTAATTATCCCGTATCGCTAACGCGAAAAGTCATAATCTAACGGTAATTAAGCCATCCGCGCAGTAGTTTTTTCTTCTACCAGAATATATAAGTTATCGCTCATTATCGTTATTATTATATAATTTTTTTATCATTGTTTCTCTCAGTAAATTAAGGTCGTTATTGTAATAATACATCGGTTTCCACTTTATATCATATTGCATTTAACTTTATGTTGAATATTTCTGCGTATTAATTATACCCGTTATATTTTCTAATTTCTGTATACGTGGTCTCTCTCTCTCTCTCTCTCTCTCTCTCTCTCTCTCGTCTATTCTTTATACGAACAAAGTTTTAGTTCATATAACCGATTTCCGTTTGTCCGGAGATCAGACGAGAACTCGTTTGTAAGAACAGAAATATTCCTGTAAAAGATTCCTGTTCGGTCGATTGTTCTCAGTTATCTCAAGCGAGTTTTAAGAGAGTCCCTATGTCCAGACGAATATTTTCGGTCGTGCGATAACAAGTTCGTCATTCTCGTCACCGTCGTCGTCGTCGTTTGGCCCCATTCTGTCGCACGAACTGAAATTTTCTCTCTGTGGAGAATAAACGGATTAACTACCACATACAAAAATAAAAAATAATGTAATTAGATTATCGTAAAATATATATCTTCTATATCAGAATATATTTTTTACATTAGAAAAAGGCGATTTTGTCACTTCTATATTTCATTTTTATATGCGTTATATTTTTTTATATTATTACAGTATTGCTTAAATATTTGCTCGTTTGTTTGTTGCAGGTCAGAAGGATGGCGGTACGCAGTTGAAACTGATAATTGATTACGGCGACAACATGCAGGCGCTGTTTAAGCCGATGCGGTAAGTGTGCAATCAGCACACGCTCGATATAAGCATGCATATTTAATCACTCTTATCCTATTAACGTCCTTCTTTCCGTCGTCTTCAACTGCATACATAATAAGTATGAAGGATATTAACATAATACAACGGAGAAGTACGTCCCCGTCGTCGGCCTCTCGGGGGAAAATATCCCATTTGGACGATATCAATTAGCGGTGTGATGGAACACTGGCGGGCGATTATGGCGCTAATTAGAGGCGATCGCGTGGAAATTACGAGGAAGAGGTCGGTTCGGACTCGCGAACGACACGGCGCGGCGGGGCTTCTGGTGTCGCAAAGTTCTCGGCGTATCTCGAAGTTGCAGGCAGGCAGGCAGGCAGCGCTCGCGAAATTACTTGGGCAGTTTGTTGCCGGTAACGTCGAGCGTCGCGACGTCCCGATAGCGTTCAAATTAATACTGAAACGTCGAGCCGCATTGAATTCGCACGCCGCGAAATCGTATATAACGTATTTCTGAGGGAGGAAACGGGCCGCGTGCTTAGGCATTACACGAAGGGATGAAACGAGACACACGGAGAGAGAGAGAGAGAGAGAGAGAGAGAGAGAGATATTAAAGCTCACGAATATCCTATCATATTAAGCCCAAATTGTCTCACATCCGCGGTAGAAAAAGGAAGGAAAAGGAAACGGAGTTCACACAACATATTGCGATCCGGTTTGTATCCTTTTTTTTGCCCGTATGTCTCGAAAGATTGCACTCGAGGGTGGGATAAATTTCTCCACTCGGTCACTCGCTCACTCGTTCAATCGCTCCTTTTCTCTTTCTCTCTTGTCTCGTCTCGCTCCGTCGCTTTTTCCCACTCGACGAAGTTACGCGGATCGGATTACGAGCGCAATTACATAAGTGGTGTCCCGAGCGTCGTCTCGTGCCGTGAGAGCAACCGGCGGGCGGCCCCCTTCATTATCGCCCACCCGCCCCTTCGTCCTCATCTTTTTCTCCTCTCACTCTCGTCCGTCGCTCTCCTCGCGAATGATACGTCACACACCGAGCTATTGTCTCGCGCGTGCCTGTTCCGTGCCTTTTCTTCCAAATGCCTTATCACACAACCTGTGCCTGTGATGACACTCTTCATTAAGGGGGTTGGATTCCTTAGGCTTTGTCGCGACCCGCGATCGTGCGATCCGTCCGTGCGAGCCGTTTCTCGCTCGTAAAACACGACGATTCAACCCTCGAGTGACATGACGAGCAATTTCAAGTGCCCTCGCTTTCGCGAATTTCGAAAGATACCCCCTATACTTCTTTGTCCTCGGATACATAAACATGTATATTTTTTTTTATTTTCCCCGTCACACGCGCAAGGAAGAGACGAGAGAAAAAGTGAGAGGGAGAGAGGCGTGAGAGCGAGTCGTCCGAGCGAGTATAACGAGAGCTTATTGCGGCTGGCGCGCAATCTCGTCCGAAATTCTCTCTCGCAAACTTGCCGGCGAACTTATTGGCGAACTTATTACCGGAGTTTAAGCCGGCGCCCACTTATCGTGGAGTCTTCGGCCCACCGGAAGTTTAAAGGGCCCAACCACTCGTGGACCATCGGGGGGACGACTGAGAAAGGAAGAGAGAGAGAGAGAGAGAGAGAGAGAGAGAGAAAGAGAGAGGGGGGAGAGAGAGAAAGAGGAAGAGAAAGTCGCAATATGCGGTGCGACAGGCTCGTCCGACAATTTTCCCGACTTTCCCGTGGTCTCCTCTCAGGATATTGCGCCCTGCGCGGATAATAAGAAAATCCCTTTATATTGTACCGTCGCGAGACTCGGTGCTGCTTGCCGCGTGCTGCCTCTGATATGTTTAAATTTCACGGCTGCGTCGCGATTTTCTTCCTGTTTTCTTTTTTCATACTCGGTGTGATGTGTCGTAGCGAAGAGCGCATCGTCGATATAAAATAAGTATTGGCTTTGCAGCGCGAGAGAAATAGAGAGAAAGAGAAACAGAGAGAGAGAGAGAGAGAGAGAGAAAGGGACGATGTTCGTTCTTACAGCTTGAAACGGTACGTTTTAACCGCTACGATTTAACGAGCTTCGCAATTATTCGCATCGTTTCTACTAATAATTTCCAAATACAATTCTGTACAGCTTAATTATTTATTTATTTAGTGGACGAGTTAAATGTAATTATAAACAATGCACATAATATAACAATCGTTACGAATCCACGCTTGTTATCAAAATCGTTCGATAATTATCGCCTGTTTGCCGCTGTAACGCTCACGGTTGCAACGCGCTGCGACGAAATTAACTGCGATGGAAATGAAATTAATTGTTTTTCTGAGATTTATACAATGGCGTTGCGTTGTCGAATAATATGCTCGATCGATCTCCAGGAGCAGCCGGAAGTGAACCAAAGGGGGAAAAAGAGAGAAAAAAACGTAAAAAAAGAGAAACGAATTTATTTGTCGCAGGAGAGCGCGAGCGGTGGCAAAGGGACAATACGAAAGCTCGGGAGCTTTTATTGGTCCCGAGCTTCTCTCCCGAGAAGCTCTCCTGAGGAAGAGTAACGAAGGACGAAGAGAGGAAAAGAGAGGGAGCGGTGGGAGAGGAAGAAAGTGGGAGAGAGAGAGAGAGAGAGAGAGAGAGAGAGAGAGAGAGAGAGAGAGAGAGTGAGAGAGATAGAAAGAGAAAGCTTCGGGAGAGTTCCGCAAACTCCACAGCGCGCGATCAAATATTTACCCGGTGATCTTCGTGCGGGTTTTACGAGTCGCGTGCGGTATATATACGTGTGTGTATGTATATGTATACACGAGACAGGACAATAAGCACGAACGGAGCGCATGAATCTCGAGCGAGCGAGCGAGCGAGCTAGCGAGCGAGCTGTGACTGGCTGGCTGCGATCGAGAGTACGAAGGAGGATCTATCTGTCTAGCCAAGAATCGAATGACTCAATTATCATCTTTCTCGAGACTTACAGTTATCAGACTTATCCCCATAAAAGATAATCGAGTTTCCGTCTTACGAAGTATAACTCGGGAAGCCGCAGCGGGACCCTGTACAAAAATAATATTGGTAGAGAGATGGATAAACAATTGGCGTTACGTATACGGGCGATCGCCAAGTCACGCGACGGATATATCGAGCGACCGAATGATGCCGCAAAATTCGCCCTAATCTTCCGCAATATAGCAATCTCGGATAATTCCCGCAATATTACGCACGCGAGCTCCTTTCGGGCATACTCCCGCCGTTACACAGGGTGTCCCGAGACCATTGTACGAGGTAGTCCCAGAAGTACCTGACCTGACGTACAGATAGCGGTTGTTGTTTGAAAGGAATGACTATGGTAGAAAGTAGCAACCTTATAAAGCTTAAGTTTGAAGTTTGACGACGCTACGTTGTTTAGTATTTGTTTGGCAGCCATCAATAGTGAACGCTCTCGGTGAATTTGTAAACATGGAAAAAATTGGTCATCGTTATGTGATACAATACTTTCATTTGAAAGGCCTCACCATTTCTCCAACCAATATGAAAGCGGAGCTAGATTCTACTCTGGGGGAGTCTGCTCCTTCGTTTACAACAGTAAAATATTGGGTGGCAGAGTTTAACCCCTTCCGTGGCAGAGCAAAATTCAGTAAAATGCGCTGAAACCGTCCCACAAAAAATGACGGGGCGGATTTTTTCAATAATTTGTATACTTCAGTTTTTTTGGTCGTTGAAGCCGAATTTGAGGTCAAAATATAGAAATTCACTAAATGTTTAACCGTGCCACTTACGGCACGATTTTGGCTGGACGCACCGGTGCGTTCGTGCCACGGAAGGGGTTAAACGACGAGGCGTACGAGCTGCCAAGACGAACATCGCAGTGGTCGACCAAATGAAGTGACCAGAAATGGTGAAGAAAACCCACAAATTGGTATTGGATGTGACCGTCGACTGAAAGTGCGCGAGTTAGCAGACATGGTAGGCATTTCAAAAAGTGCTGTACATCGCATATTGATTGAAAATTTGGACATGAGAAAGCTGTGCGCAAGATGGGCGCCGCGATTGGAACAAAAACAGCGTCGTGAGAATGTTTCAATCGAGTGTTTCGAGGCGAAGTTTCGCAGCAATAAAGCCGATTCATAACCATGGATGAAATATGGGTCCATCACTTCACACCTGAGACGAAGGAACAGTCAAAACAATAGACCAAGGTGGCTTGATGGCTATTTTGAGGAGCTCGACGATCCTCACTATAAACAAAAGGGTATCGAAGCTATTGAACATCGCTGGGAAAAGTGTATTGAGCTAAAAGGAGACTATGTAGAGAAATAAAGATATTTTTTCCCAAATTTTTTGTGTTTTCTTTGTTAGGTCAGGTACTTCTGGGACTACCCTCGTAGATCTCTTTGACTCATCCTCGTCGAGAAGACCGTAATTGCGAAGGGGGGGGGGGACTTTGCAAAATCGTAGATTTACGCGTTGGCCTTTCTTCGCTTGCTCTTCACGCGTTCACCCTCTTGTCGCGATTATAACCGAATCGTCGTTGATCTTGCAGGTTTCCGAGGGAACAACAGACACTGCCGAATCACTTTTATTTTACGGACTTTGAGAGGCACAACGCCGAGATCGCGTCCTTTCACCTGGACAGGTAAGCTTGCATTCGATATGAGAAAGTTTAGCTCTCTCTCTCTCTCTTCCTCTCCAGAAAGGTTTTAAATCCCCCCCGCATTTTTCTCTCCGCAGGCTACTGGACTTCCGCAGGACGATGCCTGTGAGCGGCCGGACGCTCAACATCACCACGGAGTTCTACCAGATCGCCGATGGCGAGCTGCTGAAGACGTTCTTCGTCAGCCCCGCCGGTAACCTGTGCTTCCACGGCAAGTGCAGCTATTATTGCGATACAGCGCACGCCGTGTGCGGCACACCTGACAGTCTCGAGGGTAGCTTCGCCGCTTTCCTGCCCGACAAGATTCTCGCCAGCCGAAAAGCGTGGCGACATCCTTGGCGCCGAAGCTACCACAAACGGAAGAAAGCTCAGTGGGAACACGGTGAGAGACTTAGTCACATGTAATATTTCACACATGAGATATAATTAAATGGATAATTGTATCCATTATATTTCTTCGATTTATATCGATTTTATATATTTACTTATTATACACGCGAAGAGAAAAGATTGGACGAATTAATGCGCGGCGATTAATGAACCAAACGCATCCCGGTTGACGAAAACGACGATTTCCGATCCTTTCGGTGAGGCGAAATCGGTTTGAGGAAACAGAAGTCGTCTCCTTAAAACAACATGCGTTCTGTTCGTTCATTGACACGCTAATTCAATTAATCTTTTTTCTCCGTATAAATTTTATCCGGTTAATTGTATACGAGGGAAAAGCGAGTGTTCTTACTAACAAGAGAATCAATGCGACTTGTTGCAGATTCCGACTATTGCTCGCTCGTGAGAGAGATTTCGCCGTACGACGAGGGTCGGCGACTGCTCGACCTCATGGACATGTCGGTGTTTGACTTCCTCACGGGCAACATGGATCGCCATCATTATGAGACGTTCCGATTATTCGGCAACGACAGCTTCACGCTGTACCTGGACCACGGACGCGGCTTCGGCAGACCATTCCACGACGAAACGTCCATCCTGGCGCCGCTTCTGCAGTGCTGCATCATCAGGCAGAGCACGCTCGGTACCCTACTACGGTAAGCCAATGCATACAATAGTATCATTTACAGCGTCATTATGTCGCGATTAATAATGAATTACGGTGATATGACAATTTGGTTGATTAACTAGCCGATAGATTACGGCGAACGATATTATCATTGTCCAACTCGGTCGGTTTGCGCGAAATTTTCAATTGGAAGGATCAATCTTGCCGGAGACGAGAACTCACGCTGGGGTGAAACTTTCTCAAAATTTTCCACTGAATTCGATCGAAGAATGATCTCTCGCGATCCCGTGCGAGATCGCGCTATACGTGTGTGTACAGGGTGTCCGCTAAATCCGGCCGATCGGCCGGACATCGAATTTATCGTGGCCCGTAAAAACGTCCCCCTGAATCCGCATCAAAGCGGGAGATTCACGAGCGGCCGGCAATTCTGATAAAACGCTGCGGATTCGGTATATATCCGCCTTATCGTAAAGTTTCTACTCGCACCCGCTGCCTCCCTTTTTCGAGAGATCGAAGAATTTGCGACCCTGCTCCGAATTGCAAATTTCATCGCCGATCGACGGACACCGCCATCGTCCATCGCGCTGTTCTCTCTCTCTCTCTCTCTCTCTCTCTCTCTCTCTCTCTCCCCCCCCCCGAGTTGAAACAATCGCTCCCGTTTCGCGTTTCGCTCGAAATTTCCCTTGACCCTTCGTAACACGCTGGCGATTATGAATACGCTACACGTCGAAACTGTAACGCTGGAAGATCCCTTTTGATTTTAAAATATATTTACACACGTCTATATATATATATATATATATATATATGCATATACATGTGTACACATACATACACGCGCGCGCAGAGCAGCCTCGAAAGAGCCCACACGTCGTCCATTAAGCGCGTTGTTACGCGGGATAATTGCTTCCTGCCGTTTCGCTGATCACGACTTCTTCTATTCTTCTTCTCCGTCTGTTAGTTCATGTTCTCGCCCATGCTTTGCATGGCAGTAGATCGTCCGATTGGCCGCGTGATTAAGATAACAATGAAGCGAAATTGATCCAAATGCAATTTTCACCAAATGCTCGACTTGTCTCGTTCTTTTTTGTAGGATTTTCTTTTCGGAGGATCTTTCCGCCAAATATCCGCTTCAGTTTCATAGATGCAAATTGATTGGGAGATCTTATTCTTCGTAAAATGAAGACAGAGATGTCGTGGATTTTATTTCGAATAGATATAAATTTGAATGTTCTTCAAGACTTTTCAGAAAATAACATTGGATCAACTTTACACGCTATGACGCATCGTTAAAGAATAGTTTCGAAGGAATCATTATCTCAAATGATTTCGATGGCGGTAATTAATTTATTTTTGAAGAAACATTGATAAAATGATAGATTTCGGAAACTTTAAAATTCTTCTTAAAATTTGATTCATATAATTTGTGATCCGATAAAACACCATAGACAAATAGAGACAATTTTCAAACAGCTTATCATTTTGTAATTGCCAATATAGCGGCGAGCAAACTATTTTCAGCTCGGCTGTAATCAAAGATTCTTCAGGAAAACAATCGAGGTCGACATTTTTGAAAGCAATAGCAGCTCTTAATAGCATGGTGACACATTTTTTAGAGGGCCACTTTTAAACAGACGAATAAATTATAAAGATTCGAAGCTTTCAGGGTAATAATAGATCGTTGAGTTATTTAACCGTTCATAGTGGTAATAAAAAAAAGAACAGACGCAGAGAGAGAGAGAGAGAGAGAGAGAGAGAGAGAGAGAGAGAGAGAGAGAGAGAGAGAGAGAGAGAGAGAGAGAGAGAGAGAGAGAGAGAGAGAGAGAGAGAGAGAGACGTACCGTTTATCCGACGGTAATCGAACGTTTCTCAAAGAAACAATATCGGGGCCGGGGCTTTTGGGATTGATAACAGAGCCGAGACGCTTTTCAGAGTTACGTAGAACGGACGGTAGGGGAGGAGGCAGGGAAACGGGTTTTTAGATCAACAAGCGAGAGCGGTTGGAAGCTTTCAGAACGATAATGGAGGCCTCCTCGAGTCGCCGGGGCCAATGAATAAAGTATTGGCTCGAGCAGACACTCGGCTCTATTTATATGATGACACACACACACACACACACACACACACACACACACACACACACACACACACACACACATATACACAGATATACACCACACATACACTCACACATACATACATACATTCCGGCGCGTCACGTGGATAAAAGTGGGCTTTCTCGAAGTGCTTTGCTTCCGTCTCACTCGACGCCCTGGCCATCGGGGAGTCCTTCGCAGGACTCGGCGAAATTAAAAAGAAGAGACGCGAGAGATCCTCGAGTTCGAGCGGCGATCGAATCGATCATGAGAATCGAAGGAACTTATATCTCCACGCGGCAGTATCCGAAAAAAATGTCACGCTTCTAAACGCGATGACCGAAGAGACATTGAGGACGACGTGTTTTCTCAAGTTCGTCACAGGTAGAATTTGTGGGGCACGCGCGCGCGTTTATTTACGTACATGATACCTGGTTGCAGTTTCCACAACGGGCCTACACGGTTGAGCGCGGCAATGCGTCAAAGCATGGCCAAGGACCCTGTGGCCCCGGTGCTCTGGGAACCCCATCTGGATGCGCTGGATCGCCGGATAGGTATCATTCTGCAGGCCATTCGCGACTGTATCGCTCGCGAGAACTCCTCGCAAGTCGTGCAGAACAACGACAAAGTGGACTCGAAGTTATAGCCTTCGGCTGCGATCTAGAAATCTGTAGTTTTCAAAGACGTAGAGTCGGGCCGAGGCGATATAGGAGGAAGTGCGTCTCGAAGAAAACGGATGGATGTGTTCTGAACGAGCTTTCCGGTGAGAATTAATTTATTTCCTCCCTCGCCCGAAGTACCGCGAAGTATCTCGCGATTGATCGGGCGAGAGGAGAATCGATCCTCCTTTTCTTCTACGCTCGACTGCGAGTCGATTGCGTGAAAAAAGAAATTGTGATTGCAATTAATCGAGCTAAAATTTGCATTCCCTCGCCCACGACGGTGAATCGATGTAAAAATTACAGTTGCGATTCCGATTAAATTGGCCAGAAATGTAGGATTTCCCTTCGTTTAAGTGCGCAGCTTAACGCAAAAGTCGCAATTGAGTCGTCTCTCGAGAAGGAAAAAGACTATTACTGTACTCTCCTAGGTATGGGGCTAATTAATTCATTTGCCGGTTATCGTGTTTGTTGCCACATGTGATCGAACGGTAGTTTAAGGGTCCGTAGACGTTAAGTTTTAACGAAATACTGCTCAGCGAAATACCAAAAAAACGACGAGATATGTAGTTTATAATTGCTTAAAATTTAGATATTCCCTTTACGCTTCTCTTTTTTTACAAAAGGGATTACAGTTATGGTTTCGCAGCTGGATATTGATATTAAATCATGATCTGATTTTTAACACATAATTAAGTATGATTATCGGATTATCATTAATATGGAATTAATCTATAGTAATTTCAAATAACTTATATTGAATTATTATCATTTATATATATATATATATATATATATGTGTATATATATATATGTATATGAATAATAGATTAATCGAATATAATTTAAAATAATTCGAGTAATAATTTTTTAATCGGTAATTATTTTCGAAATAACTCACAAAGAAAAGATGTTCAAAAGACACTATCGATTGTCATTCTCACTTTTGATAAATGAACTTTCAATGTACAAAGAGGCTACTGTACATATTATATGTATAAATGAATTTATAAGCATAAGTATAATTTAGTCACTTATATAGATATATCACATGATATAAATGTATATTTATTGCGACTTGGTGATAATCAAAAAAAAAAACCACAAGTTGTCAGCGCATACAATGGATGTTAATGTAAATAAATTAATTACGTTAACTCATTAACGGCCATTCTCTGACGGAGCTAAAAGTTTTATTGTTATAATATAATATTTGTTAGGATATATATCATTACTTTAACGGTAAAATAATTTACTCAGAATATTTTTCAAATTTTATCATTTGTTATGTTAATTATAAGAAAATAATTTTAATAATAGAAATAATCTACTTCTTGAAATTTTTCAAGATCTTATTAATTATTACATATTTATCGAAGTAAAATGACTTTAATAATATACACAATATACCTCTTGCAAAGTGTTAGTGTATTGAATATTCTATTTATCAGTGCAATATATATATATATATATATATATATATATATATATGCGTAACACAAATAATTTCTCTCAAATTATTTTTTATTATCTAATTTCAAAATTTATATAAATAAATTATCGATTGTTAAATAATTATAGTATTAATACGGGAATTATTTGATAAAATTTTTAAATAAATCTGAATATAATTGCCTTAAATGAAAGTTCTGACATGGCTTTTAAGGGGTTAAAAATAAATATGATAGATTTCTGTAAATATATATAAAAGACGCAAATTTTTGCGAGCGCAAACTGATGAATTTAAGCATAAATTGTATGTATATATGAATATGCGCGTATGCGTGAGACTTGTTTGCGTGTGAAGAAGAGCGCGAGGGAGCTTTTGTAAAAGAATGCTTTTACTACGCATGTTTTACGTTCCTCAAATGCATCGGTATGCATCGAAAGAACTGAACGCATCCGAAGGAATGCACCGAAAGGGAAAATAAGATAAACTGCAATCTGAGTACAGTTTCGAACTAATGATTCAACTAACATTCCTGCCCAATCTCTTTCTCCTGCCACGCCGTCGATCAAAAAAAACTTTGTCAAGTCTTAAAAAATGTATACTCGAACCTTTATATATGAAGAGTGTTATTTATAAGTTACTTACATGATTACACACGATTTATACGCTTCTACCCGATATTTATATCCAGTGAACCTCATTATCGAGATAGGTTCGTCTCCCGTCGCCGATTTCTCGCGACGACAGCCTGAGGGCAAATCTTTCGTTTCCGCTCGTTTTCAAACTGGAAAAAAGTTAGTCGATTCTCTCATCAGTTGAGATCGATATCGCACGGAGCGGCGTCCATTTATACAAAGGAAAGTTGGCGGGACTCTCTTCGTTTCCGCGTAATTTTCCACGATATTTCTCGAAATCGAGGAAAGCTCGAGCGACTTTATATTTACTGTTGCAATTATACGATACAATATTCCTCTCTCTCTCTCTCTCTCTCTCTCTCTCTCTCTCTCTCTCTCTCTCTCTCTCCCTCCTCCCCCCCCCCTCTCCTCCCCTCTCTCTCACTATCTCTTCCTCTGTCTCCTTCTCCTTCCCCCTTCCCAAGGAATATACAACGGATCTCTACATACGGAAATCTTGTAGAAAAGCGGAGAATGTTAACCGGTCGTTAAATACGCAAACGCAGCGTGAAATATCGATCGGCCGTGCGATTAAAAAGGGAGCGAGGGGAAGGAAATCACCCTCTTTTATTGATCCTCTCGGGAAATCCGTCGTTAACGTTTCCTCCACAAGGGAAGTTTTCCCTGTGCTCCTTCTCCCCTCCCTGCCCCTTCCCCTACATCGTTCTCCTCGCGGGAAAGTTTAAGCCCTCGTCGCTGAGGGAGGGTACTCGCCGCGAATAAAGTTACGCGGCCGCAAATTCGCAAGTACAACAGACTCTCCTTCTTCTTCTTCTTCTTCTTCTTCTTCTTCTTCTTCTTCTACTTCTACTCTTCTACTTCTTCTTCCGTCGTTGCTGCCACTTCCGGATCTCGTCGGATACATTAGGCGGTGCGAAAAGTCACGCGCAAATATTTGAAATAGCGTGGTGGGATACGCGCGAAAATCGCGAATTTACGTAATTCACCGATCGGCCTCGGGCACGCTGCGCGGCTATTCCCTCCCGACGTGACGTCGAGATCTTATTCCTTGTGAAATGTCCGCGTATAATGAGCCCCGTTAACGTCGGATTAACAGGCCGTCGTTTCGGCATTAGCGTCGGAGATAATTTTTCGCCGAGGATAATTTCGCGTCACGTCGCTTCGGCATTCTCTTCGCGTGCCGCGGATTTTTCCCCGATTTTGTCGATCGTGACTGACAGACGCGGAGGTTTTCAGGTCGCGAATAAATTTCGCAGGCCTATCTGTCTGGCGCGAATGAATGTCCGCGCGTTGTCGACGCGCCGATTGAATTCCTACAGATTTTTCTCCCGCGGATTTATCGATCGCGTGTGCGCGTGCGAGCGCGAGCGAGCGTTCGTCGCTTTATAGAATCAAGAGATATGCGTTTGCCCAATAAAGCCGAATTTGTCTAATTATTTCGCCATAATGAGCCCTCGTTATTTTACACTGAACCGTGATATTCGCGCGAAAGGGTCAATTGACGAGCGAAATTGTCAAATTAGGATACATATCTGGTTATTATCGATTTATATGGCCCGATAAAGGCCATAACTGCCGCGCGCAATTGAAGAAAAAGGAGCGAGGAGAGATTAGAGAAATTTTGGCTCGTTTGACTACATACTTTTTCGAATATATATATAGAACATTCTTCTTAAATTTATATGACAGTAAGATTTGACCCAGCGGAATCGTAGAGCGGGATTACTAGATGAGAGAAAAATAGAGAGAGAGAGAGAGAGAGAGAGAGAGAGAGAGAGAGAGAGAGAGAGAGAGAGAGAGAGAGAGACATCCAACTCGATTGTCCTCGTCGGTTTATTGTTGTCTCGATCTCGTCCGAGATTTATGGATCGGAAAGCGAGCAGGCAAGTAGAAGCAGGCAAGCAGGCAGGCAGGCAGGCGATTACTATTAATCGGCCATAATTCGCGACGGAAAGGCAACTCTGGAGATCTGTCAGGGAGCAGACAGAGCGCTGCTCGGGACATCTGACGTCATGGGCAAATCCGAGACGGCGGTGTAATTAACAGGATATACATCCCCCGTCGTCCTGCCTCTCGCTTCCGCACACACGCCGATCGGCTCCTTCAAAGGGAAGGCGCCGCGATCCTGTTACTGTTACTGTCGGGAACAGATCCCGCTAATGCCACCGAGAAGACGCCCTCGGGTTCTCGTGCGCCAACGCGAATCTGGCTTATTAATCCGCAGCTTCTCAACCGCTCGGCTATGAAAACCTGCGTGATAATTGGCGGTGGTAATAATAACAATGAGAAGAGCGATAACAATGACAGAGACACGCGCGCACGGCCGTAATAACGATCGTCGACGGCAAACCTCGCGGATTTCACGGGATCGTCCGTAATAATAGGCGCGAATTCTCGTCAGACGATGGTCGCCCTGGTTAGAGAAGGGAAAAGGGAAAAGTGGAAAACGGAGGGTGAAGTCAGTTTGAATAATCAGACGAGAGTGCGAGCTTGAAATTTTATCAGCGCCGTGACAAATTCACGAGCTCGGCGACGATGCGGCGTCGAATGCGATACAGATTACATGTGCGACGCGTTCGCCGCTACGGCGACGGCGACGGCGACGGCGACGATGAAATTACAGACGACGAATTAGACGGCCGAGGTCACCGCGACGGCGACGGAGGACGACCGCGAGGTGAAGGAACGTGCGAAAAGGAGGTGCGCCTCCTTTCGACATCGCCCCTCGCGGAATAAAATCGGAGATTTTCGATAGAATGCATTTTAATGCGATGACATTTGCATAATCGCCGGAATTCGCGCGCGCGCGCGCGAGCGCGTGCACGCGAATCGCACGTGATGCAGCTGAGTAAAGAAGAGAAGCCCTCCGAAAGCCTCCCTCCGGAACGCGCTCCCTCTTTCTCCCTCGCTCTCTATCTCTCTCGCTTCTGCTCCCGTTATTCTTTCATTTGTTGGAAAAATAGAGAAAATTCGCGGAGGAAATTGTAAAATCTCGCTGCAGATGTTGTTGGGATTCATCAGAGACAAATTGAAGTAAGTAAGTAAATAAGTAAGTAAGTAACGAAGTGTCACCAATACCAGAATAAAACTCCCCCGAAGCTACGCAATATACATCTTCCGCCTGCAGACTCGTAGATGAACCTCCTGTGATTTCTCTCTTTGAACGCAAAGAGCAAAATCATACAGTCGCTACTTTATGCGGGAATTTCGTGCGAAAGATATCCCGCACGTATCGGGTGAGACCGTTAATGATTAGGCAGTTCCCCATTCGAAATCCTCTATGCGATAATCCGCTTCGTCATACGGAAATATCGGCTAATCCGAAGCGCGACGGTTGTTTTTCCCGGTGCAGCTCGATGAGATTTGAAAATTGCAATAACAGTGCCTCGATTTAGCGTGTCATTGCCGCAGACGCCACGTTGAACTTTAATTTGTCGTCAGCTCAAAAATAGTTTCAACTCGGCGAGATAACGATTGAAATCATGATGAATAATGCAACAATCGTGATCCGATCATAAAGAATGAACTTCGCGATCGCCGAACAGAACCCAGTTCTGTTTATCCGACGGTTCACGGCTGCTCCTAAAATAAGCCCACGGTTTTTCCAACACGATTTATTTCGGACGCGCTTGACATTAAGTCGCGAGGTGAAGTAGCGGAGTTTTTTTATTTTTCACAATTTTGCAATATTTTCATAACCACTACCATGTATGAATACATTTTTTCACTTATAAATACTTAAATACAAATTAAAGTAGGATTGTTGCAATCCTCAAAAGTGATATACCCTCCGGTATTTTGTTGCTTTTGCCGACGAAAACGACAAATATCCCGACTCTCCCTTGTTATTCTTGCCGGCTGCTGTTGTCTCTTGACATTTATTCGCGCTTCGCGATTAGCGGTGTTCCCGAAAAGTTCCCTGTCCGGCATTGGGAACTTTCTCGAGTTGTGTGAAAGATTGCCGGCCGATTTTGTCGACTTAACTTGCTTCTCCCGGCTCTCGCGATTCTTGAAATTTGTTTACGGTGGAAAATCGCTGACAACTGTCTACGCTACGCTAGGAGCGCACAAAGTTCGCTTTTAGCACGACAGTTTAGAGACAGTTTTGATCTTTGTTTTCCTCTTTTTATTTATCTTTTCTTTTTTTTTCAAACGAAACGATGAATTTCCCGAGAAAAATTTCCAGAGTATATTATGGCAAATTATAGTAAAATTATTATTAGAGTACTACGAAACGACACAGGCAAATCCTTCTTATATTACTACTTCATAGAACTATTGTTTGCGCGAGGAGAAATGAAGGTATTTTTTCGGATAAATTAATATCGTGCGCACAGATAAAATTTTTTTCTCTTTGTTTCTTTTCTCCAGCAGTCTTTTCACCGAGTCACCATCGTCAATTTCGCGAGACTGCATCTTTTTCTCGACGAAAATATCCAAGTACGTACGGACGAAAGAATCGATAAGTACCGCGCGTCTTTATGAGGAGGAGGCAGTGAGCTTTCTTCCAAGAGACCGTCCATTCGATTCGTCTTGCAGACGACGGCAAGAAGAAAGTCGAGAGGATTTGCGAAAGGGACGAAGAGATCGCATTGAGAGCTGACATATGAACTGAAGAACTCTGCGCGCCGGAACAAACGCATATATCCTCGATTTTCCGACTCTACGATTTTTGTCCGCGTCTTTCGCACGCATGCGGCTATAATATAATGATTATTTCCGTGGTTAGACGCTGATAAAGTGCATTTTTTCGCTTGTTCTTCGTATACGTTCGTCCACTCGAGAAGAAAAAAGTTCTGATAAATATTCGAAGAAATAGAATGATGGCACAGGTAAAACAAATGGATCCATGAATTCTCGTTTCTTTTTTTTTTGCTGATATATTTTGTACAAAAATAGAATACGCTGCACAAAGTTATACCAAGTGTGTTTCAAATATATCTACCATGTTTACTTTTTCTATTCTTTGCTATAAAATATCATATCAAAAATGCTAAATTTTATTATCACCTATTTTTACTTAGACTCTGTTATTTTTATAATAATAACAAGAAAACTGTAATCCTATTTTCTAATATACCATTATTATCTGTCATTAGAATGACATTGTATATGAGGAGCGAATATTCATTTTTGCATAACATGTGAACACGGTATATATTATTTTTCTTGATAAATCACAGGATAAAGTCATCTGCCCTCAGTTTCTTCGCGGGGATCGGAATTAATACCTAAATAAAAAGAAGAGAAACAAGATGTACAGATATTGCACAAAACATACCAAATCACATATTGCTCTTACAAACCTTCGTGAATCTTTTGCCACACGGTGCGTCTTTGCGCAAGATCTTGTCCGTAAATTCAGCACTCAAATATTTATCGTACCAATCTGTACCCTAAATAAATAAGAAGAAAATAACAGTTATCGGTTTCCATGTCGCAAAAAGTAAATCGTCATAATATTGACATTATAAGAATTGAATTAATCACTCACTATTTTTCGTCGCTCCACCTCTCTCTTCTCGTCTTTTTCTTCTATTTTCAATTCTTTCATTTCCTGTGATGCATTTCATTAAATATAAAATATAGTAAGCATTATTATAGGTTACGAAATTATATATATATATATATATATATATATATATATATATTGATCACTCACCATTTTCCGCGATTTCTCTTTTCCTCGTTTATTTTCCTTCTCTATGTCAATTACTTCTACTTTCTCGTCATCGTACTTATCTCGCTGTTTCAACTGGGAGTCGAAAGACTCTTCAATTTCGAAACAATCTTTTCCCAATGATTTGTTCGCCATTCGGTCCGTTCGTATATTGCTTTTATCGCTATTATTGATCTTTTCTATCGATACGATACGCGGTCCCTTTGAGCTCTTCCAGCTTTCGCTCTCATCCTCGTCGTTTTGACCAGCCCAATTATCATTTTTGAGAGGACAACTCTTTTTAAACATCAAGTTCTTCCTTTTGAGTGTCAAGTTATCTTTATTAAATGTCGTGTCTTCAAGTAACAAATCATCTTCCTCGAACATTACATTACGTTTTTCTAGAGTCGAACCATGTTTTTTCTCCAAGATAACTTTTTCCTCTTGTGGAAATCCAATGTCTTCTGGCGATATATCTTTCGAGCATTGCTCATCTTGTATGCTGGGACTGCTGACACTGTTTTTGTCGCAAGATTCGGGAATAATTCGAGGCTTTTTTATGTCACTCCTAGAGAAATTATCACTTGCGATACTTTTGTCCAAGGAATCGCAAGTTTCCGGAATGATTTGGGGTTGTTTGTCGTTCTTGTTGGAAAAAACATCACTTTCACGTTTGCTGTTTTCGAGAATATCTTCTTGCTCATTTTTATCGCAGATACGTACTTTTTTCGAAGTACCACTATCACACTGCGAATCAAGGGTTTCGGGGATGATTCGCGGCTGCTCTGTACCTTCGATTTTTCTCTTATTGCTTGTCGACGACGCGTCCTGTGTATCTTCGACAATTACGAGATCAGAAGGGGAGAACATTTGAGTGCTGGATTTAAGAATTGTGCCAAAGTTAAACTTAGGATTACAATATTTCTCGGTAGAGCAGTGAAGAATGGCAAGTGGGATTTCTGAGTCGCAGATCATTCTGCGTTTAAGCGCACTTAGTTTTTGATCTACAAGATGAAAATATCGCATATTACGATGTATGTTAATAATTTTCGTGTTATGGTAACTGACATATGATTATTTTACTATCATTTCCGCCACTCACGAATAATCGGATAATCTGTTGCGATGACTTGAATTGTGAACTGAGAGGAATCATTAGTAGGCTGCTGTATGACAATAGCATTCTTGGCAGTCAGATCCCGAGGAGTTAAAGGTTTCTTCGTAGGATATACACAGGATTTTCCGCCTGAAACAAAATTCTATTGTAACTTATTAAAGAAAAGAAGAATTTGGGCTATAACACGAATGCAAATGTATTTCACGCCAGTTGTGCTTATCCCTTGTTTATTTCCCCTATTTTATCCCCTATTTTACAAATAAAAATCTGCATTGGAAATAATCACCTGCTGCAGTAATTATCGGAGCATATGCACTGTATTGTTTCGCGCAAAAGTGCACAAAAGATAAGCCACGAAATAGTGTCCTGCGCTCCTCCTTAGGCAGCAGTTGTGTATCAACACGTATCCATTCCTCCTTTGTTACAGTAGGTAAAAAATCTTCAATTTTAGGCAATTCTTTGTTTTCTCCAATAGCTTTCATTATTGCTTCCCAATATCCAGTGGTGACAATCATCTTGGAAGATGCTAGTGCACAAGCCAACTGTATAAAGTGTACATAAATACAGATCAATAAGAAAACATCTTTTATTAATTTTTTGAAATATATCGAACGCAGTACCATATATATATATATATATATATATATATATATATATATAATATGTTATATGATAAATATTTTATATATATATTACCATATAAGTATATACTACTATATATTAATATATACATTAATATATTAATATATATTATCATATAAGTATTAATACATTAATAAAATGGTATTATATACTATTATAGAATTAATTTTTTATTATCTCATAATTGCTCTTATTTTTCTATTTTCTTCGCTCATATATGAAATCTTACCTTTATAGTAAACAGGAATTCATTAGGCACTGTTAAGTACGTGCAAGAATTGTGCCAGTTATCGGATAGTACACCTCCAATATCCTTTACAATACTTCTCAGTTTCTCCATTTCTTCCTTGCACAAACTCGATGCCACAACCAGAAATGAGTGACGTAATACACTGCAATGATGTATTACACAGCAATGATTTTGTAGAAAAATAACAAAAAGTTAAATTATTTTAAGCTTACATAAAAATGCTGTGTTTCAGGCCAAACTGTACTTTGTCACCTGCTTTTAGAATAAATTTTTCATCTGTGAACAACTTCCTTTTCTCTCCATCTCGCAAAACATATGTTCCATACTTGGACCGGTCTTGGATGACACATTTATATTGCAACTGAAAAAAATTTAACATTTTAAGAAATATATGCAAAATAATATAAAATTATAATTGATAAAATTAGGTTTACTTCTTGCTCTTCGTAAGGTTCTGAAGAAACAATCGCATGAAGCCTGCTTACTGTGGCATCTCCCTCTATTTTGATATTGCTCAGAGATTTTCCAAAAGATACTTTATGTCCTGGCAGGATATAAATGCAACGACCTAGAATAAAACAACACAATTATATGAAATATACAACAATCAGACTCTATATAATGATGTTTTAGATTATTCACATTTGCTATTTGACATTTAATGCTCAGTAATACCTTCTTGTTCTTTGAAGCACCACATGTTGAATAATCAATTATAAATTAATAATAATTGTATCCAGTATGTTGTAATTTTAAAGAGCCGTTCCTGCTAAAACATTACATTTTCGTCTAACCTAAATGAATATAAATACATTCTCCATCATGTTATTATGCACACATTTCTATTTGTTAAATTATAAATAAACAATATAATGATGAATTGATGAATTAATTTAACTTTTTTCTAAATAATCAATTAGAAAAATATTTACTCAACTTTTGCTTGATAAAAATATTAATAATAATCAAGACTAATGTTCATAGAATTTTGAATTAAAAGATTAGATAAGATTCTTGACACATCATGCACCAGTATTTCACGCAAATAAGTTCCTGAAATAACTGTTTGGGCTTACAATTTGAAGATGAAAAGACCTTCTGGAGTTTCCTGTTCAACTATAAAAGTTGACAATAAAAGGGCGTTTCACTAATCATTAATCTTTACTATTTAAAATAAGAAGAGACTTTTCAAAATGTGTTTTGTAAAAACATAAAATACGAAAATATATGTTTGATTTGTCGTTAAGTTATACTACGAATCGATTCTTCGGTAAAGTGGCGACGCGGAGCGGAGACTTCTGAACTAATATTGAACGCCACACGTAGAATAACGGGTCTACGAATATGAACGGTTGTACGGTTTAGAATTCTCATAAATCATAGACACTGACTGATAAGTTAGACAGGATTAAACATAATCTTTTATTATTAATTAATACAATTCACGTACAAGGCAAGTAATTTTGTATTTTTCATTGGATTGATGCATAGAATCTAAGAATAATCTAGATTTTTTGAATCTAGAATTTTTAGTTATAAACATAAATTCCTATACTTATATACTTTCTGGTTACAAACAGTTAAGGCCTATCCAGACAAACTTGCATAAGCGCGTAACGCATATGCATAAAGAAATTGACCAATTATGATCCGTGTAGTAAAAAAATATTTTTTGTATTAAACATACAATTAGTTAATTTCTTTATGCATATGCGTTACGCGCTTATGCAAGTTTGTCTGGCCTTAAGGGCCAGAACACAGACTTCTGCATAACGCATAATACACAACGCATAAGAGAATCAACCAATCAGAGTTCTTCATTTCTGTCCTGAGGAGGGAAATGAAGAAAACTAATTGGTTTATTCTCTTACGCGTTATGTATTATGTGTTATGCAAAAGCCTGTGCTCTGGCCCTAATGTTCTCGTAGCAATTTACTAGGGCTGCGTTCCGATATTCACTGCCAGTATTGAAAATATATACTTTATGTCACATATATTATAGATTTTCAGTACTGGCAGTGAATATCGGAATGCAGCCTAGATAAGATGTTTCACGTACAATTCAGCTCGAGAAAAAGTGCGTTGTGTCTTATGAATTGCACTATTACGTATACTCAGTTTTTCTCGGATGAGCCTCCTTACATCTCGATTGACGTGAGACTAAACTTCTCTCTAACTGACTCAGCTATCATCACGACCACACAACTAAAGCACTCGTTTCACTTTGACTATAGATTCCGCCGCAATCAATCTGATCACCTCTGAATCAATAAGGTTCGTTGAAACATGAAATGAAATTCATACTGCGACCTTCAAGATTAGCCGTCCCGGGTTTGCGCTGTTATCAACGAAACTTCTCGGCACAAAAGGACGACGATAAACTGAAAGACGGAGAAGATGACGCGAAGGAAATTCCAGTTGACGATCTCGCAGAACCGACGAACTGCTGTATGTCAGGATGCGCGAACTGCGTATGGATTCAATACGCGGAGCGACTGAGCAGCAAGATCGACAACACGTCGGACGTGAACTTGCAAGCCGCTATCTTGGAACGAGTGCAAGACCCTAATATGAAGGCTTTCCTCAAGATGGAACTGCGTTGCCGGAAGTTGATAAAGTAGCGCTCCGAAATATTTCGTAATAACCAAGAGAGTGTACAACAGGAATATATAGAAATTAATTTTATACACATACTTGGTCTGTACTTTTTAGCTGCACCATTCAGCTGGTGCAATAAGTTCAAGTGAGAAAAAATATAGTCGTCTCATTCTAACTTATTGCACTAGTTCCGCAGTGTGCAGCTAAAAAGAACAGACCACATCGTCTCATTGGGAAATTTAGCAACGTGCTCGAAACAAACAGTTGCGTTAATATTTACTGCGCAGCGTAGCCGACGAAAATGAGCACTGATATTAAAATCCGCAAGACAAGATATACGACGATAATAAACTATGATATCGGCGCTGTAAAAATAAAATGATAGCAAAAAAGTTTTTAATTACGATATAGATTAGAATACGGAATATAAATAAAATTTAGTATGCGTACTAATACGTAGAATCTTGTACACATATGTACATAAAATGTAAATATACGTAATATAATATATAGTGTGTTAAATAATGCTGCATATCGTATATATGCGTGTGTTTTGTACGCGGACACCAACGTTGCGCACGTTTTGAATACCATCCAAACGAGAACGAAATAGATTCTCACAAGAATAGTCTCGCTCTCTCTCTCTCTCTCTCTCTCTCTCTCTCTTTCTCTCTCTCTCTCTCTCTCTGCTTCTCTCTTTGCATCGCTTCTTTCTCCGCCTCTCTCTCTCTCTCTTCTTCGCAGTTTAAATTTAATCCTTTGATTTTTTCACCCTCGCGCGATTGATCTGTGATCCGTAATACAGGAGCCTCGGGGTGTATTAAAATGGTTCAGAGAAAGCGAAGAGAACATATTTTTGTATTGAGAGAACTTTATGCAGAATACACGGAGAAAGAGAGAAACTGATACCGACTCGCAAGAGAAGAAGGATAGACACGGTAAGAATGAACGGATTACATTGTAGACGCTACATAGGCTCGATCAGCTGAATTTGAAATACAGATCGAAGTGATTGCGATTGCGATTCCGCGATGCTCGATCCATTGCCTTCAACACCACGAGAGATCGCGCGATTGTTCCCGCCGCGCCTCGACAACTCGAACCGTCCGTCGCTTCCAATTTGCAACTTTCGTCCGTTAATTGGCAGCTGCCTCTCTTAATATCCAGATATCCAAGTTTATCCAAGTCTCCGAACGTCCATCCGACGTGCATGGCAATCCTCTCTCGCAAGTGCATTCGTCGATCTGCTGACGAAATCGAGCGCAAATGAGGCCGCCGATAAAACGGAGCGGCAATCTTATCCGTGCCGCGCGCGCGTCACGTCCTTCCTTCGCGGCAACTTGCACGCATATGCTTGAACGCTTTCGCATTCGCCCACACTCACAATTTATTTCTCGCTCGTCGCGCGATATACACACTCGTGGCGCGTGTCGCCGCAATCTCGGCGGAGCATCGTGGCCGAACGCGTGAAATGCCGCCGTCGTTGCTGCCTGAGGATCGATAGATCCTCGCGGGATTTGATTCGTGCCGGTCGCGGAAGGGACGCGCGCGTACGTGGTGATTGAGATCTCTCGAGTGTAATTATCATCGCCGTTCGGTTCTTTCCTCCGCATATTCACCAGTCTCTTTCTCTCTCTCGCTCTCTCTCTCTCTCTCTCTCTCTCTGTCTCTCTCTCTCGCTCTCTCTCTCGCTCTCGCTCTCTCTCGCTCTTTCTCTTATCTGCATCGACTCGAGTGTCGAGTGAGTGACGAAAGAGCGACCTCGAAACCGCAATAACAGAAGATTGATAAGGTGACGTTTTGCTGCGAAGCGGAAGAGGAATTTTCAGTTGATGCAGTGTCGCGCACGATGCACAAAGTACGAAAATGTGAAGTAAATTAAGACTCGGTAATAACGAAGCTTCAATCGACCCGTGAGAAATTGGCCTATCTTTCGCGCGTATCATTATAACATATGTTATCTTGTCATTATTTAATACCATATCATTAATCCGTACTCGCATAACGTTCAAGTCACGCCTGTATTACCGCACGTGTTTATGTAAAACGCATAGATAAAAAATATAGCAAAGGAGACTATAGGCTTAATTAATATCAACTGTCGAGGCTGTTATTAAATTATCGGAGCTCTTATTAAATGAATCGGAGCGTACAAAGTCATGTCGTGGCAGAATGTTGTTACTCGATATTTCGAAAAGTCGATTGTCAAAAAATTTTTAACATTCGATTTATAATTGAATGATATTAATTTGCAAGAATACGTACCGTCTTCGGTAGGCGTAAAAATTGCCGGAAACCTCGGAGAAAAGAGAAGCGAAATGGAAAAATGCACCGAGTGGCCGCGTGTAAACACACACACACACACACACACACACACACGTTAAAAGCAACAGGTGTCCCGTGCGTGCGTATGTGCATGCGTGCAAAATTGCAGACGCGATTCGCAAAAACATTCTACAAATGGCACACGCTACGCTATAAATCTGCGGAGAGTTGTTTGTGTAATTCACCGCGTGAGTTCGGACGAACTCGCCGTTAATCTCACAGCTAGTCAAATAAATCGCGCCGCGAGAAGAGACGTCGCGTGTTCACTGGCGCGCTTCGTGCGCCCGCGCGCGCGCGCGCCTCGTGTTCACCTTCTGCTAAATCATCGACTCGTCTCCCAATGAATCACCTTTCATCGAATTGTAACCATTCTGTCGCGAGACTCCACAGTCGTCACGCGCGATTCTCGGTTGATCTCGTCGACGATAAATCATTGAACAACCTTGAAAAGAGCCAAGAAAGGAGAGAGAAAAACTTTTCAATTGTCTTAACAGCGACGACTGCCAGATTAATTATCATCGCCGTTAAACTGAAGCAAGACGAGAAAATGAGGATGACAGGACGAAACAGGACGGTGATCCACGAGGACATAGTGGGCGATCACTCGGCCACCGCGAATACATCTCTCGGTGAGTTATTGGTGCACTCGTCGATGCCAGCTGCTGCGGTCGCCGTGAAATTTTGCGGTGAAGATTCCGCGGAAGAAACCGGCGAGACTGTAAGTCGGAAGAGACGCGACATCTTCAGCACGTTCAAGAGAAGAGCCTTCAGCAGAATCAGCTTCAAGGGTGAATCTGGCCCGCTGCTGAGTAGGTGAGGATGAGCGAAATTGGAGTTACGATAGGAAAATTAAAATGTGAAAATTATACCCTACCTTCGGGGACACTCGTCAGGTCTGGAGGAAGAAACAATTAAAGTTTGTGGTCACCAAATCGTGAAAACATTGCAGTTTCTTTTTAGTTTTACGTTGCGATATCGAGATCATTTCTTTTCTTGCCCTTATCACACAGTTGCTTTCAGCTTTCAGTAATTTTTACATCAATCATTGTTAACTTAACTGATGTCGATCAATGACTGTTACAGTCTACATACAAAAAAAGTATAATAACAGCCGCAACTGCGTGCTGCAATTGTAATTTAAATTTCTGTCTTTACGTTCACTTATCCTGAAAATTCTTCAGCAACGAAAACCAACGACGCCGAGTCACTCGATTTATTTTATTCTCGTGTCGTTTGGAAGTGCGAAGAAATAGCTAAACAATTCGTCAAATGATGAACGATAATGGACAATCCACGTTAATGTCGTCATGACTCGGTTTTTTATTTTAGTGATGTCGGCGATGTGTTATTGTTTCTTACATTTTCTTATAAAATGGTTTGAACATTAACGGTAAATATGACTAAAGTTCGAAGTAAGAAGGCAGTTTGGATAGCCTTTTTTTTTTGTCTAATAAAAATCAGCGACGTTTCTCAAACAAACTTTCGTGTCAAAACAAGTCCAACAACGCGTTGGTGGTAACAGAATGTTCGAAGTTACAGAAAGCCAGAAATGAAATGACCAATTTAGACATTTATACTGGGCGTATCTTTTATCGTCGGGCGAGACGAGCGGCAAATTTATGCCTTGTCGCTTTGCATTTTATAGCTCGCGCACTTTGCGATGATGATACAGGCACACAGCGTCCACCACCAATGTCGACGAAGTTACAGGCGAACGAGAATTAATACAAATGCGTAACCATAACAATTATTATTTGTTTAATATTTATCTAATATTGAAATAACATTGGAAGAGAAAGTGAAAAAGATACAAAAAGAAAGGAAAAAGATATGTGTGAAAGAACATTTTTCATTTACACAATAAAAGAAGTATTAAACATATATTTTATAAAATTATATTTTTTATATTCCGTCATACGCCGTCAGAGGTCGTGAATAACGTCGTTGATCGCACTTTCCAAACGTCACTTTCTAAACGGTAAGTAAATGCGATGTTTGTAAGCGCATTTATGTAAATATCCACTTACGTGTTGCGTTGCATAAGCAAATTCCGATAGAAAGATGATAAGTTATCGCTTCCACGTACGCTAGCCGACAAGGACATCTCTCGAATAGCTCGAGTTAAGTCACTTGTTCACGCAATTTCTTCCACAACGAAGAACGTTAATACGCAGCAAGCGGAGAGGACAACAAATGTCATCTCAGCAGCATAAAATTGCACAGGAAACACACTATTAAAATATAAAAGAAGAACAATAAAACATTAACTGAAGAGATGCAGGACTAAATCAATGACACGCCTGTGCTTTCTTTCTCTCTAACTGAATAAATAAATAAATAGAAATAACAACGAATCGTATTATATTGCGCATCTATTTATCGACGGTGCTTCGAAAATAGTGCTCGGCGACGTAAAATTCGCATCACAATACGTGTTTTACGGGACCCGCCGAAAATAGCGGCGCGCGACTGCTATTTCCAAAGCAGCAATTGCCGGAAATCTTTATTCCTCTCCCTTCCCCGTACGAAAATAGAAGCACCTTAATCGCGAGAAGCGAATGGATGCGCTTTTTGCACGTCAGAGGTAATTTTGAGTTATTGAAATTTTTGCTCGGCCGGACTGGATATTATTCGAGTGTAATTAATTTCATCACCGAAGAAGTAATTGCGTTGTCTTACGCTCTTTGCATAATTTTCATTTATCGTTGTTTCACACTCTTCGCTTTACTATTTACGACATAGTATTATTACTTTCAGATCTACTTAATATTATTATTTAAATTTAGAGAAATTGTCTATTTTCTTTTATTCGATGATTAATCATATTATTGTCTGCTAGATTGCAACGACTTGCACAAGTTGCAGAAAAAGCAAGACGAATTTGAGAAATTTAATTCTGCGTCGTTTAAATTTCATTGATTTCATATATTAAAAGTCTCATCGACGAGGCTCCCTTCTTTGTGAAGCGGTTTATCGGCGGCTCGTGCCAAAGCGACACACGCGAACACAAAGGGGAATAATTGTTCTTGGCCGACCCACAGCTGAAATGTATCCTCAGTGCCCGATTAGCCTCGCTTACGTTAGTGAGCGACTCTAATTAGCTGCGTTTACTGCGTCTTACGGCAAAGTCGATTCGATCACGAGGAAATCGATAAGTAATCCATCAAATCGAACACCGGAATTTTTATTCCTTTCTTGTGATTAATGCATCGGATTAATTTCTTTGGCAAATTCCGAGTCGTGATTGGCTCGAGTAGTGCAACACAATAATAAATGATTTGCCATTAATAATAACTCAGCGGTCAAATAAATATCTTCACTTCGGTTTGATTTCTCTCTCTCTCTCTCTCTCTCTCTCTTTCTTCAAAATAACAGCTTCAAATATAATATATGTATTGGTTATACTTAAAAAAATACTATATACCGTATATTACCTAAAAACTACTTTCTCAATTGTCACTTCGGGAATTTTTGGACGCGACAGATAGAAGCGGCGACGTTGTCAAGACGACAACGCAGGTGTCTCGGATGCTGCGAGACGCCATCCTCTGGGCGAGATGATCGGTATAGATGGATTGTCGAGACTGCGACGAGCAAGCTCGCAAGTGTCCATGATGGTCATGAAGGCGATGACTTCCGGCGAGGCGGCTTGGCGCGAGAAGTTGTCCAAGTAATCGCTCTCTCGAGCGCTCCTCTTCTGTCTGAAAGAAATAATCACGGTCGGGGAACAATCGCGTTGACCATCCTTAGATTCGTCCCGATATTAATTTATCGATGTCTAATCGAAGTGTCGTCAGTGTTCGGTTTTTTACATAATAATTCGATGTATCTTGTTTTATCTTTTAAGTTTTTTTTCCTTAACGATTTAACGATTTTTCCATAACGATAAACGAGCGACGGAACACGTGACGGTTTTACCTGGCCTTGTGCAACCTTAATAGGTTTCGATTAGAATTTGTTATCGAAATATCGGACGTGACTACGTGCTTGAGAGGCGTGTTTTTCGTGTCGAAATAGCCACCCACACGTCGTCAAGACGGGAAAGTGTCCGCGATTATGGCAAGTAGCGGCGATGAACGTAATGGCATAAGCACAACGAATTACCGTCACTGGAAGATCGCACGGAAGGGCGGATCCAATTCGCCGTTCGTCGCCGTCCGCCGAGTAATCGCGCGACATTTCAGATCAAATCTCACACTGGTTTGTGACCAGCTCATTGCCAATTATTATCCGCAAATATTTACGGACCGTAAAGTGCGGGAATAAGACGGCAATAAATACCGCGAGAGATCGCATCTGTCTCGCCTGCAATTTCTAATGCACAGAGGTATCATCCGCGGTGTGCCTGAAACGATGCGAAATTATCCGGGGGGAGCTGCTCTCGCGATTATATCACCATCGCCGCGGCGACGATTTCGAGACCTCTCGAATTAGTCTCCGTCATTTAGTCGAACGCCAGTCGAACGAAACACCGTCGCCTCGGTGTCGTCGTGTACGGCGTTCTAAATTCGCACGGTTTCGCGACTTCCCAACCCTGACATATTGACCCACGGCGTAAAAATAGATTGAGCGGTGATGTTAAATAGCGTTCATGAGTATTTCGCCGAGATACACCACTGGAAAATCCATCATAGACGCCATGAATTTAAAATATTCTTCGTACGCGAAGTTATATTCTATGAAAAATGAATTAGCAAGATGCATCACGCATGTAACAATATATTATAGATCCACAAGAAAATATATATACACCAAAGAAAGTGTAAGAAAATGAAATAAAATTTTGATAGAAAAGAATAGACAGAGTAAAATTGGATCACACTTTATGTTTTACGTTCACTAATAATCGAGTTGATCTGAACTATCGAGAAATTTTCATATCTTTCACATCTTTCATATTTACGTAAAAGATGTGAATTTTTTTTAAATAAATAGGCTACCTGCTTGTGTATTCTCGTGAGTGAGTGAGTAACGGCGCATAAATATATAGAGTTCAAAGGGGTGGTGCTTTCGCTTTCGCTTTCGCAATCGTCTCGCCGAAAGCTCTGCCTTTGATCTAGGAATTTCGCGTCGAGACGGCGCGAAGAGATTGTGTAACCGTGTCTATAAACAATTCCAACAACTGTGATTATGTTCTAAAACTGTCGAAATTATTTTTAGCAACTTTCCCCAGCAGCCTAACGCGTTGTGTAAAAAATAATGTATACTTGGAATTTATACGTAATATACCTGAACTCTTCTCAGTGGGCTTAACAGCTCTACAGCGAACAATCAGTCGCGAATCCGAAGTTGAAATTAATTAAACGACCGATTCGTCTTTCAAGGTACCGTCAGACCAGATTCAGTTCCAGAAGGGTTCGCAAAAGGGTGGTCTTTAAGCACGGCGACTGCAACGTCGTGCAGGGAAACGTTGCCAAACGACGCCGGCGGTACCTTCAGGTGAGAGGTTTATTCTGCATATTGTATCAGACATGTGGAATAGAATATTAACCCATTAATGCCGGCTGGGACAGAAATTTCGCGTTGATTTCAACGTTATGAATTCTGATGAAAATGCTCGAAAATTTTTATCCAAAGCACATTACTAGGGGTTTTCGTTTCTTTCTCGAGGTCGCTCTTTTCGAATCCGCTGTCATAAAAAAATGAGTGTTTGTATTGATTTGTAACGGTTTTTTCCCAAAAAATGCAATTTTTTTCTAGATCATGGATTTCATCTTGATAAAAATGTTGAATATTACTGAAAAGTACTCCAATCGTGTCCTCGAGACTTGCACTTAAAATATATGTGGTTCTGAAATTTTTTGCAATTTAGTAATTTCAATATGGCGACCATATGGCATGTATCACCGTAGATATCGCCGGATCTTTGGGAACTCGGTCGAATAACTCGTTATGGGTGTATTTTTATGAAAAATTATCCAAAATAAAAGTTGTCCTGTTGATCGAATTCTTTCACTTCTTGGTAGGCCCCAAATTTGGATCGAATGTACTTTTTGGGCCTAACGGGGCCCAACGTTGATTTGTTGGGGCAAAACTTATATTTTTTGTTACAGATTTGGAAAGTACAGAAAATTTTACGTCCAGATATATATTTTTGAAATTACAAGTCTCGAGGATACGATGGGGGGATACTTTTCAGTAATATTGAACATTTTTATCAAGATGAAATCCATGATTTAAAAAAAAATTGCTGAGAAAGTATCACATTTTTTGGAAGAAAACCGTTACAAATCAATACAAACATTCATTTTTTTATAATTTTTGCAGCGAATTCGGAAAGAGCGACTTCGAAAACCCTTAGTAATGTACTTTGGATTAAAATTTTCGAGCATTTTCATGAAAATTCATAACATTGAAATCAACGCGAAATTTCTGTCCCAGCCGGCATTAACGGATTAATCTCAGAAATTGAAATATCTTCTCTGTCTCTCCCTCTCTCTCTCTCTCTCTCTCTCTCTCTCTCTCGCTTCTCGCCGTGATATTTATCACGGGCGGAATGACAGATCGACTTTCTCGCAGGACATCTTCACGACGTTGGTGGACGCGCAATGGCGGTGGACACTGCTGGTGTTCTCCATGAATTTCCTACTGTCTTGGCTGGGCTTCGCGCTTATATGGTGGCTGATCGCCTACAGCCACGGCGATTTGGAGCCTCAGAATATCAACAATCAGACCTTCGTGCCCTGCGTCCAAGATATCCGTAGTTTCACCAGCTGCTTCTTATTCTCCGTCGAGACGCAGCACACAATCGGGTAACTACGTTGTCATACGTTGCATTGTCATTTTACCATCGCACCGGTGTCGTGTTAGAAGTTCTTAGAAGCTGGATATACCGCGATTACGCAGATACGGGGCCAAGCACACGACAGATGAATGCCCGGAGGCGATATTCACGCTGTGCATCCAGTCGATGACGGGCGTGATTTTACAAGCGTTTATGGTCGGCATCGTGTTCGCCAAGTTGTCCCGGCCCAAAAAGCGTACGCAGACCCTTCTCTTTTCGCGCAATGCCGTCATCTGCCAACGGGACGGTCAGCCTTGCCTGATGTTTCGCGTTGGCGACATGCGCAAGAGCCACATCATCGAGGCCCACGTACGCGCCCAGATGATCAAGAGAAAGGTAGAGAGATAGATTTTAGACAGGCTTATCCGGCTCGATACATACGGTATGCTAGCGGCGGTAATATAAAATACGAGGCGTCGTAAAATAATCACTGGCACGTTTTCGGCAGGTGACGAAGGAGGGCGAGTTGCTGCCGTTCTTCCAGACGGAGCTGAAGGTTGGCGGCGACGGCGAGGAAGACAAGATCTTCTTCATCTGGCCCACCACGATCGTGCACAAGATCGACCGAAACTCGCCGCTCTACCGGATATCAGCCAGCGACATGCTGCGAGAGCGATTCGAGATCGTCGTGATACTAGAAGGTAAAGAACTCCTCAAGGAGAACGACGCGCGCTCCAACGCGCGCGCGCGCGCCGCTCGTGTGATCGGAAGCCTGCGAATATACACGGCTAGGGCAGTCACAGCGAACTTTGTGACGGGCTATCGTGATTATTAACAGGGGTGATCGAGTCGACCGGCATGACGACGCAGGCGAGAAGTTCCTATTTACCGTCTGAGATCCTATGGGGTCACCGATTCGAACCCATCATCACGTTCCGCAAGGAGACCGGCGAGTACGAGGTCAACTACACTCTCTTCAACAACACGTACGAGGTGGACACGCCGCTCTGCAGCGCCGCCGATCTCGATCGCATCCGCGCGATGCATCATCGCTCGAAAGCAGGTGCGCGCAGGAAAAAGGACCCGCCGGGAAAAACCGAATTCTTATCCGAATCTTATTGACTAGAATGAAGAACCGTGATGAAACGTGAATGAAAAATTGCGCGCGGGAGTGCGAGTATCGGTCCCGGATGGTCATACTTTGTAGAAACGGACACGAACGACATTTCTGTTCTCCAGAACGCACCGGCCTAGGTGCATTCTCGGGCTACAACGACGTCTCCAGCAGTAGTTCCTTGACCACCAGCTCCAGAGGGTCGAGTCTGAGGTCTTCCACGGGCGGGCTTCATCTGCGGACATCGTCGATGCCGACGGCGATGCCAACGGCGACACCTCCACACCCTATCCCGGTGATAATCACCAGCCCAGACGGCTCCTGCAGACAAGAGAGCACCAACGCGAAAGCACCATCGTCCTTCTACGCGCAAGAAGAGGCGAGTCATTAATTAATGTTGAATGAATTGGAACAAGTGGGAATATATGCAGATTTCGAGTACGATGATACAATTATGCCAATTGCGCTCTTACAGCACAACAGTACGGCAAAGTTCAGATGCGACAGCGAGGACTCGAAGAATCAGGAGGATTACGAGCGTGTCCTCGAGGATATCAACGCGTGTCTGAGGAAGAGCAGGAAGCAGAACGGCACGGAGGCTAAGTCACAACGACGGAACGAATCCGCGGCCACGTTAGACTCGAGGAAGAGCGAAGCTAGATCGAATTCCAGATCGATCGCTGAGGAGGCTCCAAGAAACGACTTCAAGATGCCATCTTCCGGGAGCAACGCGAGCAACGAAGTTGCAACCGAGTGAGCAACGAAAACATTCTTCATAATGGCTCTTCTTCTTCACGAGTTTCACTGATGCTTCGTGTCTCTCTCTCTCTCTCTCTCTCTCTCTCTCTCTCTCTCTCTCTCTCTCGTCGACGTGTTAACTCGCGCCACATAACGAGCCATTGAGACAAATGCCGAAATATCTCATAATTACATCTTACGCTCTCCGTTTCTGCTTCCGCGTAGGTGTCGCGCGAGTTCCTCGGAGACGCAGAGTCCTCCCGCGGTGCTCGCAAGGTCCAGCCTGTGCGACGGGCAGAACATCCAGGATGTCGCCAAGAAGACGAGCTTCCTTCTCGAGGAAGAAGCGAATCGCGAACATTCCCAGAACGCATCTTGCCCCACTCATTAAGCACAGGTGAATGATGATGAAGTTCCTCTTAAGCTTCCGCCAGACACGAGCGTAGGATGGGCTTGCAAGCGAGCGAGCTAGCGATCACTCGTCGTACGTGTACGATACACGCTTCAACAACGTGTTAAATAAGCAGCGAGATTAAGCGATTGACTGGCGTGATAATGAGGCCACTTCCCGGTACTAAGCTAATTCCGCCTATCTCTCCCATGACCCTCAGCACTCGATTATCAGTCCACCGTCCACCGTCCACCGTCTCTCTCTCTCTCTCTCTCTCTCTCTCTCTCTCTCTCTCTCTCTCTCTCTCTCTCTGTTTTTTCCCCCGTGCCCTTCAATCGCTCGCTCGCTGACGCTGACATCACGGTCGGTCGAAGGCGGGCAAACCTCCGTCGTTCGTACATACGTGCGCTCAGTTTCGAAAGCCGCTGCCGAATCTCGGTGTTTATCATCTGCAAAACGGCCGAGCGGAGTCGCACGCGAATCGGGTTTCATTAATTATGCAGGCACGAGACTCGCGTCTCTCCCTCTCTCTCTCTCTCTCTCTCTCTCGAAGGCGGACGCCGGGAGCGACATTGACGTCTCACGGGAGTGACAATGGCCGTCGTCTAGAATGTCAGCGCGCGGTCACACTGTTAAGAATGGAAAAAGCGTATCACCTTGCCGAGATTAATCGCGGACACTCCGTGTCTGTCCTCGGTCTGATGTGCTGATTATTCAGCGCGAGTCGCATCGTGAATGATAATTCTCGCGGATAAATGCGCGGAGATTCGTCCGTCCAGTTTCGCTTGCGCTTTTTCGGGGAGATTTTTTCTCCTCGATTTTTTCTTGTCGTCATAAACGAAGAGACGAAGAGGAAGAAGAAGAAAGGACGACTTCGCGTTCACCGCGCTCCTTGCGGCTTTGTAGCTGTTACTAAGATCTTTGTCTCCGATTACGAGCACATTAGCATAACTTGCGGACAAGTTTTCGGACAGCGTGTTATATTTTTGACTAGTCGTCGTCTGACGTTTCGGTCTCGGTGTTCCTCGTATATATATTCCACCTTGTATTCGCAAAATACGACTCTAGAAGAGTACAGCGGTACGGTACCTAGTCACCGTGTAATTCTGCCTGTCTTCGAATAAATACGCAATGATGGATTGTGCGACACCTAAGAAAGCCGCAACCAGTCATGAGACGAGAGGTAGACGGACGAATCATCGTTACGCGAGCCAGGAAGTGGGGTAGGATACGTTACACGCTGAGCACACACAAGGACGCACTGCGAATACGGTGCGCTCTTTAATCGTTAAGGCCCGGATGCTGCGCAATTAGAGGGACTTGAGTCGTACCGAGTGCACTGCGTGACATCTTTGTGGCCCACTTACTGACAATCTAGACTGCCTCTACCTGGACTCGTTCACGTCGCGACCGCGTCGTGACTGCGTGAATAGAACGCGCGAATTTACGAAACTTGGACTTTCTTGGGGTGAAAGTGGGCTTTTCGCGCGAACATTGACGAAACGGATGCGCATGTCAGTAATTCCTGAAGATATAATACGGGCTTTACCGAAGAAGAAGCTGATTCGAGCTTATCCGTGAAATAAATTTCAATCAAATAAATAAGCCTTCGACACACACGTGGACTCGGCTTCTCGGCAACGGTATTTTCGCGTCCATTCTTCATCTCGCGAACGTGTAGGAGGTGGTTGGAAGGTTACTGGAAAGGAAGAGAGAGAGAGAGAGAGAGAGAGGGAGAGAGAGGGAGAGAGAGAATGAAAGACAGTGAGAGGGGAAGGGGAAATGAGAGAGATGAAGAGGAGAGATCAAACGGGTGACGTCACCGAAAAAGCCCGTTGATGCGCCTCTTCTCGCGTCGCGAGAGCGAGGAGCTGACTCCTCGCAGTTCCGCGACGTCGACGTATCTCACATGTATATTCCCGTCGTGAAGTTTACAGGCAGACATACTTCACGCGTTTGTGGTAGTGCGTGTTCAAGCGGAGATTGGTGAACGTAGCGAAAAATTCGGAAATCTTGACAACGAGTTGTCTCGGCGTCGAGCGCTCTTGCGGAGAGAGACGGACATCGTGGTCATGCGCCACGAAATCCACGAAGGTGTGTGTCAATATATACAGGATGTTTCAAAGTGAGATAAACGCGCGAGAGAGAAGAGTGCGGTGATAGAGAGGATGAAGGGAGAGAAGAGTCTTTTTTCGCGCGAGTCCCAATCTCACCGAATATATCTGATCTCGGCTCACGCTTTCACATTTGGCGGCGATCACCATCGCGCTTGGAAAAGCGCGGGACTTCCTCGTTTTCCACGTATTTTATTTTTAGAAAGAATTTGTTTGGACACGCGAATGCGCGGAGGATCTATGGGTCCATAAATCTATACAGAGGGTTAATCACGTGTGCCTTCGCGTGCCCGTCGAGGTACGTTTCCGGCACGAGAGGAAACGCGCGCGCGCGCGCGCGCGCGCAAGCGTTACGCCGCGTTAGATTCCGCAACGCGACGTTGCGTCCATTTCACGCATTTATTCATTCGTCCTTCGTCCAATTTTTTATAACAACGTTCTAATTTCCAGTAACAACGCAAAATTTACCACAGGATCGTAGATCCTGCGCTTTCGGTCGGATCGGCGCCGACAATTTTGTTGTTGATTTTTCTAGCCGACAATTCCTCCGGTCGCGAGAGATTTGCATGAAAGAAAAAAAAAGACCAAATACTTAACATTTCGCGAAACTCTCTAAAAATGTTCAGTCCGAACTCGAGAGATAAAACCGACATCCATTTTCTCTTTCGCGTACTCTTCGCCACCTCTGAGTTTTCTCGAGTTTGAATTTTCCCGCCTCTGGCGCGCGCTTATCACGTGACGCCTCCTCGCCTTTGAATTCAAATTTCGGCCCGATTCGAATTCTCCTCGACCGTGGAGAATCGCCAGTGGAGAAATCCCAAATAGACCTCCGTCCTGAATTACGGCTCGCCTGAAACGGGCTTGATGTACTTGCACACGTCAACGTATGATTACAGCCTGCGTATTATCCCCGCCTGCGCGCACTAAAGAGGTAAACGCGCTCCATGATGAGATCTCGTGTGCGAATAGAACGTGAATCCGAAACAGTTGCGAGTGCGACGCGCGTGCGGTGCGCTGCCGCAAAGCGTGTCGGAAAAGCGCGGAAGAGCGTCGCTCTTCGTTGCCGAAGGTGACGCATACGCGACACTGCTGGATCACGAAGTGATCGCAGCGCGGACACATCTCGGGCGCGTTTACTCACTGTTTACTTAACCCGAGACTTCATCCGCATGCAATTGATCTTGCAGGCTCGAGGGGGAACCGGGACCTGGGAAGATCGAACGATGTCGGATGAGCGGCGGCCGGCCTCGAGGATCAGTCGTAGATCACGACGTCTAAAGAACTCTGAGTAGAAAGAAAAGCGCTGATAACGAGCGATAAGCGAAACTAGCCGAGTAAACGACCGATCAAAGCGGAGGATTCACTGCGGACGGAGAGGAGAGACGATGACCGAGAGGCTCAAGATGGGGCGATCCGCGTGAGGCTCGATCTTGACATCCATCTGCTCGGGACAGAAATTTAATAGAGAAAACAGACAGGAGAAAGAGAAGAAGCGAGTTGGCAGAATGGACTCTGGAGCGGCAGGGTTCTTCTCCTGTTGAGACGGGGCGGACGAGGAGGATGGAGGAACCATCGCAGAAACTCTTCCAGCTGCCGGGAACTATCGAAGAGGAGGAGGAGGAGGAGGAGGAGAGAACGGAGGGTCGAGCGCGGAGGGAAGTCTTGGAGAACGCGGCGGGAACGGAATCGCCTCTGCTGGGGCAAAAGGTCGTCGCAGCCACACTCTCCTCGGCCCTGCCCAGGAATGTCACCCTCGTCCGGGTGAGCACGCAGAGCAGCAGCATCGCCGGCGGGGTCTGTCGGCAGGATTCGACCAGGTGAGTGACTCTCTCCGAGATACCGAGGCGCGACAGCGAGCGACTGATCGTCCGATAAATATTCGGAAATATCCCTTCGACGCATTTACGATAGCGAGTAACGAGACGAGACGAGACGAGACGAGACGGCGAAGCACGAAGCACGAGGTATCGTCGAGAGCACAATTCGGAGGATATGAAGCTCTCCTGCGCGGACGAGCGAGTAACGGCTCGCTGTTAGACGCAATTAACGCTCACCCATGCGTTTGATTAACATAACGTTTCGTGCGTCGCGTGCGCGCGAACGAGGTTACCGCGCGCGCGCGCGCGCGTATGTTTACCCTTCGACCGCTATTCTCATTCCTAACGAGTTCGCTCGTTTATCAGAGTCGAGCGACGCGTGTTATTATTATCGTGACGTTGTACCTGCACGTCGCGCACTTGATATATACGTATATACGTACCTGATGTTTCACCTCCGTGACTCTCAGTGGCGTCTTTCGCATTTTAAGACATTTCGCTCGTCGTGACATCTCGCGCGCAGACGCTTCTTTTTTTTTCTTCATTAAAGTCTAAATCACTGAAGATCCCTGACGATCGTGACGTGACGTGAATTTTAATATGTTGCAAGTTGATCGTGCGACAGAGCAAGAAATAAACAAGTGCGATATCGAAGCAGAAGCGGTGGTTTCTCTTGCAACTCGTTGCGGGGAAAATTCCTCCCGGCTCCCGGAAGGATCGGAAGAATCCCCCCCCCCCCCAGTCCGAGTGGCCGAGTCAATAAAAAGATGCGATTTTTTTTTTAAATCGCCTAAAACTCTCCTCACTTGCTTCCTCGAGACTACAGCACCGCGCTCGCTCTTGATTTTGCGCGCTCTGCTGACGTTACGGACAAATCCCGCGACATCGCGAATCACGAGTACTGCGCGAGATTTTGTACTTGTGCGTGAAGGCGCCGTCCTAAGATACACACTCGCTAAAATCGTCGCGTTTGCCCGCGCGATTATCGGCGCCTTCGCGCCACGACAGATGTTCTCCGTGTGGACCTTCAAACAGGTAGACAGAGAAATCGATGTGGGAGATATTAGCCGATTGCTAATTTCGCTGATCGAATTGCTAAATTTAGCAAAGCGCACTCGCGATCGTGACGGCAAGTCCGAGAGGAGAGGTCGTCTGTCTCGATTCTCGTTTCAGGCAGGTTACTGTATGTGAAATTCGCACTCCGTTTATCCGAAGATCAATTTTAAAGATCGCAAGATCGACCACGATGACCCTGCTCTATTCAAGGATTCAAGTGTACATTCGAACGAAGGCTCAAGGCACGGAAATTTGGGGAAATCTAGTCGAGAGCGCTCGAGGATCGTTTTCGCAATCGCGGGTCCAGAAGCGGCTCTGTCGCACGCAGCCTCCGTCTCAGACCGGGCCGCTCGTTAATTTAATTGAAAGCCTCGTTATCGCCACGTGATAACGGTCAATTGAGCGGCCGTACCAGCCGCAAACGAGAACGTACAGCCTCGGCGAATCGAGCCGAGGATGAGCAGCTTTCCGCCGTTGATGTGATTCGCACGGATCGAAATTTCGAATCATGACCGTGCGTCGATCATGATCGCGGCCCGAAGTGCGGAGATCGTGCGAAATCGACGTCATCGCGGAATATCGAGCATTTCAACGTCGAGGAAGTCGATTTGCACAAAGCGGAGCAGTTGGTTGGTGCAACAAGACGATTTACCTTCTTTGCTGTCTCGACAGCAACTCGTTTAGCGAGCTCGCAAGCTTAAGCGTAACCATTAGACTTCTTGCCAGAGCTGTAAGCTGAGTGAATCTGAAAATTTACAACCGCGTGTGGATCAACTTGCGAGATATATACTTTAGTTTGTTAGCTGAACTTTCTAGACTCTTCTACATCTAGGTTCCACATACCCATTCTGTCTGTACATACCCATTATAACTCATTTTGTCACCACTTTTATTGTCACAGGTGCACAGTGAGTGAGTGAGTGGAGTGAGTGAAATATTTCTTGAAATTCTCATCCACGTGTGTGCTAGCTTTTCTTTAATACTCTTTGGACAGTATTAAAGTCCAAGGAAATTTATAGTACCTACCGACGGTTACACGTCTCTTCTTCTCCTCGGCCGAGAAAACGGGAGATAATCTTTTGTCACGTCATGTGTTTCACGTGCATCAGCGATTTTAGCAGCCGGTCAGGTGCCGATAACAAGATGCCAAGACGTTGATAAGAAGTACGCGACATCAGTCAGTCAGCCAGTCAGTCAGCCAGTCAACGAGATGTGCGAGTCGCAAAGTCGCATCTACGTTCGCTCCATTCTGAGCTCTCGCGATGGTCGCGGCGGTTAAACGGCTCTTTCCTCGATTCTTTCCTGATCGATTGATTTGACTCGATGAGAAGCGATTATCGATATTTTCCGCGAGCAAGGAAATATTGAAAAGAAATCGAGCGAATTTCTCGCTGTTTGCCGCGAGTGCGCGACCACGAGTGACGCAACCGTCCGCGACTGTCAATGATCACCTTTTCTTCGCGAATAGGAAGAACAAACGGCGGTTCGTTAGCGGCCGATAAACGGCAGCCGGTAGTCACTGTGTGCGCATTATAAAACGTCCTGGATCAGCAGAGTGCATGCCAGTAGATTTGCCACTACCATCCGCCTTCGCGGATCGATCTATCCGAGCGCGTCATCCGTCGATCCGACTTGGTCTGGAAAGACTCATTTCACTCATTGATCCAAGTGTGTCGCAAATTACAAGGCTTCACGAGGGAGGGAGGCTGTTTCCGCAGAAAGACAGATTTTGCAGTCGCAGACAACTCGGAAGAGCAAGACTGAAAGGACGGACGGTCTGAGGCCGATTTACGGGGAAACAGCGATTCGGCGGAAGGAGGAGAAATGCGGGAAGACTGACGATATGTTTCTCGATGATCCCAGGTGTGTCGTCAGATCAGAGAAGATCTGATTCCTGATGGAACTTCACAGTTGAGAACACAGAGAATAAGAGCAAAGTTCTTCGTCCGTATAATGAGTGAAACACAAAGTGAAAAAACGCAAACGCACGAGAACGAGTTTGCAATCGCTCGTCAAATGTGAAAAATGAAACACTCGAAATCCTCGCAAACACGAAGAAAATCAACAGGTGAGAAAGTACAATACACCGATTGCCTATTTATCAGTTCCAACTACGTCATTGGATTGTAAGAGGCTGAAGAGATCTCTGGATCGAATCTTGGGAGAGATTGCGATAACGCGGTATAGTAAAACCTCATTGAATCGCGCGTCTTCGCGAAAAGCGAAAAGATCTTCGATCGAATACAAAGGATCGGGAACAAAGGGAGAAGGGAGAAGGGAGAAGAAACCAGGAATTTTTTTGGCAATCTGCGGATACACCCACTTGGAATGCTAACAGCTGTAATATCGCACGTTGCGTCGATCCGTCTTCGGAATTTGTCAAGTGAGCCGCATTCGACCTCGGAACATTTCGAATCGGAGATTGAGATCGCGTGAGGAGATCGAGTAAGTGAATGAGAACGGAATGAACGGAATGAACGGGATAAACGGTAACGTGCCGAAAATGAGCGACAAATCGTCGTCGTCGCCTGACTGCGGGGAAGAGCAGAAGCTGCTGCCGACCACGCCGACGACGCCGATGATTCTACAAGTGACGAAGAATCCATACTCGTACTCGTCTTTCAGGTACAGGTAAATGGAGAACGATCCTCCCGAAATTCTCGGATGATCACGCACAATCGGCTCCTGTTTCGTAACGTTCCTTTTTCTTCTTTCTTCCTCTTCGATCGATATGATGAATCGGAGCGCTGAAAAACATACAATTGGATATCAAGTCACGCGATGTGAGTTTCGAAAAACACCGAAGCGAGGATAATTCGAGGAAAATCGACGCAAAGATTATTACGCGGTAAAATTATTGTTTCCTGCATACATAATTTACAATTTACCGGGACTACCGGCCTGCACTCCTCGCACTCTCAACGCTTCGATTATTCGCGTCGTCAAAAGTTGAGAAGCGTGAAAAATTGCACGTCGCCGCTCAATCATTGTTGCAGATTCTCGTGACTGCGATGACGTTTGCAACGGCATGAGCGATAACATTGTGGTTCTCTCGTGTGTAATGTGACACTTTTGCTGAGAGAGAGAGAGAGAGAGAGAGAGAGAGAGAGAGAGAGAGAGAGAGAGATATATAAAATATGTATAATATTGACGATGTATAAATTTGACGATCTTTTTTTGCTTTTTCTGACGTTAGATATTATCATTGCACGATACACGGTACGATGTGTTAATATTTGTGATATTTTCGTCGTCACGTGATGTGCGCGCGCGCGCGCGCGCGCGCGTGAGAGAAAATAAATGCCGTACGTCACGCGGCTGTAGAACTTAGATTCGGTGCAAACGAGATTGCACAAGTGCGGATTCAACTATTCTCTCCGGCTCTTATCAATGTCTCGCGACGTTTGATAAGCGTCTTAGAGATCCGAGACGGTATCTTAATGACGGACTGCTCGAGGCCGTGCTAAATCGCTCGCGAAAGACCAAATATTTGGACAGCTAGTGGAATTTTGTTATGTGCGTTGACGAGAGTCGAGAGAGCGCGTAGCGCTAGAAAAATTTACAGAGGCCGTAATAAATGATTTTTCTATTTGGCGAGATGTCATGAGAAACGAACGAAGACTTCGTTTCCGTGTCATTTCTTCGTCTCGGCGCGCGAAGTAAAAAAAAAAAAAAATACGCGCTGAACACGGGATAGAAACGTGAAAGCAGAAGACAGACACTTTTCGCGGTGGCGCAGCAGTGATAGAAAAAGCGGCTACATTTTCGTGCGCGAGCGATCTCCGTCCGATCAGCCGATCGCGGTACCGACCCGACCCGGAGACGGAGGCTGCCACTGGCTCACTGACTGATTAACGCGTAGCAATAAGTAAATTGGTAGATAACGGCTGCTCTCGGTTATCGTTCAAAGTCAAAATGGCGACTTCCTTTTTGTGTACGCCCAGAGGAATGGGAGACCGGGGGAGGCTTCCCCGCGAGAGTCTTCTCGGCGACGTCGGGCAGCGGACAATGACGTAGCTTCTCGTATAATGCGAGTCTCCGGTTCATAGTTCGCCCGTAGCTCTGACATCGGAGCCAACTCGAACGCGTTCGCGAAAATCGACGTGCGATATACACGTAGGAGAACACACAGCATAATTGCACGTTGTACTTGCTAGCCTATCGAGGTCGAGAGCAGCCAGTGCCAGTGAGATCCTCGAGCTCCCATATGGAAATCGGTTCGCATCGAAGCTAATACGCAGTTCGCGGAAGCGGATTGAATCGTGAACTTTCAAGTTGAGGATTCAGCTTGATCGCCATGTTCCGCTGTGTTGGAGTTAATACGTGCATTCATTTGTATAATTGAACGTGATAACGCGAGTGGGGGGAGGGGGAGGGGGGCAGGGCAGTGAAGAAAACACGATGACGTTCCATTCGATGACGAATAAAATACTCGCGATACTTCTCGCGATTGCGAATTGATCAGCCCGGGGGGTCATCGCCTTTGTGGGTGTCGCGTTTGCATTACCTCGGCTGATTGTCACGCTAGAGTTTGGGAACAATGACGCACGATGCGCAGAGATCCGTGGTGAGTGAGAGTGAATCGACCTCTGGCGTCGTACGCCCCAATCCAAAATCCACGAGATCTTGATTCCATCGTGCTTGATTCTTCGCGCGAAATTCTTCTCCCGCGTGATGACTTCGGCAAGTCCCCCCCTCCCCCCCCTACCCCCCGATCTGTCCTCGAGGTGTACATTGTTATTTTATGGCGCGAGTAACACTCTGCTCGCGCGTTCAGCATTTTTATTATGCAAATTTCGCGACGACGAAGATCACGTTTCGCGTAGGTCTTCGGGATTTGTTATTCAAATCCTGCTCTCCCATCGCATTATGCATCTAACGTAACGCAATGATCCGCTACACGTCTACAAAAGCCGCGATGCAACGTGACCTTGGTGACAATGCGTCACGTCGTTGGTTGTTGGCATGTTGCATTTAAAAACCCACGTCCCGACGATAATTCCTCTCGCGGAGACGAAATAGCAAAGACGCTGCAAGAGCATATCGACTCTCCTCCTATTTTTCTTCGGGTCCCACCTACGAGACTTTGTGCCCGAGAAACTGAATGCTCAGACATCAGACATGCTCCCCTAGCCCCTAGTGAATTCACGTTAAAATTGCGCAAAGGTGTCTAACGTATTCTTTTATCTATGTAACGTGTAAACCTGTGATGTTTCTTCAGGAGCCGATACCGGGCTGGACCGACGCGGAAGCTGCGTCGTCGCGCCGTCCTGAAGAACGGCGACTGCAACGTACTACAATCGCGCATCTCCAGGCGATCGCTGCGCTTCTTGCAGGATATTTTCACGACCCTGGTAGACACGCAATGGCGTTGGACGCTGATGTGCTTCATCTTGAGCTTCTTTTTGTCCTGGCTGGGCTTCGCGGTGATCTGGTGAGTGGCGGTGTTGAGTTTTAAGGAACAAGCTAGAAGCTACGATACACACGATACACATATGCGAGAAAACGGCTTTTCTGCAGTCTTATCTGTAGACCCAAGAGACTATAAGCCTCGAACTGTCAATGCGTCCAGGTGGCTAATCGCCTTCACTCACGGTGACTTCGAGGAACGTCATCTGCCGCCTTACCAGGTGGAAAACAACTGGACGCCCTGCGTTTACAACATCTTCAGTTTCACCAGTTGCTTCCTCTTCAGCATCGAGACCCAACACACCATCGGATACGGCAGTCGCTCCACCACCGAGGAATGCCCCGAGGCGATCTTCGTCATGTGCATTCAGAGCATCGCCGGCGTCATGATCCAGGCGTTCATGGTAAAGCTCGTCGACCGACGCGGGCTTCAGTCGAAGGGAATCGACGATGAAGCCGATCGAATAGCATCGATCGAAGCATCATGATGATTGCAGGTGGGCATCGTGTTCGCCAAAATGACACGCCCGAAACAACGCACCCAGACCCTGCTGTTCTCGCGGAACGCAGTGATCTGTCAACGGGACGGTGAGCTCTGCCTCATGTTCCGCGTGGGCGACATGCGGAAGAGTCACATCATCGGCGCGACCGTTCGCGCTCAGCTGATCCGTAACAGAACCACGAAGGAGGGCGAGATCTTGTCGCAGAACCAGCAAGAACTGATAGTGGGCACCGACGGCCAGAACGGCGACCTGTTCTTCATCTGGCCAACCACCATCATCCATCGGATCAACGAGGAGTCACCCTTTTACAACATGTCGGCCGAGGACATGCTGACCGATCGTTTCGAGGTCGTGCTGATCCTCGAAGGTACCATCGAGTCCACGGGACAAACCACACAGGCCAGGTCCAGCTATCTTCCGCAGGAGATCCTCTGGGGCCATCGATTCGACCCCATGGTGAGCTACTCGAAGGAACGGCAGGGCTACGAGGTGGATTACTCGCTGTTCGACAGCACCACTCAGGTCGACACTCCGTTATGCTCCGGCAAGGAACTCGCCGAATTCTACAGGGTGCAGGACGATCTTCGTCATGGAACCGGTGAGCAGTCGTGAGCAGGTGTTTTCTTCTTTTTTTTTACTCTCAAACAGACTGCAAAATCGCGTGCGATCGCTTTCGTTCAATGAACTGTTGAGATATCGATCGGACGAGCTGGCACGAATATATATATATATATATATATATATATCTATATATATATATTCAAAGTAATTTCACCGGACAAGTGCCGCCGTCAAGACAAATAACGGTTCTAGAGATAGAAAATTTTTTCAGCATCGAAGCAAATGCTATTGTGATCTACATTCCTAATCTAGTCGATGTTATCTCATTGATAGACGACGTGTTTGTGTCGCTACAACAAGCTGATAAAACCTTGTTCACCCGAAGTTATCTCTAGAATATTTATTGCTAAAGAATTTCCTGCTTCACTTCACTCGCCTTTCTTTCCCTTCAAGTATCATTCACGCTATCACCTTTTTGTTGACTTGTGCGCATCCTGCACATAGCTCCGTATCTTAGTATCGCTTAGAATGTTGAGCTTAGCTTTCCGCTTCTTCCTTTCAACTGCGAGTCTGTCGAGCGTCTCACACGTCTCAGACGATTCTTCTGTCGCGCAAACAGCCGTGAGCTAATAATCTGTGGACAAAATATCTTAAAAGTTGAGTGCTTCACGCAGCTTGCTATGTAGCTCATAATCGTCCTTGTCTGACTGCCCGATACCGGCTGTACCACAGATGGAGGACTAAGGCGAGTACCTAGCGAGCCGAAAAGCGCCCCGACCGTGCTCGACACGCTCTCCCGGGCTGCCGACAGCACAGGCTTCCACCTCGTCCATCAGGGTCATTCCTCTTCGCAAGAGCCACCTAAACTGCACATCGACATTCCGTCTATCGACGACTGCTCGGGCGTGTGACGTCGGTTTCTGTAGACTGGGAGAAAAGAGAGAAAGCAAATGCGTGCATGCTTGTACATGTGTGTGAGAGAGGGAGAGCGAGAAAGGGAATCCCTGTCACTTGTACGACGATCAAAACACGCCAGCGACAATTTTTTCACATCCGCTTTTCTACATCACGGAGTACTCACCCATCGTCGTCGAAGGGAAAATGTTACAATAAAGGAGAGAAAGATCAAGCAAAATAAAGACCAAGAAGAAATACAGTCGAAGTGACAATAAAGCAAAAAAGACGAGAGAAAGAAGAAGGCACCTGAGAGAACAAGCTACCTCGGCGATAAGCTAGAATTCAAATTCCACTTTTCATGAGATTGAGGCTCTGAACGGGGCATGACGCTCAAACCCTTCGACATATTTCGAGATGATTCGAAACGGAGAGGAACTTCTCTGGATTTCTGTTTGTGACTTCAATCTGTTTGTTGATCGTCTGTAAATGTCGTGCGAAGCTACGCTAATGAAGATCGAAGTTGTGTGTGACGAGATCGCTCGTTGTGGATCAATAGTCGATCGAAACTGCAAAACATAAAATAATCTTCGCGGTCTTAACTATCTTAACTTCGATCTTCAGTGCGCAGTCTATATGTGTTGTACAAAGAGAACAAAATGTCACGAACCGTCATCACCGTCTCACGTTCTTGTAATGGTCCTGCTCTTGTAAATATTGGAACTTTCGGGTGTCTGGGCAAGCTATTTCTGAAGCCTAATTTCTGAAAATCTAATTCAACCTGAGCGCAGAAAATGCGCTCATGATACGTCATTACGCTGAAAACGTGTCACACTATTCGCAATCTATTCGCAAAATTTCTATTCGTCAAATAGATCACTTTAAGGGATGCAATTGTCTGTTTCTCGCTTTTTCTGCGCTCTAATAATAGAACAGATTGATACTTTCGCTTCCGAAGAGAGAAAAATACTTCCGATATTTCCGATTTCATGTGGCATCATATTTTGTCTGCATGACGAGAACAAAGAATCAATAACTACGCATTAATCGACTACAAATTTCGATTCATTTGATCTCTGAGTTGAATCTGAGGAGTGAATTTAAGCCGCAGACTGTCTTCCAGGTGTCCTGATCGGCGAGAACTCGCTGGAGCGACTGTGTTGCTGTCAACCGACCATCCAGATCAACCGACGTTTAAAAGCGTCCCTCGCACCCTTGGACACACCAAAGAGTCATGAGGACAGCGCAGAGGACGAGCAGAGTTCGCGAAATGCCAAAGTTCAACCAAGCTCGAACTATAACTCGCCTGGGCCTCAAATCGCAAATATCGAATCGCCGAGGGTGTTTGATTTCGACCCCAACGCTATTCAAGTGATGGACGATGTGGAATTTGAACATCTGCCGGAAGCAGTGAACCGAGAAATCTTGAAAAACAGCCGAGAGATCATCTTCGAGAATGAAGAAGATGGAGTTTCACGGAGGGCCCCGATAAAACTGTACCAAGAAAAAAACAAGACTCCGAGAAGCAGCCGAGAGATTATTCATGAAGAGGAGAGAAGAAACGTCCCAATGCAGAGATCCTTGGGGAGAAATATAATGAGATTAAACGCGAGAGATGCCTCCAAAATTTACAAGGAAGAGATATTACCTCTCGTGAAAATTGAGGAAAATCACGAAGGCATTGGAAATGCTTTACAAGAACCCGGCAGAAGATATAAGATAAAGAGTAAGAAGGATTACAATATGTACTTTGAGAGGAAGTTAGGAATGCAAAATCGGCGATGTCACATTGCACCGCTAAATCGAGATCAGAAGGTGTCGCAGACAGATTTCTTCTTAAACGTAGAAAAAAAGTCTATGAGAAGACTCAATAGAAATCGCAGGGACGATGCCTTTGTAATAAATGATGAAAGATTCTTGAAGGAATCCGACAGAAACGCGATCGATCAGCTCGCCGTTTCACCAAATCGCGATCAAAAGATCCACCTTTTCTCAAACAAGGAGCAAGAGTCTTCTATCGAGTTTAATAGACACTTAATCGACGATCCTTTCGCGACGAATAACGGAGGACCCTTCAGGGGACCCAAACGAAATGCAATCGACATGCAGAATTACGAAATGTGTCTCGAGGAGAGATCGGAAATGTACGATCCCTTCTTAAACAAGAAACAGGATTCTTCGAACAACGAACGAGCCTTCGAGCAGCCAGAAACAATCGCGATCAACAACATGAAATATATCAAGATGCTAGAGGAAGGTGAAGAATCCTCGGAAAGGTCATTGACGTTGAATCGACGATTGAACTACGATTCTCCTCAGCGGGAAAATGACCATCGGCTGAAACTATACGACAAGATCAGAATCGAAAACGAGAAGAGGAGACCTGCCAGCCATCTCGCCAAGATAATAATACAGCGCAAATTTCATCCTGCTGGTCATCCTCGATCATTGGGATCTCCGTTCTCCGATCTCTCGCCAGAATCGGGCTTTTGCGAAGGGAATTTATCGAACTTGAGCCCGGAGTGCGACCGAAGGGAACCTCGCTTGACTTCAAGGAACAGGTTCGAAGACGTCGATGTGATAAAAGGAGACAGCAGTTCATCGGAAAACAACTTGTCGCAAAAGAATGGGCTTGGTATTCCGGAAGAGTGTGTTCAAGTGCCAATCGTTGAAGTATCTAGCTACCTATGTGACAATATTCAGATCGTTGACGAGAGTAGGACTTCTTCACACAGCAATCTCTCTCAAAAGCGCTTCGTCGAAGATGAAGATGACATTTCAGTGAAGTGTGTGAAAAGTCGGATTGTCGAAATGTCTTCTCGTATATGCGACAGTGTCGAAAATATCGATGAAAACAGGGCTTCTTCGGACAGTAGCTTATCTTATAAACATTTCTTCGACGAAGATAACAGTACAATAAAGCGTATTGAAGTTCCGTTTAATTGCATGGCCAATAATACGCATGATGTTGAGTATACGGAATCTTCGGCTAACGATTTCTCTTCCAAATATTTCGTCGATGACAATAACGATCCAGAAGAGCATGCTGAAAATCTGGATGTTCATTTGAGCAAAACCAACCAATGTTTTGTAGAGAACCACAGTGATGTAATAAAATGTGCCAATGCTTCGTCCGTGAAAGCAAAAATTATGCGTACAGGTAACGAGGTGCAGGACGTTAATGATGAAATGATGAAGAAACGTAGTTTTCCAAATGCATCCGGAAGATTGTTTGATGATTTTGACAACTCGGAGGAATTGAATTGTTGCTTGATGTTAGCTAAAACGAGTAATGAATTGTAGACGAGCGAAGAAATACTTGGATGTTTTTTTCTTTTTTTTTTTTGTTTTTTGAGAGAGATGTTAAGTTTTCATAAATTATACGTATATATGATTATATGTAAACGATGTGAATGTACGACTTTCGGGACGTTTATCGGTGAAAACACGTCCACTTTCCTTTATTGAAATTATTCAGTCGTGTATGCATTGCGGAGTATTTATTACTATTGTTGCAGCATTGAGTATTATATTTGAATGATGTATTGCATTAATAATACAATTAAATTAATGATCTATTATATTAATGATATATTATAACGAGAAAGTTATAGAAGTGAAAGAACTTGGACGCGTGTACAAAATCCAGCATAATCGATCGCGCGTGTGCGCGCGTGACAATTGTTTGTACAATAAAAGTGACGAGAAAAATTACCTTCATCAAAAAGCGTCATTCTTTAAAGTATCCTGTTAACCTAGTTGCTAACCAATAACACTAATCATTGAGCCGTCTGTACTGTATAACAAACGAATCCCGCGACATTAAAGGAATATAACGCCGCGAGTCTCCGTCGTGCAAATGGACGATGTGACACATTCTCGATTGCACAACATAGACACCTCGCCAAATTCTCAAACGCTCAGTTTAATTTCGCTCGGCCGTGATGAAACGTTGACTCGGCAAATTGTACCGAAACTTTGTGGCGTCGTCGGCCAGATCGAAGAAGAGGAGAGTGCGAAGAAATCGCCTTCAGAAATGCTGAACGTCAAACGTGAGTGCCCGATAACGCTATGTAAAACTGTGCAAGTGAGAGAGAAAAATAGTGATATCAAAGTATTCACTCTCTTTAAAATGAACATTGTTAAATAATAACACGTGATGTGAAGGTAAAATATCCAGTAGCCGACATTCTGCCAGCTCTCGGCATCTTTGCGCGAATTTCGTCGAATATTAAAGCACCGGCAGGAATACAACTTGATATTTGATGAAATCCATTCAAGAGTGTCGAGAATGGCAGAGTGCCGACTATTGGATATTTTATCTTATATAATGAGAGAGAAAGAGAACTCGGAAATTTTTCAGACCTGAACGAGGACAAGCTCCCTTTTATCTCGGACGAAAGCCAGGCTGAGACTAAAGTAAAGTTCCCATACGTGCACATCAGAAGGCCAATCTCGAAGGGCGTCGCAAATCACTTGAGTAGATGGCCGAACGAGTTGTCCAGCTTGTTCGTAGTAGCGTGTCTTATCATGAGCCTGATTCTCGTCACGTTCGTCACGCTTGTCATGATGATAATTTGCTCACCTGCGGCGAAGTACAAGTGGTAATATTCGTCTCCGATGACTTTTCGTAGAAAAGAAAGAGAACAGATTAATAAAAGCCAATTTCGGAACGAATACAGTTGCAGAATTGAAGATAGCTAAGAGTACGAATGGGTTTCAGCGATTTGGGAAGCTTTGTGGACGAGCGAGCTTTTAATGTCTACTTCGTGAAGGAAACAACGCAGACCTGGTCGAGAGAGGAGTTTTGCTATATCGAGACCGCAGCAAGAAAATATCCTGCATTGAATGTACGTGTTGCAAGATTATAATATCAATGTGAAACACTCCGGCGATAGATAGATAATCTTACTAAAGAGTTATTTCTCTTAGATATATTTAGTCAACTTGATACGGACTAGCGGCGTGCGTCTGAACACGCCGGAAGTTCATTTGAGAACGGCGTTAATTACCCACAACGCTAATATCTGCGATGGTGATTTCTCTATCGATGAACTCTTCAGCAGGTGAGACACCGCGTGTGATAATTTAAGTGCAATGTTAGATTTACACTTAAGTCCTGGCTGATTTTTCTTTCTCTTTAGGTCAAAACTGTCGAACATTGCGGGAGGTTTCAGCAACGAATTGCTATTACTGGCGGCGAAAGCATACCTACTGTGGAATTCCCCTGGGATCGCTATGCATCCCAGTGCCTATTGCAATTTGGCAACCATCAACAGGCCTTTGTGCAAGTAAATACACTCAGATACAGATAAGTTGGTGGACGAGAATTAAAATTATTAGATAAATAAAAGGCAATATGAAATCTTAAACGATGCTGTTTCATGTTTACTTTATTGTTTTTTTTTCTTTTTCTTTTTTTTGCGAAGCAGAGAAGGGGTACAGGATTGTGTTACACCAAACATATCGGTCGCGATCGATCTAACACTTGATTTGCAAGCAACGGAAGTGCATTGTCAAGCATTCCTGGGATTTTTGCTACAGGAGTTATCGAAGAATGTCACGCGAATCTACAGTATGAAAGACGCATTGGACAAATTCTGTCTGAGGTATATGTGTGTAATTAACATCTTTATTTCCGTACTTCCTTGTTCAATTGGTTCCGCTCGTTTTAGTCTCTTGCGTGTTGTCCCATTATTTTTAGAATCTCACGATTCTCGAAGAATATGTCACACGATTGTAAATTATTTCACAGGATCGACAAGTGTCCTGAAGTGCGAATGCTTGATTTAAGATCGGCTTGCTCGGTCAACGATCTCAATTGTCCTACCGTTTATGCGGCAGACAATGCGATGTAATTGAGAGATTTTATCATGCATAATAAAGAAACAACTTTCTACGAAGGATTGCTCAAAAATTTTATATAAAAAAACAACAAAAAGAGTACAAATTATGCATAAAGATATAGAATCATAAACTATATATAAAGATATTGAAAATCAATTGTGTATCAATTTGTATTAATTCCGCTGTCGCGTTGAGAGAAGTAAATGTGCATGTTGAGTCATTTATTATGATTCGTAGCTTCGATACTCGTAGAGCTGCACAACACCCAGCCACATCCATACTTCCGCCACTAAACGTGCAAATAGAAATAGGTAGGAAACTTCCTTTAGCATCCTTTAGATTAGACTAAGTAAACTTGAACTTTTATCGAGCGAAACGAAAGATTGTCCTTCCTTACGAATCATTAAAAGTAGCATCGCACTGTAAGGCAATGCGGTTTGTAGCTGAAGGTTCTTCAAAACCAACCATATCATCACGACAATATTGCAGAAATCGTACATCATCTCGGCCAAGAAGAACCCCATGAGAGGCAAACTAAATTGTGGTCGCTTCTGAAAGGATTATCACAAATGTACCGCGCGTTTGTGCTCTCAGAGTAAAAAAATAAGTTCAATTTATCCTCCTCTCCTCACCGAGACGATTGAATAGATCAGCATAATAGCTGTAACAGCAGATACTAGAGAATTCCAGGTGGAATAACCATAGGAAAATGTTATAACAGCCTTCTTCGAGAATACAAAGCCAGTCAGAACCTGCTCGTTTTCCAAAACAGTGAACATCCTTGGTCCATATTGTAGGCTGTAACAGCACCAATAGAATATCGACAACGCCAGCAATATTGCTCTGCTTATTGCGTAAGCCTGATTGCAAGAAGCTGTTTTCCAAAACGACGATATTGTTTTCGTCCGATATTTCTCGTGAGTTTCCATCGTTCCCGAGGAGCATTCTTTGTAATTACTGCAAATAACAGTCGGCGAGAGTCTCATCCTTCAGTGTACGTCATATAAAATAATATTCTGGTCTAGTTAGAAATCCAAATTGACAAATTTTGCTCGGTGGTAACTTATTATATTCGCTTTATGCACATACTTCACGTGGCTGATCTCGACGGAATCTCGATGGAGATTGATATCGAACGAGATTCGTATCTCTAAACCACCTATTTCATTCAATTATCAAACTTTGTGGGGTGTGAAGTTGAAGGATAGTAGTTTGCGATTATTATGTTTATAGTTGATTTGGGATGGTGCAGATGACCCTTCCTCGTTTAATTTCACCATCATAATTTGCCCTGGCAAATTATTCGCATTGAGACTGTTAATACGTGTACAATGAGATTAGATTCGTCGGATTTCGTTTGCTAACTGTTTCACGAATCTCGACAATTTGAGAAGACCACACACGCACACACACATGGTGCTGACGACATGTTCCTCGTTTAAGTGAAGTTAATCAATGCATTTAGGTTTCCTGCTTGATGCAACTGGCGGAAGAATATCTGGATGTGAAGCGAAGTTATGGCTTTTCGCAATCGACGTCACGTCAAAGCCTGTGGCGGACATTTTGTAATTAAATACGTCTCTCCGATTAATCAAATATGCCTCGAATACAGTTGAGTGCCGCGATGATAATTGGATCTTTGACAAATCGAACGAGATATTTGTACTTTTCCAGAAGATTGGACGCGCGGGACGAATAGCCTGCTCCTTATGCGATCACTATGTCATGGGCAGTTCGTCATACGTAATCGTTCTAGGCCTCATTGGGACCGTTAGTCCATCGTAATACTCTTATTACTTATTTTTGTTCATTCGTTAAACGTAACCTTATTGTCGTGACTTTATCCCAAAGAAGTCCACCAAAAGTTGCCATCGAGTCAAAATGGTGGTATTATTTATTAGTGTAAAACTTTGACAGGTAATCACAATTCTGGATGTAGCGCGTACTACAATGAATTATAAAATCGCCAGAATATCCTCGCGCCATCGAAACGGCAATCGAGAAGGTAATATTTTTCTTTACCATCTTATTGTCCGAAATTTCATCTTTCCATCTGCTGTAACACGAGTAAGATCGGTTCGCATTTCGATGAGATCGATCTCCGAAACGAAGGACTATGCAAAAGAGTATGCAGCAAGGACGATAACTGGCGGCGTGATTTGCATATATAAAGAGGGATAACACCTCGTGCATCAACAGTAAAATCAATAATGATTCAATTAATCGCAGCGCCCGTCAACATCGAGAGGGACTTGAAGCTGATGACGTCAATATTGGGAATCGAGCATTATACGTTGATCATACTAGGCGCTATCACAGTGAGTATAAGCGAATTAGAAGAAGAAAATAACGATAATTTAGAATTGTTATTCACAAATCCTTTCTCACCGAAGGATCTCTCGCTTTCGCAGGAATACCCTGTATTGCACACGCCTTGGCTGCTGATGCAATTCTGTGTCATCGCCGTGGAGGTCGTTGTTGTCTTTGTGAGATTCTTCTTCGACGGTTTACACGTTAAACACAACGAAATACTGCAGGCGTTATTCACCGTCTACAATTGGCTGCAAGTCTTCTGTCTCTTTTATCGACAAGCTCGAGGAGCGAATTAACGAACAATTTACTTTTAATAATTTGTACATCTCCTTTCCCCCGTTACTCCTTTATTATCTTTGTAAGAGTATTCCCTCTTCTTCCTTCCTCGTCTCGCTGATAAAATCAACACTCCACACTTTTAAATAAATCCAGAACTTCTTGCCTTTATTAAATATTATTATTATAAAACAATCGCTAAGGTACAATTTGGAAATCTAACCTTATTATATATATTACATACGCAATTTACGCAAAGAGACGTCTGGTTGATTCTCTTTATATATATACTCGTAAAATTACCCTTTCCCATTCCCGAATCAATCCTTCTTGAATTTGAGCAGCAGTATCGCCAGGGTCATGAAGATGCTGATCCAAATGAACGTGGCGATAAAACCATAATAGACGACCGGTTCCGAAATCGGCCAGCCTCTAGCCAATATCGCCCTCATCGACTCCGTGCTCTTTGTTAACGGTAATAGGAAGCTAATGTATTTGAGAACGGGGTGTATGCCCTCGATTGGCCAGATGATGCCGCAGAGCATCACGATGGGAAGAAAGGATCCCATCGCCAAGTATGTAGCGTTTCTCTCGTTGTCGCAGAAGCAGGCGATAACGAATCCTGAAAATTAGTCAAATCTTATGCGTTTAATATTGCAACATTTATAAAAGAAGCAAGAAACAATGACCATTATCTGTTGAGAAAACGGGTTGTAGTCCCGAGAGATCCCGACTCGATCGAGGATCGCGATATTAAGATGACAAAGAAATTACCGAAGCACATGCCGCAAAGTCCTGTAAGGACGGTTAACGTGATGATCCAACCGATATCACCCTCGCAGGTGACCTTAAAGATCAGAAAGCAGACGATGAGAGATACCACTGTCTGCCCAAACATCACCATGAACTGCGTAATCACTTGGCCGAAAAGAATCTCCGTGCCAGTGAGGCCTGAATAAACATGTTGAATAGTATATTATATATATACGTACAAACAGTGTTCGTCCCCCTCATTCTCTCAGAGTCATATCTTCTTCGAATCGTGAATTCGTCGATCAATTTCAAGTCAATTTCTTCCTTAGCAAAATGTTCAAGTACTTATTTTTCCCTTCGCATTATTTACTTTTATACACACCTGATACGAGACTTCTTTCTAATAGACCCTCGTTCCTTTCCAGCAACATGGAACCTGATGTCAAGGCGACCGAAAGAAAGAAGATAATTCTGTAAAAGTATTCAAAAGCAAAGTGTTATTATTTAGCATCGAATGCTGAGTGTAATTAAATACTTTTCCTAACTTGTCTTATAGGAGAAATATACATCTAATATATAAATACAATATATTATGTAAAAGTAGGTACTTTTAAAATAGGCACGTTAAGCACTTACGTTAGAACTATTCCAGGGGCTGCAAAATCCGTGAAATTAGGGTTTAGGGGTCCATAGATCGGTGTCTCAAACTAATTTAACAATTCAATTATATTTGTAAAAATGTATAAGCATATCTTCCATCTGTCTAGAAAATTGTGATGATACATTTTAATTTTTTCTCTTACATTTATGGGTATGCTTGTCAATTTCTCGCTGTAATTGCAAGCCACAGTGATGTCTCTTGCAAAGTTTTGATATGCGTAAAGCAAGTCTCTTTGTAGTAACTGGCCTATCTGTTGGTCTATATTGAAGGGAAAGCTTTTTAGTAATAATAAAATAATATTAAAATAAGAATATTTAAATAAGAATAGTCGGAATGATATCATAGAATATAAAATTATACGCTGTCACATGTTACATATTACAATCTTTAATCTCTACTGTTTGCTTGATCGACCGAAATTAAAAATAAATCGAACAGGTAGCTGATTGAAAATCGGTCCTAAAATTTCGGAAGAATATCTTCACCAAGGGAATTCACTAAGGGGAATATGTTTGAGCATACTGGACATGTCCATGACGACTTTCATTTCAGAAGATTCCAAATCCCAGTCTGCTACATTCCTGCCATCGTCTACCCTAGCCATGAGAGAACTTGAGTAATTCGAGGAGAATGTTAAAGTGGCCCACGCTAAACCTTTCTCCACGGCAACTCTGGCTTCTTCATCGTTGTTATAAGGTAACAACACTAAAGTTCTTTCCTTCAGATACTGAAGGTATCGACAACTCAGTAGCGACCAGTCGCATCCGGTCGTGGGTATGCACGATTCCATGATCCCACTCTTGTTTAACTCATTATTGACCACGGCCAATCGAAGGCCTACTGGGTCTCTACCGATGGACAAACAGAAGAGGATAATTTGAGCCACCGGTAGACCGACGATAAACGCCATCATTCTACGAGAAGAAGAAAATAAAAGTAGAGATGCAGGAAATGTGTATTAATGTTGGCGAAAGTAACATCATCAAGGATGAGGTGATACAAATAGAAGGTAAGCCGCAAGAAAAGAAAATACAGAAAATAAATTCTGGCGAAATAAGACATCAGGTCGTGTTACCCGAAATTTCGCCACATCCACAGGAAATTCTTCCAGATAAGAGCTTTCATGTGCATCGGGTTGAGCATAAAGTTGGAAGAACCTTCCTCCTCCGGCGGCAATTCTGGCATCTGTCGTGGAACAATCACGGGAATTATTGAATCAAATGAGGATTCAAATATTATAACACGGGAAACCGAGTAACACTCAACAAGGATTATATCATACATTGCCGTCATCCGTAATGGCCACACTTCTTCTTCGACTAGAAATGCTCACGTTGTCGCCAAATTCACCACTCATCTCATCGTCCACGTCCTGCAATCCAAGAAGCGATAACAGTAAAGTGAACGATGCTCAAACGAATCAGCAAATAGGCTTGTTTAAGCGAACGTTTCTTGCTCAAACCGTATTTGAACGTAGAGAGAGGCGCTCACAGAGGAAACGAAAACACCGATTACCGTTTCAAACTACTGCACTTCAATTAATTCATCGCGCGTTATAACACTCACATTTTCTGGCGGTACGCCTGTTATACTGCTCAGAATACTGCTTCTTCGACGCAAGCCCAGATTCTGCTTCCTGCTCAGTTTCAGAAAAACGTCCTCCAGCGTATCGAGACGATGCATTTCCATCAGCTTCGTCGGCGATTCTTCCGCGAGAAACTTGCCGCTTCTCATCAGACCGATTATTCCGGCTTGCCTAGAAGAAAAAAATTTTTTAATCATCTCTCGCTGTTCAATCGCTGGACGTGACTGGAGAATTACTTCCAAGCAGCTTCTCACCTTGTTTCCTCGATGTAGTGAGTGGTAATAATAATGGTCTTGTTGCCATCCTTGGTGATGTGCACCAAGTGATCCCAGATGCTCTGCCGTAGAACGGGGTCCACACCGACGGTCGGTTCGTCCAAAATCAAAAGCTCGGGATCGGCTAAGAGAGCCGCAGCAAAGGACACTCGCCTTTGCTGGCCGCCCGACAGATTCTTGACGAAACGATTTTCGGAGGGCAGTTGCAAAAACTGTGATCAAGGTAGACGCAGTCATTACATTTCGCCGGTGGATCTAATTCTAATTATATGGATATAATCTGTTTTAATACATGTGGAATTTGTATTCGTGTGAATTCAATAATATTTTGTTACTTCCAGTTCGGTCAATTTCTTCTCGAGGAGATACTTTTGTGCCATTCATAATCGATCTGGATAAAACCGATCTTGACAAAAGATTGCAAATACATTTGAGCGATCGCGTGTAGAATCTGCACGTGTCATATCTGTGTTACATAAGATCAAGGACATATGACCAATTTCTTCAGGGCTTTTTCTTTGTGCACGATAAAAAGACGCATATACAATGAAAAACTAACATAAGATTTGTAACATTACTGCGACGTTCAGCAAAGTTATAACGAGCAGAGTGATATTGAACGCACATGCTGGAGGCAACACACACCTTGATAAGAAACTCCAGTTTCTCGTCCACCTGGTCGGTCGTCATGCCGGCGCACCAGCCAAAGTAGATGAATGTCTCCCTGATGGAGAACTCGCCGTACAGGGCGATCTCCTGCGGCATGTAGCCAACTCGGGGTCCAGGCACGCCGGATCCCTTGGACCCCGGCCGGCCACCCAGGACCCAGATTTCGCCGGAATTTAATCGTCTGCGGCCGACGATGCATGACAATAAAGTGGTCTTGCCGCAACCGCTCGCACCGAGCAGTCCATAACTGTTTAACGAAGCGATCGTTTCATCGTCGCGTTATTCCTTACATCACGTAATCACATCACCTAGGATCGTTATATAGGATCGTTAGAAACAAAAACTTAATTGCACCGATTACTCACATCGTGCCTTTCGGTACAGTCATATTCAAGCCATCGAGAATGACGTTCGGATTGTTCTTGGAGCCGTACTTCTTGAAAGCACGCCTCACGCAAACCGCCTGCCTTCTTCGCGTATCCAAGGTGGATGTTTGCGTTTGGAACTGCTGTCGTCGGGTCTTCAGCTCCATCAGGATATTCGATGAGTTCGCGCTTTCCATCTTTACGTTGGGGAAAACAGAGGGAGAGAATAAAATCACCTGTTGCTCTTTCTGTCACCTGTTGTTGTGATATGGAATGTATCGAAAAGGAAAAAAAGAAATGCATATAACCTTCGATACTTCGATACTTCATTACCATAGCTGTTTGAACGCGTAAAATCATCGTACGAAAACAATCGTGAAGTGATTCCATTGACGTCATTTGACTCAAGAGGTTGCGAATCGAGAATTTTTGTCTTTCTTAATATTTTGCACTCAATAGCGGATAAATGAATCTACCAAAGAGAGATCCTGATGCGTTACTTTATTCACTTATTGTACTCGTACATTATTCCAGCTACTACTGAATATTCTTCTGAATATAATTTTCATTTATGTGAGAGAGTTATACGGGCAACAGTGTTTGGATTTCAGAAATTCGAAGAACTTTTTCTTTCAAAATTCAACTTGATGATCCCGTCGAATTTTCAGATCAACAAGCTTTCATTGAGAAATCGAATGTCTTGTGTTCGATTAATTGGGTCACGTTGCGAAAATTGTATCGTCATGATATATTTGTTATTTTCAAGTTGAGCCGTCGTAATCCATTGGACCTTAAACAATTTCTTATTTTTGACAATGAAAAGAATGTATCACTGTGAAATATGCATCTTCCATTGAAGCGCGTCTAATTCTGAAGCATTCTGGCAACTTGAGATTAGTAATCAAATTCTAAATACATCGAGAGGAAGCATGAATTTTTCAGCGATGAAATCAATTTGTTGTGCAAATTGCATATTTTCGTCATATCACGATATGACGTTAACAAAATACTGGCTGTCGCGTTATTATGTCAATGGGTAACTAAGAAATGTGCGCGATGAGCGAGCAATACGTATATATCGCCACGCAACGCTGCTTTCACGTAATTCGCTCATTTCTTTACTCATATTATGAAACAGCGAGAGAGAAAGAGAAAGAGGGAAAGAGAGAGGCTGACCGCCTAAGGTTACGTCCGATCACTTTCCTTTCTTTCGACTCTCCTCTTTTCGTTTCTTCTCGATGAACTTGCTTACGTCGTCGTCGGACGTAATCACTCGTCGGACAAGTTCGACGATACCGCGCAAAATACTTTTACCTTCTAAGTGTTCAAATACAAAATATTACTCATTTGATTTGAAATATTACTCATTTCACTCGTCGGGGCTGCTGTACAATTTTTATATTTATACGGGCAGAAACAAAAATACGAAACAAAAATTAAAAAAAAAATAAAGACGGTCGTATCAACTGGGACAAGATTATATATATATATATATATATATATATACATATACATATATATCACCGCGCTTCCATGTCGAACGTCATTGTCGACGTAAAATCTATTTGATTGCTTTGGCCATTTGACAAATTGTGCCCTTGTAAAATCGCAAGTCAACGATGAGAGCGAGAGCAATTTTCAACTTCCGCGATCATTATCGAAAGAATAACGTCAAAATTTTGTTTAATGTCAACGTAACTCGCTTTTGGTTCCCGAATTTTGTATGTTTATATAGGATATGTTTTATCTACTATTCCATCTACATTCAGTTTCTCTCAATATTACTTGCAATATTGTAGAAAGAGAAATACTCGGTTCTATTTAAGAATATTCAAGATCACAGCTTCAAAGAAACTCTTCCACGAAAGAAAAAAAAGGAAAAATACAAGAAGTATATATTCTATTAATTCTGGTTATACTACATTTCTTCTGTCAATTCTTTTGTAGCATTTTATCATAAGAGGCTGACCTTTGCAATATCGACGTCGACGTGATTTCTTGCTTCCTTGAGCAGAATATAGTCTAAGAATAAGACTGTATAATTGGGATCACTTCGATCACTATCGAGCACTTATCTCTGCGTAATATTTCTTCCTCTTTATTCAAATCAGCCGCATCGTTGTTCTTTGGTTATGTCACTCATATCCGTGTTTATTCACATATACTTAGATTTTTCTTTGTGTGCACATAAATTAATTCATATATTTCACTTGTGTCAATGTTTCCGAACATATCTTCTTGGAAGATACTTCTTGTGGAAATTTTTCCGACGATTATGCTTTTCAGTAATTTGCTCTTGAATAGTATGGCTGAATGGTTCAACAGATTATTTTTCGTTTATCGTCTATTTTGCAACTGCTTACTTTACAGTGGTCTATTCTTGTATGTGTGCTTGTTTGCTCAGCTTTTTAAACATTCCAGTCTACTTTTTAATAATACTTTATTCGGTCGAAGCATAAAATTATAAAATCAATTACAATTACGAATGAATTGTTGAATCAACTTTGTGCAGCTCGTGATCACTGATAAAGCTGCTTGTAACACACGGTCCTCTTCTTTGTTCCTCACGGATTCTCAGCTGTTCTTAAAAGATACACATCTTGATTCCGATATGACATGATTGACCTTCGGTCAGTACTCAAAGTGTCATAAAAGCTTCGATAAAAAAGGAAACAGAAATATATAAGGAATATGAGGAATCAAAGAGACGAAAAATAGAAAAAGAAAAGTTCGTTCGTTAGGTTTCTTCAAAAAGAAAATTAGAAACTAATGAAAAATCTTAAAACGTTAAAATCATTCTAAAGCATTCTACGTCTAAATTGAGAGATTAAAATTTTACACACTTTGTTTATTATATATTCTCCAAACTCTCTAAGTTTCGAAAATTTTGAGAAGCACCGCATCGATTGGCGAATTACGCCAATCACAAGCAGTTAAATCTCAGAATTTGTGAATTTGAGAGCGAAGCCTTGAGAAACAATGTCGCGGTGGATTTAGAGCAATTCACAGTTCTAACGCAAAATTTGTGTCGACAAGTGTCGACGGACGAATAATGAAGTAATATTTGATAGCGCAATGACGCGTAATGACGCACAAGCACAAGTTTTGACGATTTATAAGGATCTACGATGTCAAAGTTAGACTTTAGATTCCTATGGCACTTCTGACTGGCGCACACTGATGCACCTAATGTTTGTACAACTTCACGTCACTATTACCAGACGTCGCAGACGTGTTAATCTTCCGCGTCGCACGGAAAGACTGACGGAAAAACGAAGGCGAGAGTGCAAACGGGGAAAACCGAGAGTAAGAGTGACCTAGCCAAGACAAGGCCCAGTAAGAACTGGCTCGACTTGAGTCCCCTGCGGACCCTGCGGAGAATCGGTCGCTTGTGCAATCGTCTGGCTTGAGCGAAAGACGAATATTTAGAGGGGAGCCTTGTGCGCATCCAATGGCTTTTATTGTATACAAAAAATAATTATTTCAACATTTTAATGATACTCGGAACTTGTTTATTTATACAGCAAATTAAAATTTATATTACTCTTGGAATTAACCGCGAAACGACCACGTGAGATCAATTGAAGCTAGACATTTTCTCGTTGCCAAGCATATCCCACCGCACTTCTCCCGCATCTTCTTCTCTTAGATGAGAAGCCCAGAAATTCCCTTTTCGTTTCGCCAAACCGGTCACATTCCGTTCTCGTATAAAACAACAATTTGGTAAGATTGAACGAGCAGTCCCTTATGGCGCAGTAGATAGACTGAGAAGAACTGTACGAATATTTCGGACAAATAGATTTCACAACAACAGCCCTTGGCGAAAAAAGACCAGTGATATAAATTTAACATTTAAATAATATAGATTTTGCAGAAAACATGACAGCATTATTTTGTAATTTCGGTAAGCAGGTAATTCTCGTTCGGTTGCAGGATGCAAAAGTCATATCATCATCGTCTTTGTGATATGTATGAATCTTATAAATTTTGTTTAGAATTAACGACGTCGAATCTACGAAATCTTATTACGTCTTTACGTGATATTCCTTTCGTTGTCATTTTCAATCCTTACATATATTCATTTAATATATATTTTAATTTAATATATTATATACAAGATATTTTTCCCTTATATACTTCTCGAAATCTATCGAAATATATTCTTAGATGTATATTATAATTTTGCTTCGTTATTTTTCAAATAGAGATGTCTGTTATCGCGTCCAAGCCATATTACCGGTTCCATATATATTTTTCTGTGGAAAGAACTTTACGTGTGTATGTGTGTGTGTGTGTGTATGTGTGTGTGTGTGTGTGGAAGTGCACAGTCGCCGTCTGTCCCAAGAAAAAAGATAAAGATGTCGTGAGTGCGAAAAAGAGGATCTCCTTGACGAACTTTCAAAGTCCATGGTTGCTAGTTTCATTGGTAGATTGAAGTTATAGTCTTTAATAAAAAATCTGTTTGTCGTTTTCATATATGTTACAAAATTAATTGTCGAATCTCATATAATTAGTAGGATATTCAAATTAATAAAATTACACGATATTAATAAATGATATATAAAATGGAGCTGTTTCCTGTCTCGCGCAGCAATTATTTTAATCAGAAGTTTTCAGAAACTACACAAAAACGAGAAAATGTTGCAAATATCATAATTCGCGCGAAATGCGTGGCTGCTACCAATACCAGTATTAAGTAATAAAGATTGCATGAGCGCCGACCGTCTCGATTTCCAGTCGAATTTCACTTGTGTTTGGCAATATTACAAAAGAGGATCATATTACGTACATACTTGTTCTTTCGCTAACCTACTCGCGGCGATTAATTAATCGAAAGTTACTAACGAATACTTTCGATGCGTCAGAAAAGATACGCGCGATTCGCTAGGTGACGTAAGAACCGTCGAGGAGATACATACATTTTTATTCAAATAACCACCTTAATCGTCTATTCGACGTAATTCGTGAATTCGTAAGATTATCGCAAAATTCATCAGTGATTTCGGCGTCGGCAGACCGTTGAGTTTCCGGCATGAAGTAATCCGCACGCGGACCACTTGCACGAAAGGTGATGCAAGATTGGAGCGACCCTGCAGAATGAAGAAAACAACGATATGTGTAAGTCCGTTGACGTATATCACTGATACAATGCCTACAGCTTAGCCTTGACCGTCGACCTCAATCGTCTAACATTCGATTCCAAAGCATGTACATATAATTAAGTAAAATATAGAACGCGTTGAATTGCCCTCGCTACGAGGAGTTTGCTTCATTAGAGATTCAAGCACACTTCAGGTAGTGGAATCGATAAAGCGACTATTGATTCGAGATACCTCCTCCTCGTCCTCGATCTTCGAAAGTTTTCTGCTTGTTATATACGATATACTATATTATATCTCACGAAGCTCGAGGTCGACCACCAATGCGATATCCTGCGTTGAAATCACCTTGATGGTAAAGCGCTCCGCGAAACGACCGCATGTAGTCGAAGGTAACGCGATATCTATATTTAAAGCTCTGGCAACGATAATAAGCTGCGTTTAATATTTGATGATATCGTCTCTGTGTATAGTCTCCTTGGAGAAATATATACATATACCGTGATCTGCTTTGCGAACCAAAGTGCTTTCAATGCGCTTACGATTAACGATTAGCAAGCATTCTCAAAAACGCGATAAATAAAATAACGATAAGAATTGTGATTAGCGTAATTATTTTAATATTTTGCAGTATTAAGTCGTTATCAATAAATTAAGTCGTTGCCTTTATATTTCATCATTTAGTAATTTCATCAGTAATGTAGCCTGCGTAGCTACGTGGCTTTCTTTAAAATGAAATAACTTTAATGCAAAATATTTGTTCTCAACGACCATTAGTTGAGACAGTCGCTTTAAAAGCTCAACGTGCAACGTCTTGTATAATTGCTGTACTGGTCGTTAAAATGAAAAGATGGTTTCTTTCATGGTTCCTTTTGAAATGTGTCAGTATGCTCGTGTCTAAGAATGATCATTTTGATGCTAATTAAGTAAGAATTATCGCCGCGTCAACGTGACGTATGTTCCCTAGAATGTCGTTAATGATCTCAAAGTTTCACCTAGAAATTTCCTGTATCCTGCAAGGGAAAGAAACGAAAAACGAGACACGTTGGCATTTGATTAGAATTAAAATTAGAATTAAATTAATAACCACGATCGAAATATTTTCCTTTTATGTCCTATCGCGGAAAACCGTGTCTAACTTTATGACATATACATGAGCATTCGACGTTACAACTGCACCGTTTGTGATCTGCATTTCTCTCTCGGCAGTTAGCCAGTTACGCAACTTAATAGTTCGGACTTTCTTCCGCGACGTACGGAAACGGCGTACAAAGAGAACTCGACGGGCTGAAATCATCCCGAATCATCGTCAGCAGCGCTTTCGTTTTCTCTCTCGTGAATGCGCCCGATAGAAGAAATCGACGATTTAGAAAGACAAAAACATATTAAACTCCTGGCGCGAAATTATACAGATAAAAAATATTTAATAGATTGCAGACTGTACGCTTTTTATTATTTCATCAGTCCATGCAATTGAATATAAACGTATATGCAGCTCTTGAAAATCTATTTCTCATGTCCATCATCTGTTTTCCTTTTGAATAGCCGCCCTAAGCTCACGTGACTGCAACGTGTCAGCAGGTAAAATACATCGCACATCGCGAAATGAAGTGCACGAGTTTTCTTCATGACACTGACATGCATCCACAAGGAATCACAAGGCCGACTAGTTTTATCAGAATAAACAAGTTTTTATTTTTAACTTAAGACAATAGACGTTTCAATTGGAGGAAATTATTACAAACGAATTATTTATTATGTATCATGAATTAATTAATCCTGCAATAACTGCTGCGGTTTCTTTATCGTTGTTAATTCCCTTTTATCCTCATGATATGAACAATATCTAAAATCTAAAATATTAAAATCAGGAAATTAGCACAAAATATGCAAATGTAAGGAATCAAACAAATGTATCGGAGCAACTAATTGTGTATTCTTGATGATTTTTTTATCGAATGTTATCTTGTATTTACTTTGTATCTTACCTATTGTCAATATTTAACTTTATTATCGTAGTTGTGAGAAACAGAACGAGAGTTACCGATCGAGCCACTCTGACTACTTATGTTTCTCACTGCAAAGCAGTATAACGGGTTACTAGTCTACAGGTGCATTTTGTTATTACACATAGGATAGTATAAAAGGTTACTGGTTAGACTGGTTACTCGAGCTAATTGGCTTACTACTGTTAAGCTTACCGCTGCAGCTGAAACATCAATTATCTTAATTCTGAAATTAGTGACAAATAATTACATTAACTTTTATCATCACGACGATAATAATATCTGCAAGTTAGGTAAGTGCCTCATTATTTCGCCGGTATAACTTACAATTTTACTTATAAATTTACTTATAAATATTACAATATACTATATTCTTGAACAAATTCTATTGTCCCTCTCGCAAAATGTTATCCGATGCTTAATTATTGAGTTATTAAGATTTTTAAGATTAAATTACGGTTATTATATATTTTTAAATTCTGAAAATAATGTGCATGAATGTTATCACGTACGTCGATCAACACATCGTACGCCCAAAGTCAATGCTTACGTAGCGCATGTAAAAATTAATATATAAGTAAATAATATAATATAAAAGTAATATAAGTAAAGATTAATTGTTCTGTCCTTGTCTGCCCTCTATAGCCGTAATAGACGGACTGTTTATCTTAATAACTCAATAATTAACCATCGGACAACATTTTGCAAGAGGAAAAACTTAAGAGGAAGTTTTAGAAATTATTCAAGAATGCGGTATATTAACGACAAAAAATTGTTCCGGATCACCTTGTACATATATACAGAGTGCTAAATTTCAAATGTGACAGGTAAAAAGATCTCGAAAACTAAATGATATTGAGGTCCGCCTTTTTTTCTTTTATATTGTATCGTTTCGAAGGGAACACATTTTGATTAAAACAGAATTTAATTTTGGGTAGAGACGCCAAGGTAACAAAAAGGTCAAACTTCTTTTTAAATGGAACTCTAATTTTTCGAACACCTACGTTTGTAGCCCTTGCCATTACGATTCAACAACTACATACTCAAGGTGATTAGAGGTCAAATAACGGAAAGAAAGACTCATTAACTTTATTAATACATCTTAAATCTAAAATCAAAGTTTATCTTGTTTATATTGGCAAAATTCTATCATGATCTTCCTGCGTTAAAGCTTAGTAGAAGTGGGTATGGAATGGATGTTGGCGTTGACGATGCAAAAACTATAAACATTCTTCAGAAAATAAACACATATAGATAGACTAGGCGTACGTACGTGTGGGGATGGGTACTGTTTCAACCAAGTCAGTTATTGATATTGAACACGAGTGTGACTAGTGTAATCATTAGGATAAGTTGTGTTTTCACTTTCTTTTCTTTCGTAATTTGCGTTATGGTTGCATTATATTAATGAGGAATATCGTGACATTGTCTTAATTTATAGTGAATGTCAAGAAAATGCTGGAGAAGCTGCTAGAATTTACCGTCAAAGATGCAACGAGAATATGCGAAGCGAGTCAAATAATTTCGACGAGTGAATTACAAAGAGTGCTGAATGATTTTCAACGAAGATTGCAGGCTTGCATAGATGCAAGGGATATATATATATATATATATATATATATTATATTGTGTACTTTGTATTTTATGTTGAAGCTTATACTCTATGCAATAATATATGATAATGATAATAATAATGAAATAAGGAGAACATAATGATAACAATATGCAATATAACGTACGTGTTCCCGATTTGGTCGGTGATCCACTATCTATCGACAAATCCCCTCCGTTTTACCTGTTACAACTATCCCGGGTATATCTAACGCTACGCTTTAAAACGGAGTCAGTATTTGCCTTAGTATTTACCGAGTCTCTACGAAGGACGGACGAACGAATAGATTGTTTGTTGCTAAATTTGCTTAGTTCGTTTCACAAGGTTACCTCGTATGTCGTGTGCTTTCACACACAGTTCCGTCTATAAAGTTGTGTCAAAACCGCTAGTTGTTCACAAAAATTTCCACCATACGGATGTAATCTTTACTTTAAGAGGTATGCGAGAGTGGATTGCTTGAGTAATTCGTACTTTGAACCTTGCACGTTTTCTAACTTCATCGATGGCTTCGCCAAAGTTCCAAAATGACGTTTAATTTCTCATCCACTCTTTATAAATTAGAGTAACTGTAACAGTCCGTAATTATAGTTCAAAGTGCGAATTGGAAATTCATACGTCTCATGACCAATGTTATTCGCGAGGTGCGTAAGTTTTTATAAATAATTATCTCTTGTGCATGCATGTACGTGTTTTTCGATATCGCATTTATGCGCGTCAAAATGAAACATTCACCGTGATTGTTTATTCGATTCTTAGCGATAAAGCGAACAAGAAAACTGCAAAACTGTACATCGTGTGATCCGTATATATGGTGAAACGTGCGTGTACCGTTCAGATAAATAAATAATAACTGGAGGAAAGAACGCGGCGAGAAAGTCGTCGGGAGGAAAAATCATCGCGCGCTGGCTCGTTAAATCGAAAGCCGAATGAAAAGCCCGCAGTGGTAGTGGTTGGTGCAGAAAGTGCCTCGATTTTTTGAATGATTCAATTGTCACCGATATGTGGAACCAGTGATTCATTCTCCGTTCTCCAGCAGTGGCATCAAGCATTTTTATCGCTTGCGAATGAAAGTTGCGTGACACCCTTTGTGCAATAATTAATTAGCCCTACGACTGTAAAATTATTCCTTAGCGCCAATGCCGTGGGATCGACTGTCTTTTGTTAGAACGTGGTCCAGGAGCTTGCGGCAAGACACGAAAGGTGAGTGTGAATTGAAAGGTCAAGGAGAATGCCACCGGAAAAATATAAGTCTATATATATATATCTAAAATGCATATATATATAGAATAATATAAGTGAGTAGAGACTATCCGCCTCATTGTTTATCAATATTTGTATTTCTTTAAATAATATAGGTAAATGGTAAAATCTAACAATGGCATATATTGTACCATTAATTTTCGGAAAGAAGAAGATTTTTCTTTTCCAAGCTCGCTTGGAAGCTCGCTCGAAAGCTTTCGAGCTCATTTGAAGCTTAAAACAGATACTACAGTCTGCATCGACTTGCATGGAACCTGCTACGCTCGTAATGTCTACGGATTGTTCTCTGACCGTATGTGCGGAATGTAGTGCTGAAAATATTTGGTAATGCAAAATACAATCGCGTCCACGTACTCGACTGACGTGACAGACTTGGAGGCACTTCGACCAGAGCACTATGCCACTGTGCGAAGTGCATCGACCGAGAGTGATACTTCTATCCTCGGTGGTTTTATTCCTTGCACGCGATGCATCCTGCAACTGCACATGTAGTTGGTTCAGGTCGCTGCGTCTGACAAGACGCTCCTAACGGTCCAGCATCCATACTTGTGTATATGTGTGTTCCAGTTTCCCTGTCGTAGAACGTACTCAGAACCAACAAGTAATACAAGATACAGCTGCGCACAGCGTTTCTAAGAACTACATATAGTACATATAACGTCATTAATGTGGGTGTCATTAATTTTACATGAAACGTACTTTTCACTAAACGGTTTAGAGAGTTCGTAGCGTTGACTCAACTGCATCTGTATCTGACCTCCCCTCTGCTTCTCTCTCTTTTTCTCCCTCCCTCTCCCTCTCTCTTTCTCTCTCTCTCTCTCTCTCTCTCTCTCTCTCTCTCTCTCTTTCTCCCTTTCAGAAATTCCTATACGATAGGAGTGTTCCACAGAAATTTAAAGTAAATTTTTCTTTACTCTCTCTCTCCTCTCTCTCTCTCTCTCTCTCTCTCTCTCTCTCTCTCTCTCTCTCTCTCTCTCTCTCTCTCTCTCTCTCTCTCTCTCTGGATAATATAGAATCGATCAAAGAAAATTTTCCAATTTCTTTCATTGTTTACTCTCGTTTTTCGATATTATATACCGTAAATTTCTGTGATCTGAAGCTTCAAATATGCAGACTATTAATTAATTAACTAAAATCGGGAACACTAAATATAGATATTTATAGCAAGATACAAAACATTATTGGCTAAACTATTAAAAAATCATCAAGAGGTAGTTTAATGCCATTATATTAATGTTAGTGTGTCATATGCATTGATATCTTCGTCGTATTAGATAACGTTCTTTGTTGTGTTTTTCAAAACTACAAATTAATTTTGGAAAAATGATAATATTAAGCTCAGAAAAAATACAAAATATAATGTGTAATTGGTGATATAATGTAAATATAGGTCGGAACTCGCGCGCGTCTTTGTATCTTATAAAATATGAATACATAATTGCAGAATGAAATATTATATTTTTATATATTATATAATCGACTATATATATTATTATATATTATTCAACTTGGTTAAGTTTTTTGAGTTTCAATTTCTTTTTATAAAAAAATAATTGAGAACTTCCTACTTACTGCTTACTAATGCTACTTACTAATACTGCGTCTTTGATATATAAAAGTGTATATAAAAGTGGGGATATAAACGTATATAAAAGTTATACGTATATAAAAGTGGGGATATGAAGTGGGTAGTATAAAAGGCTTCGCTTATTCACTAGCTATCAGTTGATGCGTCTTGAATCGAAAGATAGACGTGAAAGAAAGACGTGAGCAGTTGGAAGTTTTTCAACGATTTTTCAACGAATTCGTACAGAACACGAATGAGAGTGATAAAGTTATTTCTGTGAAACGGTACTTGTTTGTGTCAACATTTACATGTATTATATTGTGTACTTTATGTACACATCTCAGTTCTAGGTTACGTGTTTTACCATCGCGTAACAACCAGGAAGTAGGTCAACGATTACGAAATTACACATAGATTCGAGTCATTCAAATGACACAGAGATAAATTAGAAAAATAAAACGCAGTTTTCAAGTAGACTTATTTATATTTTTCACAAGTATTATCATGAAGCGCCATATTCTACAGGTTAATATATCGTTGCACTCTTTATTCGCGCACGTCCGAATTTTAGATAGTAATTATAGTGGCACTCATATTCTTACATTCATTCCGCGTTTGCGGCCACGAATAAAAATATCAGGATAAGGAAGGAAGGAAATACAACGTATTTAATCGAGACGTGAATAATCATTTGTTGTTACACATCTGACACGTCAGATTATACTTCTCGATTTCTCAACTTCTCAGTCTCTCGAGACATTGACGCAATAATATATGCGCACATCTGAGTTAATGTTAAAAATAATTTAAAAACTCATCACATCTCATACGTGTTAAGACTTTATCTCGTGAAAGCGTGTTGGTAGGCTTGATATTGGCGGTGCTGGTTGATAAGATGTCAACAATAAATTTTTACGTGTATCATCATAAGCAATCTTGTGGTCCTGCTTTGTCAGATGTCCAGACATTGAGTCCAGTCACTTCACACATACATGAGTACATTTTAAAAATATTACGATATGTTTCCATAATATTAATATATTTCATTATACTTTTCTTATCGATTATATCGATAATTTTTTTGCTTTTCTAAAAGATTTTATCATTATTTCTTTATATCTGTTAGCGTTTGACTGAATCACCAGCAAATATATGCTTACCTGAATAGAACATATGCAGAATAATGAAGAATGCGATCTATAATCGAGATTATATAATATATAAATGTAATGCTACTATTATTACGCAGTTATGTATTCAACTTATATGCTGTCGTGAATTCCGGTGTATGATCTAGATTGTGAATTGCTAACTTTTTAGAAAAAAATAATATCTGTGCTTGTCTGCGAACGATGCGATTCCTGAATAATACAAGGAACCAAACATAAATAAATTAATAAATAAATGAAAGATTCAGGATATTTCTATCTCGGATATTGTATGTAATATAATTTAAATTTGTATATGAAATTATATATAACATGATATTTTAATAAATATTGTACATATAAAGCAACAATACAAATATACTCGCGTGATTCATTACATAAGCATTTACATAAAATATTTGTTGCGTTAAAGTAAAATAATTCGGTATGCGATTCATGTTTACTCATTAATTTACTCACTCAATTATTTGCAAAATCGTGGTGTATTAAAAGCACGTTGAATTCAGAAAAGGAAGGATCACTGCACGGGTGGGAAGGATTTTTTGTCACACAAGTTGCACAGACCAATCCGTTTGAGTACGTTATTTCGAATTAAACGGGGCTGGAACAATTTCTGTCGCAGTTTCGTCGCTGAGCGAACAGTCCTCTCCGTTTCGCGAGATGGTGCAACAGGAGGCTATCGTCGTGAGGAACGCTGTAAAGCATTACGAGTCTACGAAATTAGTGCTCAATGGCCTGAACATGACGGTATCCAGAGGTTCCATGTGAGTAGCCGCTATACTTATAAATAGATATACTTATAAATAGATAATAATTATAGATAGATAGGAGATGTTCTCGCAACCAATGGAAATTGTCGTATAGGCCGTCAATTACAGAAAAAATTGCACCTCAGCCATTTCCGCGCGAATGATTTTATTTATAATTTTCTTATTTCATCTTAACCGACCCACGTTCGGATACCGTGCAGCGGCGTTTCCACCTTTATCCAACAAACACGAAACAAGCCTTTTCCAGCGACCCAATGCTGATTGCTTTATCCTTCGTTCGTGCGAACGACCTGAGACTGTCGTCACGCAATTTTCTACGAACATTCACCGATCGCTCAAATTGCAGCCAATTACATAATACATTGCACAATAAGCACACACAGTTTTCGCCTCGTATGAACGTCCGCATAAGAAGGGGAAATCCTTTCGATTATCCATCTACGGTAAATTTTTGAATTGTGTTCTACGATGTATACCAATCATTGTGCGTGTGTTTAAAATTATTTCATGAAGAACGTGCTTATTAGAAAAGATCGACCAAAGCACTCCGTGCATCTTCCTCGAACCATTTGATATCAAAACGCTCTGGAGATCACCTTCGATCCTTTCGACGGCACCTCCTCCATGGAGGACTCTTCCTGTGGCAAGACTTGATCCACCGCTTCCAATATTTCATTTATCGCTGACGTCCCGTCTCTTTTCGTCGCTTCTGCCGTTATATTATCGCTATAGTGCTCAACTGCAATATTCTTCTTCAAGACATGGAGCTGATTTTGCATATGCTGATCCTTATTCCAAGGAACGAGTACTTGGAATGTCCTGCGAGAGAAAATCCTTGGAGTTTTTGCGACATTCTCGTGCGATAACACATGTGACGCATTCGCATTCGTATGAGCTTTTTCAGTTGCTACAGAAGTTGTTATATTTTTGTCTGACGTAAAAGCTAAAATATTCTTTGACATATTAAACCGGCTTTCAAGGTCATTCGTCGAAGATAAAACAGTCCCGAATGTCTTTTTTCCGACACCTTTCTGTTTTGAAACCGTTTCTTGCTCCATAAAATAACTTTTTTTAGCTTTGAGCTGTTCTGTTTCTTTCGACACGAGAAACGGTATGTTCTTGCTATTAACTTGATTTGTAGCCACATTTATTTCGGGGTCTCTATCAAGAGGAAATATCTTAGTAATAGTAGTAGTATTCTCCTTGACATTAATACTATTGCCAATGTCTGACGGCATTGATGTAGAATGACTCAAAAATTGTACTTCTGCTTTCGTCGAAATTTCATTTCCGTTTGCAGCGTTGTATTTCAAAAGTGTTTTATCGCGATTTCTGTTCAAATTACTTTTGTTCATCTCATCTATCGATGTCAGATTTATGTTGCAGGCGCGAGAAATTATGCTTCCTGCGAAAACATCGTTGCGTAAAATCTTGCAAATAACCTCTTTCAGCACAGTTTTTTTAATTTTTTTATCTGTTGAGTCAGATCTCTTTAATAACGCAGCATTTATCGCGTGACTTGGCATTTCAGGCTCGACGACGTTTGTCGAAGTTGTCACTTTTGAATTGAAGCTCATCACTGAAAAATACCGAATTCTTTTCGCATCAGCGTTTACTTACGTTCACGGCTTTTGTTTAAGAACAAATAAACTCACCGAAATAATTTTGGTAGTGACTAACTCCGTCATTAATATTCTGCCACGCCTGTTGAATATTAATGATTTTCCCATCGAGATCTATCGCCAGACGAATCTGCGTTACCGCGTGCAATTTTTTAAGCAATTCGCCAACACCATAGTCGGATTTATTCGCATAAAGATTAATTGACACTGTTTCGTCTTCGAGCGTTGATAACGATCCCTGCACCGCTAAGGAGGAGATCGCTCTAGTAGCGAACGACAGAATCACGATGAAGCTGATCATCATCGTGTTGCAGCGAAACTGAAGCGAGTCGCGCGTTCTCCCGATGATTTTATGATATTGCATTCGATAACGATATCACAATCTTGCACCATTCAGCGGGAACAAGAGCAAACATTTCTTTTCTCCGACTCTTCTTTCTCACGTGAGGGATCTAGCGTGAGGGATCTCTCAGTATATCTCCAGTCTTTCTTTATTTATTTTTAAAAGAGGAATATCTTATTTAATCAAACGTGTGATTTCGTCCAGGACTATTGATACTTTAGCCGACAGCTAAATCGTTTTCGCCGTCGCGCGATCGTAATTTAACTCACAAATTTAACGACCTCACGACCGTGAGTTTGTCATCGATAGTGAACAACATAATCTTTTACGAGCCGTGTACCTGTGTGGCCCGACCATTCAGACTGATTACAATTCACGCGGGAGACCATAAACACCATTGTTCTTGAGCGAAATGCAAAAGTGGTCAGATAAGTATGCGGGTGCTTAGAAAAGAAAAATGACACTTGATCCCCGCTTCCAATCCAAACGCGCGCATAAACACGCTGAAAACACTGCTGAAGAAACCCCTTAAAATCCCTCTTGTGTAATGCAAAATTAAATTTCTATTTTCTTCTATGATCCGAAACAGTTACGGACTATTGGGCGCCAGCGGATGCGGCAAGACCACCCTGTTGTCCTGCATCGTTGGGGTTCAGCGTCTCAACAGCGGGGAGGTGTGGGTCCTGGGTGGAAATCCCGGCAGCAAGGGTTCCGGCATTCCCGGGCCCCGAGTTGGTTATATGCCACAGGAAATCTCCCTCGTGGACGAATTCACAAGGAACGATGCGTTTTACTACTTCGGCAGGATCAATGGTCTCGAAAACGACGAAATCGGTAAGACGAAGTGCACGAGGTGCGAGAGCGGTGGCGATATTCAACAGCGAAATCAGGATAACCAAAGCTCCTTCGTAATATTTCGCAGAGGCGAGGCAGAAGTTCCTCTCAGAATTGCTCCAGTTGCCGCCAAGGGATCGTCTAGTAAAGAATATGAGCGGAGGTCAGCAGAGGAGGTTGTCTTTTGCAGCCGCCTTGGTCCACGAACCGGAGCTCTTGGTCCTGGACGAGCCCACTGTTGGACTGGATCCAGTTTTGAGGGAGAAGCAAGTAGATTTTGTTCCTCGTTGTTCTTTCAACGCATGTTAGAAGCCTGAGGAATTGCGCAAACGTAACGGGAAGCGGCTTTATAAATGTTCTTTCTCTCCGCAGTATTTGGGACTATTTGGTTAAGATCACACAGGAGGAGAACATCACAGTGGTGATCACGACGCACTATATCGAGGAGACCAAGAACGCGGATAAAGTGAGTCACTTCTTCCTACGATGTCTTCTGCCTTCGATGTCACGGCCTTCATGTCATTCGATTTTTCTCATCTAGATCGGTTTGATGAGAAGCGGCCAATTATTGGCGGAATCTGCGCCGGATCAATTGCTGGAGCGATTTCAATGCAGCTCCCTGGAGGAAGTGTTCCTAACACTGAGCCGGTTACAAGAAGACAATTTAGCTGTCGCAAGCGGCTGCACGGCGCAGAAGAGCAAAATGGAAGATTCCGAGAGTGAAATGCCGTGCCAGGAACGAAACAGGCGAATGATAAAGGTAAAAATACAATAAAAGTACAATCCCGATGTAAGCGACAGAATATGATCCTCTTCTCTATCCCAGTGATATTTCTCTCATCGGTAATTATCGGTAATAGCGATTATTAATTAATATACTAATATAATATTAATTAATTATTTATTAATATGTTATATTAATATATGTTTAATTAATTAATTAATTAATATATTAATAGCGATGATATCGCTTCGACGATCATTCATTGTCCTCTTCTTTTTAATTGCCATTTCTTTTTCCTTTGGATTTTTAAGGACGAAACTTCAAAGTACAAGGCCAATCCGAAACAAAGAGTTTCGAGATGGAAAAGATTTAGAGCTCTAATGGTGAAGAACAGTCTTCAGTTTTTCCGCCAGTACACGTTAGTGCATAGTGATGAGTTCTTTTCTTTTTTTGCGAACGCTCATGTTAATGAGCGAATCATCAGGTTTTTCTGTTTTTCTTTTCTTTTCTTCTTTTTTCTCAGAGGAATAGCCTTCGCAGTATTATTTCCCATACTCCAAGTGTGCACATTCTTTATCGGAGTCGGCGGTGATCCTAAAGGATTGACAATCGGCATTATTAATGACGAAGCCGGCAACTGTGATGGAAACTTCGGGAATGTCTGGTACAATGAGGAGGAATATACCTGTCATTTCAACAACCTGAGTTGCAAGTTTTTGCAGCATATCGACTATTCAACTGCAACGAAGGTACGACAATACATTGTTTTCCTTGGAGCCACGTGCAATCCCAGTAAACAATAAGTATCATCGATGTTACGTCGACAGTTACGTAACATACCATATGATGTAGCTGACATTGTAACCTCGATGATACTTAGTGTTTACTGGGATGCGTCTGACTCATGCACTGGCGGATGAAAAGAGAAAAGAGAACGAAGAAAGAACTCTTCGGTCAACTCTTTGGATCGAGACTACTATCGATATTGGCAGGAATACTACGACGACATTTCCAAAGCAACCGAGGCTGTGCACAATGGCAAACTCTCCGGCGTGATATTCTTCAGTCGGAACTTCTCCGAGGCTCTGTGGACTCGAATGGAGAACTTCATTCATACTGATGAAGCCGACATTCTCGCTGGACAAATACAGGTTTCTCTCGATATGAGTGGTACGTACCATTAGGCCACTAGGCTCTACCCTATTGAGGCTTTAACATCTTTTATTTCTTTGGTCGTTCATCCTAATTTTCTCAATTATTCTCATGTGATGTTTATGGTATTTCTTTTTTAAAGAATGAATATATTATAAATAAAGCTCCGTATTGTTAAATTCGCCGTGACGTTTGTCCGATAGACAGACAGATCGGGCTTTTTCTTCAGAAAAAGTTATTCGATTATTTCTTCGAGTTTTACGAGGATGTAGTGAAATACTGCAAGATTTCACGGAAATTCGCCAGTCTACCTCTTCAAGTACGTATATCTTATATATCGTTATAATTCAAACTAGAGAGTCGAATGAAGAACACTGATTAATAAATAAACGTGGAAAAGTAACGTTCGTAACCACATTATATATATAATGTACATATTGTTGCACGTTCTTACATTGAAATTGTAACGCGTAATGGAAAAAATGATTGTTAATTATAAACGATATTTCAGTTTAAAGATCCGATTTATGGGCCAATGGACATAGATTATAGACGTTTTATGGCATCGCCATACATAATAACGTAAGCAATACTGAAGCAATAGGGTATGATAATCATAAAGTGTTTTAGAGTGTAATAATAAGGAAGCATTCGTGTAATTACGCATCTTGATATTTTATGCGAATCTACAAATTACATAGCAATAGTATAATCGAGTTTCGTCACGCTACGTATTTGACAGTGTGCTCCAGATCGTGTTTACGCTTTTCTAGGCTTCTTTTCTTTCTGGCAAACACGATTTCCACGTCTCTAATAATCACAGACAAAGCGAAGGGTGTCTGGAATCGTAGTCTTGTTCAAGGTAATTTCTCATCGATTATTCGTCGAATAAATGATAAAAATAAAAGACACCTTACATTATATCGTGAAATTTACGATAGGAGTGACAACCGCAGAAATCCTGCTATCTCACATACTGGCTCAAAACATTATCATAGTCATTAACACCATAATGACTCTGTGTTTGTGCTTCCCCATCTTGGGCCTGAATTGCACAGGATCAATATTCACCGTAGCTTGCTTTGGTTTTTTCAGCGGTATTTGCGGACTGATGTATGGTAAGTATTCCACATATACGATGCCTCAAGAGATTTTCATAAAAGTTACAGAAGAGATTTACAAAAAATGATATTTTAATTCTACAAAGTGACAACAAAAATTTACTTCTTACACTTCAAAATCAACTATATATTACTGACCTTTGCTCTCTCTCTCTCTCTCTTCTTTTTATCTTATTATATAGATTCCTAACAAAACAACATGATATATGCCGAAAATTAAATTAACTGATGAGATATTGATACATTCTCAGGTTTCTTCCTCTCCGTTATGTGCACGAATCACACTACGGCGCATTATGCCTCAGCCGGAAGTCTCTTCCCGTTGATACTCTTATGTGGTGAGTCCATACCTTTATATTTTGTAAAACTATGTAATTCAGTGCCTTTCATGTCAAGCCTAATAGCTTAATTTATGTGACAAATGACAGGAGTTTTGTGGCCAGTAGAGGGAATGCCACAAGTGCTTCGCTGGATCAGCTATCTTATGCCGATGACCTTGCCGGCTATATCTCTCAGAGGAGTGATGGAAAAAGGACAATCGATATACGAGTTAGACGTGTACAGTGGCTTATTCGTGATTTCCGGGTGGGCGTTATTTTTCTTGATTGTATGTTTAGTTAGTCTAAGATTAAAATCCACGTATTAGTTAAAAAAAAAAAAAAAATACAAAAATGGAAGAAATTCACCCGAAGGAAAACGACATACTTCCGCTAAGAAGATATCAATTCCAAATTTGCTCAGGGAATCAATTGATCAAAATTATTATCGCGCATTATTAATACCGTGTGCAATAACCTTTATTTTGTACAATATATATAACATGTATCTTTTTATTTTAAGTATAAATCAACACACTAAATCGTGTATATAATGAAACATACAAATACAAATAAAAAATATTACAAGATTTTGAAACACTCGAAAAGACATTACGTGTTATATTTAAATTAGATAATAAATGTTATATTTCATAACACACATCTTTTGTAAATTTTCATACTTCTTTTCATCAATCAGATGCGTTTATATATATATTAAGAAATGTAAAAGGAAGAAAAGGAAAAAAAGGAATCTGCATCTCGCAAGCTTATTCAAGATGTCCGTTTCATTATACTTCTCCATTTATATGATATATGTAACATTACGATAATTTTACATTTATTCACAACTGTATACGTGTTTTTCTATGTACAAACATGTACAATACGCGAACTATGTATGTACTTTGTGTCGTAATTTTATACAATTGCGTTAGTTTTACCATGGTATATAATATAGACAATTTCTCCTTTTCCTCACTTCATGATATAACTATATATGATAATGATCGTGATACGGAAACCTGACCTAATTATTAATTGTCCTCATATAATATTGTTGCGATATAAACATAATAATTATATATAATTAGACGCTTTGTTTGTTACAAATTTATTACCATATAGTAATGCTACAAGTCATTTGTCATTATTCATCATGTATCATCATTAAATTACAATTTTCACGGGCTATTATCATATTACTATTAGCTTTTGTTGTTAATTTTTTATTTATAATAATTACGTTCTCGGTTTTATCTTTCTTCATAATAACATTTTCTGTAATTTTTCGTAGTTGTAATTTTCCCATCGATAATTATCATACAGGATTATAGCGCAATATATTTCTCTTTGTAACTATATATACATACATACATACATACATACATACATACATACATACATACATACGTACATACATACATACACACACACATATATATATATATATATATATACACATACATACAAACATACATACATACATATGGATAATTATATTTATCGTGATTACAGTTATATAATAATTATAGTAATACATCACCTGTGATGATCAATTTATTACCATAATTATAGTTGTTAACATGTTTATTATTATGATCAACAATGCAGTAAAACTACGATGCGATATAAATATAATATTGATCATCGTTGCGGTATTCTTTATCTAAAGCGTTTCGGAAAGCGTTTATTCTTTTGTAATGAATAACCCTGATTAAGTAGTTTAAATTATCAATTGAAACACATACGTGAAAATACTTGTACAATCTGGTAAAAGTATAACCGTATTATAAAAATGCGAAGACAACTCTTTCCCCCTACTACCTGTTGTATCCAATGTTTCAAGAACTTGTACTCAAAAATCTATAACAAAGGAATGAATGATGAGTTTAATGGAATTAGATATAAGAACGATCAAGATATCGATTTCGTGCGATCTCGTTCTCGTTGTTGTGGTAAATGTTGTTGCTGTTGCTGCTGCTGTTGTTGTTGTTGTTGGTGTTGTTGTTGTTGCCGCTGCTGTTAACAACCATGCTAGTGTCCTGATTAGGATTGTTAGTAGCGCAATTAGGGCTTTTAGCAGAAAGAAGAAGCCGGGGCCGGCATCGGATCGGTCGGGCAGCAACGAGACAGCCAACTATCTGTCTTACAGTAGGCATGCAGGTTTTGTTGTGTCCTGGAAAAAACACACGTCACATGCTCCATCAGAAGCAAAAAGACTTTGTTATCGACCGCTATCACGCTATCAGTTGGAATTTTGTGCCGGTTATTTGTTAGAGATTTTTTAAAATTACAATACACTTTTTTCTGCGATTGCAATACATTTCGCAAAAAAAAAAAAAAAAAAAAACGTATGAAAAACGTTAAAATATCAATTTTATAATCGATATTTATAATCAATTCTATGATTTATACACGATTCAATGCGGCGTATAAAAAATAAATTGATATTGTTACATATAAATTTAATAAAAAAATTGCCATACATATTTATCCACTTTTGTGTTTTAACCGTTAAAAGTAGCGTGATAATAGTCGCATCAACGAAATCATAGTTTCGTCGAAGCAGATTCAGGAATGCACAAAAATGCAACGTAGACGTAAGAGGAGTAGAAGAAGAAGAAGAAGAAGAAGAAGAAGAAGAAGAAGAAGAAGAAGAAGAAGAAGAAGAGTAAGAACAAGAATAGAAACAAAGAATAAGCAACGGTCATAATCATTCCAGGACCTAACTTTAAGGTTTTAAATTCGTATCAACACATTGAATGTTAACATTACACCTAGGCTGAAGGTTGGAGACTCGATTGACCGGAACAAAGTGGATAAAAATGGAGATTGCAAAACGGAATTTAGGGCTTCTGTTTATACTTCTCAACATAGCAATGTATTCCCAACGAAAATAAAAATTTACGCTGTATGCGTGGACAGCCTCATTTTAATCCTTAAAGATATGTTCGATGCGATAATAAAAGCTACATTCGAAAGTGTCATAACGACTTCTCTATCATAACCCAAAGAACATGTCTCCGATGATAGACACACAACATCATGCAGTAAAAAAAGGACAGAACTCGTCAATAAATGTCAGGGTTAGCGTTCTAAGTACTTAATGGTAGCTTAATAAGTTCAACAAAGATAAAAATGCATCATCGAATGCCGCTAAAAGGAGTTGTATGTAAGCGGATCGTAGGAAGTAACAGCATTCACGGGGCCTTCAGAACAACTGGCAACGCGTATCAACATTATGCACCACCAACTAACAACGATAACTAACCCATTAAAACTAATGATGGAAAAGTTCCTACGGACGAAGTACTCTAATGGCGTAATACTGATCTCCGGGAGAAACTCTTCGTTTTAGACTTCAAACAACATGCTGGTAAAAATGCTTACGACGAAAAGAAACGCTACAGACAGTAATACTGATCTTGCGAAGAAATTCTTCAAATGGATGAGTAATAAAGTAATGCAAATTCTATCACATATCTTTGGCACGTCTGGCACTACTTTTCGCACACTCCACGCTATTCGTTTTTTATCTTGAGCGAAGCGCTATATCTCTATAAGTCGATGTATCGCATCATTATTTACAGTTATGTAGTTATACAACACACGACTCTCTTTGTTCTTCTCTTTATATCTCTTTATATTAACGGTAATATCTCTAGGATTGTCTTGTTATATCATTTGCAAGTTTTGCATAAATCATCCAACAATTTCCCGATCTTTGATCGGGAATAACAATTTCCGCTGTTGGTCCTTTCTATCGATACCGATTAGCTATCGATTTAACGGTATCGTTCGTAAATTATACGACAATATTACAACGATACAACTATCACACAATAATTATATGCAACGGCTGCAATAACGGCTGCAAATGCTTATGCAAAGCCAAGATGTGTGTCGGCGTAATTACAATTCACAATTCATATAATAATCACGTTATGTCTCGCGTTATCTTTACAATAATATTTGACATTTATTTTTTCGCCTCACATAAACACATGTATATCGAGGAAAGACTCGAAAGCTCCACTGACTCGAAAGTTTCCACTTTCGTATTTTCATAGTGAGTTTCTTAGTGAGAGAGATAAACAAGCTGTATAGAGTATAGACTTGAATTTAAATTTACTCATCCAGATCAATAACTTTTCTCGCTTTATAACTCATCTCTACGATACTGTTCTCACGCGATTCCCCGTCTAAGTCATTCAGTATGTGGTCGGACTACTCCTATTACAAAGCAGTCTCCTTCTCGCTAATAATCTTGATTCCGTGTTGCGTGAGAATCATCTTTACCGCTTCCTTATCACGGACGTTGGGCTTTTCGCTCGAGTCTGCCGATGTCTGCGCTGCGACGTCTTCCTCCTTGCCGGCTAGAACCTTGACCTCCGTCAGTGAATCCAAGTTGTCGGTGAGAGAATCCCGGCGGTCTACATTGTCGGTTGATCTCTGCAGGGACTTGGACCTCCTCGAATCCCGCCGCGAAACTCGCAGATTATCGGCGGATGCGACGAGAGCTGGATGATTTTTAGCAACCTTGAGCGCCTTGTCGGCCGTCCTCGCGGACATCTTGGCCAGCTGCAGACTATCCACCGAGGAGTATCGTCTGTTATCGCGTGCACTCTGTTCCTCCTTCTTCCTGAACAGGGAACCTTTGCGGCCAATCTTTCTCGCCCCGCTCGTTAAGATGGCGATCTCATCCTTGGGTATAAAGTACAGCTCTCGAGGCTGGTCTCTCATCATCGAAGAGCTATGAATGAATAAAGATCGAGACTTGGATCCGTCGGGCTCTTTGACGCTCTCCCTCTCGGACACTCGACTTCGGTCGTCGGCTGATTCTGTGCCGCTCTGAAAGCCACAGTTCTCTATCTCGAAACTGTCGTCGTCGTCCTGGCTTGGCTCGACGAGCCTGAAGGCGTATCTATCCGCTGGTATCATGGCATTCGGATCGTAACTACCGTCCACCTCGCCGCAGATTCTGCAGAGTTCACAGGGAATCTCCCCGTGAGCCGAATCCATCAGTATCTTGCCCTCGAGGACGTCGGCGGATTCTTGTTGATTCAACGAGCCGCAAATGTCGCATTCGGTGGAATCATCGTCGTCAGCCAGTGAGCTGCAGGTGGACCTGAGTGTATAGAAGGTCTCCTGATTCGGACTGCTGATCTCCTCCTCGGTTCGGAACGTGATCTCGTTCATGTAGCAACAAATGGAGCAAAACTCGTCGTCCGGGATGTCGAGCTGCGAGCTACTCGACATCTTGCCTGGCGCGCCCAAAAACACCTCCTGAATCCGCTTGATCGACTCGTAGCTCTTGGACTTCTTCGAAAAGGTGTCGTCCTTCTTGGGTTTCGGCGCGAACGACTCGTTGGACACGATCATCGAGTCTAAGCTGCCCTGAAGAGGCACGTTATAACGTCGCACCTTTCTCGTATACACGTCCTTGATCTGATCGAAGTCCTGCTTTGCTTTATCGTCGTTGACGATGGCTCTTTTGAAAGCGTTCGCTTTCACATCCTTTTGACTTCGAGTCTTCCTCAGACTTTCCGTAAAAGATATTTTCGAGGAGTGCTGAGCGACTTCTTCACCCGCCTGTCGGTTATCGGCAGATGGATGGATCGACGACAGACTTTGATCCTTCGTTTCGACGTAGCCGTCGGGAATTTTCTTCGGACTTCCTACTGTCTTCGTGGAGGACTTCTTTGTAGAATTCTGGAAGACTTCTTCCAGCTGGGAAATAACGCGATCATTAATAGACTGATCGTAATCCTTCATCTCGCCGCTTTTATAATAGATTTGCTTTTCTCTGAGCTTCTTAGGGCTCTTTGTGCTGATAGAAGACACTGTTGATAACTTTTGCGAAATTTTTCCGGTCTCCCGATCACTAGTGAACTTACTTTGATCCTTGAATTCGCGATTATTCTCATTAATCTGATATCCCCCAACTTTCATGGAACTCTTCGTTTTCGTGGATGCTGCTCTGACAGAATTTTGGAAGACTTCCCCGGGGCAAGGTATCTGTCGCTCGTTAATGATTTGATCTTTATTCTTGACTATATTATTCGCAACTTCAACGATCAGACCGTGCTTGATCTTGCCGGAACTTTCTGTCTCCGTTAAAGAATTTTGAGAAATTTCGGATTGCAGTGCCTGCCGATTCTTCGGTCCCTTCAGCTCAGTGTCACGTATCTGATTCCCCTTGACCTTCTTCGGGCTCTTACGTGAATTCACGACTGATTTCAAATACTTGCCGTCTATCTCGGAACTTGAGTCGCAAGATATCGTCCGTCTTTCCGCGAAATGCGCGTCCAGCTCTGACTCTTTTTCCATTTTGTTCTTTTCATCAATTCCTCGAATAGTCCTAAACACTTCTCTCTGAGTCCGATCATTCACCCCAATGTCGGCTATTTTGTCTTTTTCGTCCTGTGAAGGAGATCTTCCTTCAACGAATCTTAATCGTAATTCTTCATCAGTTTCTTTGGTCTTAAGATTTTTGGATTCATCTTCATGGCTTTTACGGACCATCGTGCTGACTATTTGAATATCGGCATCAGTCTTGCTATCATTTGCAGAACCAATAGTACTGTCTACCATATCCTCTCTTTGATCGTCGATTAAACTCGATTTGGCACTACATGGAGATTTAGCATCTGTCTTTTCATCTTCGTCGGAACCGTACTGACTAAGTCGATAATCTTCCTTGTCTACGCTAAAGTCGGAGAGCGCACACTCATGACGACCATCGAGTGATGTCATTGAGATATTTAATGGCGATGCCGTCGCTTTGATTTCCAGATGTTTAGTCTTATCTAATTCGAACTCGGTAGTTTCTCTTCTAAAATTGACTGCTTTATCATCGAATACTTCGTTATCTCTCATAATCCCTCCTGAATTAAGCGCATCTAGCTCTTTATCATCTTGTTTCAAATGTTCAGAAGGGGCTTTCCTTTCATCGAATTGAACTTTTCCTATCCTTAATTTATCTTCTTTTCCCATGACTACGCTATGGTTCAATTGACCAGGCTGGACCTTGACAACATTGTCCGCGTGTATAAGATCCGGTTCTATATTGACTAGTTCTTTCCTCAAACCGATTTCTCCGTTGCTAACGCTACTTTCTGCAATCAGTGCAGAACTTTGCTCCGGATCGGTCTCCAGATCCAAGTCTACTTTGTCTATAAATGGGTCAATACGTTGTGACTCATTGAGACTGCTACTTGAACCTATCTCAATAATTTCTCTATCGTCAACATCGACCCTGCCGTTTGCAGCGCTTCCTCTCGTCGGCCAACAACATTCCCTCAACCGCAATTCACTGGAACTCGACTGATCGGTTTGGATTTGCATTATTACTTCGTGATCGTCGCTCAAGCCTAAACTCACATCGGCAATTTCCGTCTTAAATCTCAAATCAGAGACTTCTTTTTGCCCAGTCGTACTTTTACCTCTCGCCATGCTCTCCGCCATTGATCTACGACCCTCTTCCGCAGTTACTTCGCTTAAATCACCAGGTTGGATATCCACTGTTATCCTGCAATCGTCACTCGAACCTAAGTCTACATCAGCGACTTCCGTCTGGTGTCTCAAGTCTAACTTCTCTTTACCCTTCGCACCTATCATCGACCTACTGCTACCTTCTTCTACCGTCAGTTCGCTAGAATCCGACGGACCAGGCTGTATCTTCACTACGATCCCGCGATCGTCATCCGCACGATCTAAGTCTACGCCCGGGATTTCCGTGTTAGCCCTGAAATTCGAAGTCTCCCTCCGTCCCGTCCCGACATCAGTTTTATCCTTTGCCACACCCTCTACCGCCGATGACTTACGGTCACTTTCCAGCGTACGCTGGCCGGAAGTCGAAGGGCCAGGCTGACAAAGTTTTGCCGTGGACTCGTCGAACGGACCACCTACCTCATCCACGATTCGCACGACACCATTCTCGCTGGCGACGACGATCTGTTTCGCCTGACCCGGGTACGCAGGTGCTCTAGATGCTACATGCTTGATGTTGCCGTTGTCGGCGGTTAACGCGCTAATGAATTGCTCGCGAACTTCGGCAGCGCCCACGACATTCTGCAGATTCTTGCACAGCACCGCGTCCGGTACGTCGATGGACGCGGCGCTCATGATCTCGAGCGGGCTCGGCGAGCCCATGGTTACGTCGCTAGGTGATGGCGTTAGGAACGCGTTCAGGTAACGGGGCTCTATGTGCAGATAGTTGTTTGCATTCGGCGACGGCAGTTCCAACTTACTTCAGTGTCCAAACAACCAACGATGTCCCGGCGCACAATGGCAGCGTGAAAAAGACAATTCTTTATAGGACATTGCTTTTACATCTAAATTATAAGCGTCATGAGTGCTTCCGCTTCTGTAACTTTGTGCAGATATTGCTGGGTCGAACTCATCGTAAATCTTTGTAGATACTTGCTCATCGCGATTTTTCTAAAAAAGAAAATCAAATCTTTCATTGCTCGATACAATACAATGCGGAATAACAACTCTGAGACGCCACGACGCAGGCGATGTATCTCAGATTTCCGATAGGGTTCGACCTGAAGTTACGTGCACGTGAAAAAATGTCAAGGATGAGATTGCGTGTGCATTGCAAAAAGGAATTGATAAATAAAATACAACATTCCAGAAAATTTATTAAACTTCAACTAAATATAAAAAGTTCTTAAGCTAATCGAAAAAAAGCAGGATATAAGAAAGTTTATTGGATGTCGCTGTCCGTGAAGAGGAAATCTTTAAACTAATTTATGACAGATAGAATAAAATGTTTCAGATAAATATCATACATTTTTGGTGGAAAACAATCAGGAAGACTACATTAAGCGATATTATATACGGCGAAAATATTAATGAACTTTGGTTGAACGTAAATAAAGCATACCTAGTAGAGTATATGCTCTAAATTAGCCAATTACAATTAGTGCTATTATAAAAATATAACATATGTAAAATATATATAAAAAATTGACTTTAACTAATTTACAGCAAATCCTACCCGTTAAGATATCACAAAAATACCGTGTTTATGAATTCTTCAAGTTCTTCGGCAATTAATACAAAGCTCATATTATATTAAATTATAAAATGCTAAATATGGAACGAAAAACCTGTCTGTCGTGAACAAAGTGGAGATGCATCTAAAGAAGTGCTGATTGCGCCAAACAGAGAATTCGAGACTCACATTGTCATGTCCGCCGTCTTTGTGTCATAAATCTCGTTCTTGTAGATGTAGTCAATGACAGAGTCCTGCACCAAATATCTGACACTCTCGCTGCGCTTCAAGGCTCGTCTGATTCGCGTCGAGCTTACCTCGTTCGGAATCCATTCGGTTACGATACAAATGTTATGCTGGAAGTAAGAAGAAGAGAGAAGATCAAGCTGCGTAGCAGCCTAGGATTAGCCAAAATTCATTCATCCTTTAAGAACCTTTACTATTTACTATGTGCATTAGCATTAATTAGAATATTTCATTCACCATGTGCTTGGACAAAATGTCCGAATCATAAATAAACTTGTTGGGGTTGGAACCTTCCCGCGTTATGACCACGAGACCATGCTCGCCAACGATCGCGTCAATCTGCAACACGAAGATGTCTTATATCTTCATAATATGTTGCTTTTATTTTCTAACATTAATTATCTACTTTGCGACCAACTCACATCTTCCTCAAGCCAGAGTCCGCAAATGCCAAAACTTTCCAGAAGATCCGCACCACAGAGCAATTTGATCTGTATCGGTGTGTTATCCGAGCTGTTTTTCACATTCTCCGGGATCCACTCGATATCTTCTATCTGCATATGATGCTTGATATCGTTGGAATTGGACAATATGGAATTGAGAAGATTCTGATGGTGCTGAAGGCACAAACGTGTCTTTGTCCAACAGTTCTGTCTGGTCTCCCATGTGCTTAGACGAATCCAGTCGTTGTTTTGCAATGCTAGTCGCAACATTGCACATCTATGTGTCGCGCTAGCTAACTCTTTTTTGGCATATGCATCATGAACTGGAGAAATCACTCCCCCCACGACTATGTGTGTACCCATTCGATGCAGATGATCTCGCGCAATTTCTGAAATCCACAGAAACTCTTTGTTTTTGTTCTAACATAGAAACAAGGACACAGATAGAAGTAATGCAAGAGAATTAACACAGAAACAAAAGAAATTCTGATTTGCTTCAATAGGTTACATCTCTCCAAGTTTCCAGAAAATCAGTGATTTATCTCTCAGTGACAAATTTGTTTATTTTTACAACATACATAAGTAAAAGTAACTTGCAAGCACCGCTAAGGGAGAGAAACTTTAGTAAAAGAAAAGATAATTTCTTCTTTCTTTAAAGTTCTTTTTCTTCTGTATCTTAATTTTGTATATAGATATTACTAAAAAGTATCATTTTTCCTGCACTAGTTCACAAAAAAGCTATATATAAGAAAAAGTAAATCCTTTTTCTAACATATCTTACATTAAATATGACATGTGTAACCAGAAGAACCAGAGGTATAGACTTTTTCAGACTAAATCAGTGCTCAGTGTTGCATTGTATTATCTATTTTTCAAACTAGAAAGAAGCACAGCCAAGTCTTGGAACAAATATAAAATTGCATACAAGTTTATATTTAAGTGTTAGGTTTGTATATACAAAAAAAGTATACAGAGAAGCTTTGCAGGAAAATAGGAACAACAAATTAAGAGAAAATGCAGATAAAAATAAAATAAAATGTTACTTATTACTAACGCTTAGAGAACGATCCCTCAGATTCAATAGAATATACATACATATGTATAAAATAAAATTATGTACAATTTTAGGTGAGCTAACAAATAATAACTTGATACTGACAACATACACAAGTGGAAAGCACAGCTGCAGGGAACATATGACATTTCATTAGACATTTCATTATGCACACACAACGATAACAATACGCACGCGTAACAGCGTATCACGCACGATGACGAAATATGACGCGACATTACTTCAATATTATCGATGGTGCTGTAAGATGAAATTAAAAATAAGTCGATATATACGCACCGAACATTCGTAAGTGCATGTTGGTCGGCGGGTTATAACTGCCGCATGACATCAAAATTACACGTGTGGGCGCCATTTTGCACGCTTATTAGTCGTCGTCGTCGCATCGGCTGACCGCACCTCCGTCGTCTTTGCCGTCAAATCGACCGGGAGTCTTTTACATAGTAGCGAAAACACACCCGTCGCGAGTTCGCACAGCCGACTGATCGTGCCAGCTCACGAATGCATAAGAAAGAGCCTGCGCATGTCATACAAACCAAATTCATATTGGAGTAGGGATAGCTGACACATGGGGTCTGTTCTTTATAGCTGCACTGGTTGAACTGGTGCAATAAGTTAAAGTGAGACAATTGGTTTGTTCTTTCCAGCTGCACTACTGAACTGGTGCAATAAGTTAAAGTGAGAAAAAATATAGTTATCTCATTCTAACTTATTGCACTAGTTCCGCAGTGCAGCTGAAAAGAACAGACCAAATTATAGGTTTTCTCGCTCTAGCTTATTGCATCAGTTCAGCGGTGCAGCCACAAAGAACAGACCAATGGTCGACGATACGATGTTTAAAAGAATTTCAAAATATTTCTTCAGCTAATTCTTTTATGTAAAGATTCATTTAAATTCGTTGTGCTCTTTGAAAATAAAAAACCTTCCGATTTTCTCTTTCTGTGTAATCATATTATCTGATAATAAGAAAATCTGATTCGTCGTTGAATTCTATTACTTGAAAATAAAAGATCTGGCCACTCCGTCATTGAGTCGTATTACTCAACGATTTTAAATTCTCATATTATGAATAGTGGCAATTCGTAGTGGAGAATTGATAAGAAGTAATAGTTTTTTGTACAACGCCAGTAGATGACATCAGACAGTCCATTAGCGAAAGTGGAGTGATAATTGTGTCGAAATGTTATATTAAAGTCTTTATTATGAACTTCACTACCAAAATCCAAATCGATACTAGGGGATCGTAAGATATTTTCCATGACAGAGTCCTTTTGCGCATGCATGAAGGACGTACAACTCAACATAAGTAATGACCAAAGCTGACGTAAGTAATGATCTCGTAGGCGCAAAATAAAGGCCGTATCCCACTAGTAGAACTGCGGATTTAGTTGCGGTTGAGGTTACGGTTAACAGTAATGGATTAGCCGACGATTATACTACACATTTAACAGTCAATCTATACGTGATCTTTTCTTACAACTTTATCGGATAATTTTACAATAAACGAGTCAAAAATAGACTCGGGTTTAAATTATAACTCCAACCTGGCCGGCGAATTGCTCCGCTTTGATTGGTAGATTTCCATCTATAACTGCAATCAAGCCCGCAACCTGTAGTGGGATACGACCTTTATGATCATTATCTACATAGCCCATCTACATGGCCCATCTATATAGGTCACAACACGCAAAATGTAGATTACAGGACACAGATATTGACTAATCACAGTCGATAGTTTTCCTCACATTCGACTCTAATTGGTTAATCTTTATGTCCTGTGATCTGCACTTTGCAGATGTTGCGATTTATGCAGACGGGTCGTGTTAGAAGGACTTGTGTAAAATACGCGGCCATCTGTCTATTGCTATTTGCTTGCTCGGCTACAGACATTAAAAAATAAAATAATATATTTATTAGTACTCATGAATAGCATCCTGCTCCTTTTATAAAAAATTTTCCTCTCTCTCTCTACAATTCCTTCATATTTTCTTTCAGGCGAGGGATCTTACGATACCTCCAAATAAATACGGTATCGAGGCTACCGTAGCGTTTGCTTAAAGCCCGTGTCACACTACACACGGATTGAAGATCAAAGATTGCGGATTGAAGATTGAAATTTGACCAATCGGATTAAAACAAATGAAAACCGAAGTTCGTTGATTTGTCGAAATCTAATCTTCAATCCGCAATCCTTGATCTTCAATCCGTAGTGTGACATGGGCTTAATGCATCTGTGAAAATATCTCTCTCAATCCCCCAGCACTGATCCAGATATATTTCAAAAATCATTGTATCATAGATATTATGCATGGATTTGTAAAATTTTTTTCAACTTTGTCACAACCAAAGTTTAGGGTGAAAATAATAATGAAAAGTAGGGGAGATTAAAGAATATGTCGAGGAATATATTTTTTACAAATCTAATTGCATACTCACATGACGCGTTAAATGCTATGGCCGGTATTCATAGGCTGCGTTCCGATATTCACTGCCAGCACTGAAAATCTATAGTATACGTGACACAAACTGTGTATTTTCAGTACTGACAGTGAATTTCGGAACGCAGCCCTAGTCAGATCTTACACTTAAGATCGTCTCAAGTTCATCTTCAGATGCTGTACTGCATATCATTTCATTGGCTATGGAGTATCTGAAAGTGAACTTAAGACGGTCTTAAAAATACGACCTGACTATGAATACCGGCCATTATAAGTTCTCATAAAATGGGTTCTTATATGCCTGATGGTTTCAAACAACTTATTTGCTCACGATCAATTTTATCGCGTTATTCTCGTTAGAGTCTATTCGAGCCATCAGATGTGTGCGAAGAAGCACATATGAAAATATGTGTTTTTTATTTTTAGCTTATTTTAGTACATCATATTCAAAGTCCATCCGAAACAGTGATGGATACCTAAACCTTCTAAACATTCCTTCGTTAGACCTAACCAAGGCTGCGTTCCGATATTCACTGCCGGTACTGAAAATCTATAATATATGTGACATAAAGTATATATTTTCAATACTGGCAGTGAATATCGGAACGCAGCCCAAGTTAAACGTGGAGCGGATGCTCCACGTTACGGCAGGAGGCAAGGCAAGGTGAAGAAAAGCGAATCTGTTTCTCTCGTTCGGTTATGCTCGGAAGTATTCGGCACTATCGGAAAATGATGACGATGACGACGACGGCGACGACAGCGACAGCGACAGCGACGACGCTGGGTGGCCAGCTGTTTGTTTTGTTTTCGGGCATGAGATTCACGTGACAGCCGGCGGGTGTTGGTGGCGGCACGCGATGGCTACGACAACGATTATTACGGCCGCGCGGGTTGGCCGAAGCGATGCGCTCGCCGCCGCTTTCGTCCAATCGACATGGTTGTAAGCGCGCGGTGCTCAAAGAGAGTGCTGCTGCCGCCGTGGTGAGCATTTGACATCGATAAATGCGTGCGAGTGTTCGCGAAGCGCGGAGGTGCTAAACTGTCGCTCGCTCGCTCATTCACTCGCTCCCTCGATCGTTCGTTCGTTCGTTCGTTCGTTCGATCGTTCGTTCGTTCGTTCGATCGTTCGTTCGTTCGTTCGATCGTTCGTTCGATCGTTCGTTCGTTCGTTCGTTCGTTCGTTCGTTCGTCCGTTCGTCCGTCCGTTCGTTCGTTCGTTCGTTCGTTCGTCCGTTCGTTCGTTCGATCGTTCGTTCCTTCGTTCGTTCGTTCGTTCGTTCGATCGTACGTTAGTTTGTCGGATCGTTCGTCCGTTCGTTCGTTCGTTCGATCGTTCGTACGTCCGTTCGTTCGTTCGTTCGTCCATTCGTTCATTCGTTCGTTCGTTCGAATTATTGTCGCCGTCGTGTCGTCATCGTCATCCTCATTCCACCGCTCGCGTTCGGCATTATTCGCTCGTCCGATTAGCCCCCTCCCCGCCCCCACCACTATCGCCGCCGCCGCTGCCGCCGCTGCCACCGCCGTCGCCGCCACCGCCACCGCCACCGCCGTGTGCCCCTCGGCCCTGTGAGAAACCTATCTACGAGAACTAGTAGTGCTGGGCAGTGCTCATCGTTCACAACAGTGTATAGGTCCCGTCGTGTCGGTTTCTCTCTCTCTCTCTCTCTCTCTCTCTTCCCCCCTCTCCGATCTATTTTTCTGTATATCTATCTAGCTATCTCTGTCTTTCTATGTGACCGCTCTAGATTGCGCCTACCTTCTCGCGCGAATACACGCTTCTTTGTCGCGGGCCGTGCCAAATGTCATCGGGTGGACGTTAGGCGCATATGCATACGTAAATACACGTTGAGGGGCGTGAATGTGTATGGATGTGTACGTGTGTGTGTATATTTTGTGCGTACGTGCGCCGAGGTAGAGAGACTTATGCGCACACACGTATGTACGGGATGATGCCCTGCACTACGCGATGAGGAAACGAAGGGACCTCAGCTGGCGCATTCTAGTGGGCGTTCGGGTAAAAACTGCTGCTTCTGTTGCGCGAGAGAAGGCGGCCAGGTCGTCTGCCTGCCTGTCTACCTTCGTTTGTGAGTTATCAGCTGGTGCGCCGCGTTGTGTCGTCTCTTGTAACGATCAGTCCCCGATTCGCGCACCGAGGGCACCAGGCCCTCGCCCTCTCCGAAGTCCGAAATAATAAAAGTTCCGTACTTACGTCACGCGTCAGAGAGACATCGTTCTTATATTTAATTATCTTTGAACAATAACATCGGATGTCGCATGAAGCGCGTGATAAAATCAAGAAATTAAACATCTTACTCCTTGCATCTGTTTTGGATCGTGTCAATGGAGAGAGAGAGACAATATTTTTAATACCGGCCTGAGGGACAAAGCGACCTATGACTACGAGATATATCTTGTTGTTGCACTTGATTGTTTACTACGGGCATTTTGGATGTAGTTCATTCTTCGGTTCTTATAAATTACGAAATTATCCCAGTTGAATAAACAACAAACTCGAGATGTTTCTTCGCGCGAATAAACAATAATTGAGATAATTAGCTGAGTCGTTTAAGAAAATTGTTTCTTCTCGTTACTCTGTATATATATATATATATATATACATATATAAAATAAAAAAAAAAGAAATATTAAAAAGTTCGGATTTCCTGAAAAATGAGGAGATACGAGATATATTTCACTCCGATCATACTATATGAAAAATAATCATCAATCGCGCGCGCGTGATAACAGAAATAAATTTTTTTGTTCATATACTTATTTAGTAAGAAAATATATCTCCAAATATATTTGATAAATCTCTTTCTCGCTCTTGCTCGCTCGCTCGCTCGCTCGCTCAATCGCCCTTTCTATATTTATCCATCTATCGTTCTCTCTTTCTTTTTCTACCTATCTTTTTCCTCGGGCTGTTTCTGTTTCCGTTTTGCTCTCGCTGTTTATTTTCCTCCCATTACGCGACCGCGCGTAGGCATGTTCTCTCTTTCACGCGGTCTCTCTCCCCTCCAATCTTTCTCTCTCTCCCCCCACCCTTTCTCTCTCTTTCTCTCCCCACCCTCTCTCTCTCTCTCTCTCTCTTTCTATATATCTATCTTTCTCTTTTGTTTCGCACAGCGCACATACATATGTGTGTGATATATATGAGATGTATATACGTATCACATATACCGAGAAGCACAACGCCAGCGTGCTGTCTGTCGTTGTATAGAAAACACTAAGCATTATAAATACTTTAACATTCATTGATTGTAACTCAAGGATCGTATTTCTCAAAAACGAGATATCCATACGTAGTACAAAATTTCGACATTCGGTGGGAAAGAACAGAGGAAGGGAAAAGAGTCGGTCATAAAAAATATATAATGTGGAAAGCACATTTAGTATTTTATATCGAAACGTGTGTAAAAATTGCACAACTGTTATTTATTCATAATGTACGCTGAAAAGTAAAAAGATTTGGGCACTTTTTCGATGCATATTGTAGCACAGTCGTTATTTGATAAATTCTATTTTCGAGTGAGATTTTTAGGGCCACCGCACATAAAATGACATAGATATGCATAGCATAAGATCATATGGACCAAGTCCAAGACGAGTGGACCAGGAAAAAGTTATGTTATGCTCTGTAGATCAACATGGCAACTTTTTCCTAGATGCTCATGCTAGTTAAGACAGGCGTCTATGCGATGCATGTCATTTTGTGTGCGATGGCTCTTTCAAGATAAATTGCTCAGTGAACGCGTCGCGAAATGCATCGGAGAAAATGGACAAATCTTTCCGCTATGTGAGTGCATACAATACATGACAGTGGTGCCGCGAGGGAATTTTTGTACGGAAACTTGCACGCCAACGGCCTGATAATCGCTTCTGACTTCATTCTTATCATTTATTAGCATTAATTACTTCGTGATAGTCGTGTGCTTTAAAATCCAATAATAAATCTTTAATGTTGCGTTCAGTGCATTTTTGCTTACGGCTAAAACTATCTACAGGGAGCAGCTCCGATAATGTTGACCTTGACATATCAAAACATTCCAAGATAGAAGGTTGACAGAATGATTGATATCACATTCAAGAAAATAGGAAGCTATCAGAGAGAGAGAGAGAGAGAGAGAGAGAGAGAGAGAGAGAGAGAGAGAGGGAGAGAGAGAGAGAGAGAGAGAGAGAGAGAGAGAGAGAGCGATTAAACAATTATAACTTTCCAACAAGTAATAAGCGACGCCAAAGACCTTTAAAAAGTTATTCAGGATAATGACCTTGACGATGTATGTCAAAGTTGAGGTTATAGTTGAGGCTTTGATCTCCCTTCCTGTAGATGTAGTTTTAGCAGTTTCGAAAAATTGCATCCATCTTATAGGATATAAGATTAATGTAATAAGGAAGAATGCAACTATGCATGTGGCTTCACTTCAATCCATTGTTCTCCTTCAGTGTACTCTCGCCGACTAGTTGGACGGTGCTCGCGATCGGTTTTTTCTTGTTTCTTCTCGCGATCGGCTTCTCTCGGTGCTGTTCGTGAGCGGCTTTTCTCGGCAGTGCTTGAAGAAGCGCAGGCACTTTCGTATAGTGGTGCCGGGACGGTTGTTGTGTTGTTGTCACCGATTACGCTGCACGGATCTGCGAAAGTGCCCAGGACCGATAACCGATGATGGTAATCGATCTCTTCTTGTGATTTAGTGTAATTTAGCGGTGAATGTGGTGATGCGCGGGTGAGGAAGGAGCAGCAGGAAGCAACCAGAGAGGAGTACCCATAAATACTGTGGCAGAAGGAGGAACAATTAGAGGACGGAGGATAAGAGCAGTTGGTTCATCGCGACTGCGCAGTGGAACGCTCTTTTCAACACGTGTTCAAAAAGACAGTGGACGCTAAAGCAACACAATCGGCTGGAAGGACTTTGAATGGAAAAAAAGTTCGATGTTCGGTAACGGATTTATCACTAATCTCACAGAATTATCAATTCAGTGACCGTACTAATAACTCGAACAAAGAAACATTATCGAGAGGCCAAATTGCCAAGTGGAAAATTACTCGGAAAACGAATTTATCAAATCACGTAAAAATTATTGATGACAGCTGACCGCGAAGAGGAGACTTTCTATTAATCTGGACGTCGTAGATTCTCATTCGCGCAAGTGTAAGCTGAAGGCTCTTCGAAAATCGGGTAGAAGTACAGGGAAAATAAGTGCGGGACGCGTTTGGCGTATCCTCATTTATTCATCGTCGCCGCCGCCGTCGTCGTCGTCGCCGTCGTCGTCGTCGTCGTCGTCGTCGTCGTCGTCGCCGTCGTCGTCGTCGTCGTCGTCGTCGTCGTCGTCGTCGTCGTCGTCGTCGTCGTCGTCGTCGTCGTCGTCGTCGTCGTCGTCGTCGTCGTCGTCGTCGCCGCCGTCGTCGTCGTCGCCGCCGTCGTCGTCGTCGTCGCCGTCGTCGTCGTCGTCGTCGTCGTCGTCGTCGTCGTCGTCGTCGTCGTCGTCGTCGTCGTCGTCGTCGTCGTCGTCGTCGTCGTCGTCGCCGCCGTCATCACCGCCACCGTCATTGCCATCACCATCACCGCCACCGTCATCATCATCGTCATCCGTAAAAGATCGGTGCACGCACGCTCACTCCGTGCGTGTGGTTATCGCTACTCGTGTAAGCTTGGTGCGCGCCGGTGCGTAAGTACGATTACGCAGACCGAAGATAACCGAAGCACGGCGAAGTCGCCCGAGGCGGCACGGCGGCCGCGAAGAGAGACGGCGATCACGCTCGTATTTCGCGACGGCCGCTTCCCCCCACTCTCTTCCTTCGCGTGTGTCTATTCTTTGTGAGTGTGGTGTGTGCTGCGTGCGTACGTGCGTGTGGTACGTCGCGCGTGGCGCGGGAACGCGCGGGAAGAGGAGTGAGCATAAACGGAAGTTGCCAGGAATACGCCAAACCGAGGAAATATGAGCATTGCTGCCCTACTGCAAGCTGCCGAGTACATTGAACGAAGGGAACGAGGTGAGTGTTATCTTCTTTCTCTGCTTTTTTCGATCATTATTAAAACTGATAAGAAAAATTACACATATACGCGTATCTTTTTATATATAACGAGCATATGTAATTAAAACACCAATAATGTTACAAAGTTTTTCTAATGGTAAGAAACATCCAGTAGTTTAGTGCAATTACATTACATTTTCTAACCACGTGATAATTTTATTTGTTTACTTAAATAACAAACACGATACCGATGATTTTCTATGAGTGGATGTTACGAAAATAAAAATTGGATAAGGTTAGGTAAGTTTGGCTGAGTTAGGTTAGGTTAGGTTAGGTTGAATTTAGTTTGGTTGAATCGGATTAAGATGGTGTCATCGTATGTACAAATTGTCGAAACTATAAATGTAAGACGTAAAATTAAATTGAATTATAGTTATGAAATCGTTTGAAGTTTGTGTAATGGCGACTTCTTCTTTAGCGCGTATCTTGAAAAAGAACATTTTTTTTGTTCTGTTGGTCCTCTCTATTTCGTCTCTTCTTTTCAATGTCATGCGAGCACAATTTTTTTGAATTTTTTTTAAAACCGTTTAAAAAAAAATACACACATATTGTACTTTTTGTACATATAATTAGTGTACATTAATTTAATCATCTAAATTTTCGTTATATTGTTACTTAAGAATATCGCTGCTAAAATTAATTCAGAGAGTTTATTAAGGGTTAATGGAAAAATTTGTCAAAACAAAGTGCTTATTAAAATTTACGAAGAGCTTTTGTAGGAAGAGAAAGAACAGCGACGTGAGCCTCGCACTCGCAGCTTGTTAAGCTCGTTACAGCAAACGAGCGACGGACGCGCCGATATTAAGTCATGTTTTATTTTATCGATTCAGCGATTTACAACAGCCCTAGTGATTACTTGAAAACGTTTGAGGGGATGACAATTTGATTTAATCGAAAAATAATCGAATTTTCGAAAATTTTCTTGAGAGTTGTGTATAGGTAGTCTTCGTGAGTTTCAATTATTAATCTTGAAACTCGTTTGAAACGCATGCGCGAAGCGATAAGAATACAGTCGAAGTTTCTTCACTTCCAACTTTTGAATTTCTCGCGCTTCCATAACTTGGTGAATATAACCTCACTAATGTAACGTATTATGCGTTGCAGAAGCAGAACATGGCTATGCTTCAACATTGCCGATACCTGATGATATGCGGACGATTACAAAGAAGCCAAAAACGAAGAAGTCCCAAGGCAGCAGGTTAATATTTTTTTTTTAATTTTGAATATTTTTATTTAAAAATCGCATGTTCTTTTATTTCGTTTCAAGATCACAAATTTTTCTAGCATTGGTTTTTTCTATATATTTTCGATTCTTATTACTATCATCATCAGGATTTGAAAATTATAATTATAGTCGTATTTTGCAACCGGTTTTCTTTCATCCAGGCATCAGCAGTGCCATAGACTGTGTGCTGTTGTCCATATAGAGTCGGACAACGCAATAAGGCATTGTCGCGACAATATCACACAGTTGGTGTTTGCCCGCTGATAATAAATCAGCGTCTACGGCACTGCTGCTCGCTGTTTTCAAACCACTAGCGGATGCTTGAGTTAAAACTGTTGTCCATAATTTGGCAGCCATTATTATTGTCGTCTGATTGACGTTTTTATTGAATCGAGCTTTTGCTGTTGCTCAGATGCATATAACAAACGTTATTTTTCTGCTTTCAGAACAACTCATAATGAACTGGAGAAAAATAGGTAAGTGTATTCCATAGATGATAATATATATGAATCATAAGTGATAACTTTTTTTGTCATACGTCTATTAAAGCATTATATAAAAAGACAAATGTTGCACAAGAAAGTAGAGTCGAGAAGAGTCAGACGTGGGGCACAGTTGTGGTACCATTATTTAATAAACGTTTTGATCTGTGAATCGGGTAGGTACATATTACGGCTGAGTAGAATGAATGATTATAATCCAGCAGATTTAAATTTTTTTGGAGATGAAGGATAAATATTCTCACAAAAACGAAAAAAAATTTGTGGATAGAGATAAAAGAAAAAAGATAAGAACACATTATAACATAACATAATAACACGTTATGATATTTTTAATATTATTATTCAGGAATTTATGTATATAAATATAAAAAGGTGTAGTACAATTGATAGTAGATAAATGTGCGCTACAATGTTATGTAACGAAATACGAAGTGTAATCGAGAACGAGCTTTTACATTGGCCGTTATGTATCACGCCATCCCTTGTGTAACTTCCTCCCCCTCTCAACTCTTCCCTTTCCCATTATACACTTCCCCTAACTTATCCCTACCTCCTCCATTCGCACTCGGGTTGGGTGTAAAAAAATCGATAGCCCGCCTGCGACCGTCTTTCGCTTTCCCTTTTTCTCCAAAGCAACCCCCGTGCCCCTTCTTTTTTCTTCTCATACGCGCTCTAGCACGCTCTTACACTTCTCTTTGCCTAAATATCTATGTTGTGTTTATTTTGTGTGAAAACAAATATAACTAACTGAATCCTTTTGTATCGTAAAGGTGTTTTGTTTGATATTATGGCGTATTACGGTTACCTGTAAAATAACCTGTGCCACTGTTGAAAACTGTTCGGTCATCTTTGTTGTTTCAATGCAAAGAAAAGGAATTGAACTTCATTGTATGGTATAGTTTACGCCAGTGTCTATGCCAATGGCGGCGAGTGTGAAAGTGTGCCGGTGCAAGTATGCATAAGTATGCAGCACGTGCGACGAAAAGCGTGGAGGCCAATGACACTCTGTCCTAAATTTAGCGCGTCGCGCTGTGGAAATAAATCCGCGGCGAATCCTTTGCGCGCCGCGCTCCGGCTTGTATCAGACCCATTAATTTCATGATAACGTACGTAAGATTAAGGTTAATATTGCATTACAATTATTTGATGTTTCTTCATTCAAGACGATTCGATATAGGTCCAATGTAGCACATAACATCTCAGGATTCACATTACATCGTTGTGATTGATCATGTTACTTTTGTGCGAGGTCTTTTATTGGCCAAGAGGATATAGTGGATCTCTGTGGGTTCTTCGAGATGGCACAAACTGATTTCCCCTGAATAGAAGCGCGATCACTCCAAATGTTTTTTCGACAGCTTCTTAATATTCGACATTAATTGAAACCTAGGCTTTAATGAGTGAGCTTCAAGTTAAAGTCCCTTCGAAGCAAACCCTCCCTCTTTAGAGGTAAAAAATGTAAGAATCTCTTATCTGTCGGCGTTATCAGACCGAACAAAGCGAACAGCAACGATAAACAATCACTCGACCAAGCGTGTTACTTGTACTTGGATCATCACGCAAAATATCAGATTCTTTCCAAACGGAAGAAAAGAGACTGTCGTGGGTCGTCTGGATGGAAAACGAAAGCTTGACAAATAGCCACACCAGTGCGAGAATGACGCTGCGAGCGACGCCTGGGATTCCTGGCCCATTTGAAATGCATTGAATTTTTAAGCGCCATCCTTTGTGCCACCTCCGTTTGCGAGATAGCCAACTTCCGGTTCGGCTCTCCGCCAGTCTTCGGTCGGCTTTCCATAATTTTGACTCGAATTCTATCCGACGATGCTTGTAAGCTTCAACGCCTTTGCAGCGATCGTTGCAGGTTATGAGGACATTAAGAGTAGCAAAGATTATTTTTGCTTCCAGTTAATCAATATGTAATAACCGAGATCTTGGGAGATCCTATATTTTTGCAAAAGGAATATTACAACCTTCATATGTGACGTTAATTGATGAAAAACGATGCACCAAATAGTTTCACGCTGGTAAATTAATTTGTGTGAACGGTCGGAATGGATGTATGCGCAGACGCATACAACAGAGGAGTATATCCTCCGCGTGAGAGATACAGAGGGCGGGATGCAGGCCGGCTTTGGGGTCAAGGACGACTCGACTGAGTATATACCCTGCGTGCACCTCTTTCGATTCTCTAACGTTTGAGGATATTCGGAGCTTCCGACCTTCCGACCTTGGTTAATTGCATAATAATATCCAGCACGTACTTTAGAGATAGATTCAACATTGAAAACATTGAAAAACATTAAAGAAAAAGAAAAACGTTCATACAATAATCGAGAGTGTCACGTGTCGCATTAAAGCGACTGTGACTCTCGTCAATGTATTCAACATGCATGAAACCTGCGAGTTTAATTTCACGAAAAATAAAGGAATGGTAATAAAATACAACCTGGTTCTCAACTAGTCAGTTATATATTACTTATGAAGGATATGATCTTTATGAAGAAACTTCTTGAAAATGTATCCACCGAAAGTTGAAGCATTTATGTACTCAGCACTTAATATACTGCCAGTAAACACAATGACGTAGTATTGCACGGTCGAGCAATATTATCGAACTTGGCCCGAACTTCAATCAGTGAAGAATTTGGCTTTTTAATTCCAAGGAATTGAAATCCGGAAAGCAGCATTCGATGCAATGCTGCTTATAATTATATGTAATGGAAATTACAGACGCGTGCTACATACAAATTGTATAGCGAGAATGACGAGGATGAGAAGAATGAGAGGCACTGCCTAAGGGAGAACTCAAGGTGAACGAGCTTCAAAGTGGCGATGGTGTGGAGCTGCGGAAAGACATAGAGACAAGCAAAGGGCTTGTAGGGGCCCTAATGCCCACGCTGTATATGTTATATGTAGAAAACACGCGAGGTCGACCTCCTCTCCACCCTCACTGTTTTTCTCACACCTTGGTTATATAGCAGCGGTCCGCCAAATAAGTATATATCAACCAAGTCGCTTTCATGATCTTATTTCAAATTATATTTCGAAGCTCAGCTAGCCCCTTCGCTGAAGATATCGTTTGGCAGTTTCTATGTTCACACGTGACTTACGCTAGTATCGTATCTCACGACCGGCTGGAAACCGATCCGCGAGTCGAGGATTGGAAGCGTATGCACGCGTTTTAATTATCGATTTTGCCTTCCACTCTGACCATTACCACTTCGACGCCTTCCATCGATATGCGAAGATTAAGGAGATCGCTTTCCGCCATAATGAAACCGGAGAGCAGCCGCGTCATGTGAGATTATCGTGTGCATCAAGAGTGCGCGCGCGCGTTCTTGCCTCACTTTGAACGTAGATGCGATCTCCTTTTGTTTTTGGAACGACAAGCCTTCGTACAAAGGTGACTCGAATTCGCAAAAGCGAGATGATTATTGTTAGATAATACAGCGTATTAGTGTGTACCTGTTGGACGCAACTCTGATAATGAAAATGGCGGCGAGAAAGAGAGAGGGAGACATAGAAGAAGAAGAAGAAGAAGAAGAAGAAGAAGAAGAAGAAGGGGAGGAACGACGATACGTATAATGAGGATTAAAGGAAGAGCATTTACACGTTGAATGGTTTCCCGTAATTTTCGGGAGCCAGAGTTATATAAATTGTTTGGTTGGTGATTGGGAATTGCTTTGCGGTCGAACAAAGGACGAGGACGAGGAGAAAGGGAAGAAGAAGGGAGCAAAGAGGCCACCATCGTAATGAGAGGATGACAACATGGTGTTAATTATGCATTAACAGCCTTCAATTAGGAACTGCATGGAATTATCTTCCTGCCACTTTTCCAGATAATTTCAATCTGTACGTACGTGAGTGCAATGGTGTACAAAACATGTGCAAATTCAATGTAGATTTTAACAAAAATAGATACACCACCAAACATCGATTGACACATTCAACTTCAACACAAGATAATGAAGGTTAAGAAAGCAATTTGTACATAAGAAGGTCACTTTTATCTTCCACGATCACTAACCGCTTTCGCGAGACGTTATATGTAAAGGAAGTTTCCTTATCTCGATTGGATCTTTGATAAACAGAAAATGACAAACACAAGATACTACCGTTTCTACCACTCGATGAGGTGTTTTGACGCAATTATCACAATGCACCAACACTTATCGATCGGATGTGAATTCGATAAGCGAGTCGTAGTCGCGTCTGACTGATTTCAAGGTAGAGGTCGTATTCGAGACTCGATTTCGGACTCGTCCCCAAAACTGATACCACGCCGGAAGTCAGTTTGATCGACCTTGCTTCTATTTCCATCCGGAAGTGAGGACGCGATGAAGGGAAATCGAGCGAGAACATTCGCACGTTGTATACCTATGTACAAAACGAGGCTTTCAAGCGTAACAGATAATTAATATCTCGGAATATGTTGATCTTTTGGAAGAAAAATATCTACAGCAAAATTATGATGTTTCTTGTGAAATGTGTATAATATGCCGTAACATACTGGAATAGACAAAAAGTATATATGACTACGTTTACCAATATATATACATAGAAAATTATGAATCATGAATACATACATTTTCCGGATGCTCAACACTAGACGCGAAATAGGAATAAAATTTCATCGACGACCGGTTCAAAGTTAAATAGTCATATTTTGTCCGAGGCTATGATCTAATCACGTGATTCGGCAGGCGGGCGATTCGAAGAGCGGATGATGCGAGTCAAGTCAGCGAAAGCTTGCGCAATACCTGAGCTATTGTACTCGTTAGGGACATTCGGGATCGGCTATTGGATAAGACTTCCTTCCCGCCGTATCATCCTACTCTTCCACCCACTCTGCTTTCTCGCCGCAACGGGATGACACGAAGTCCTCGGAGATATCCTAGTCGCTGAAAGGGATCGCTGAACCTTCAGGTCCAGGAAACCCCATTTTCGCCACCCTGAAGGACCTCCGCCTAATTCTATGGGCCAAGAATCGCGGGATTTAGAGCCGAGGTGCTCTTTGGGGATTCCTTCTTCTCTCTTCTTCCTCGTCACCTCTCTTCCACACATACACACATCTCCTGCTCTCTTCCTTAACGATCAAGCGAGTCTTGCGAAGCCAGCAGGAACGCTAGGATCACGCTTTGTCCGCAGATTCGCTTTGAAAGAGGAGAGCCTTATGAAAGAAATTCCTAAGAAATTGGGAGGGAACATGACACATCGTAATCGACATGTCCTTGCGTAACAATCTTTTGGTAGCGATCTTAGAAACTTTTGTGTCAAATTGCACTAATCACAATTGGGAATTGGGAAATTATTTTCATAAACATAAATAATTGATAGCCCGATAACAGTCGATTTTTCCTGACTCCCGTTTGACTTACTGTTTCTTCAAGGATTTGTCGCTTCGTATTAAAATCGCGCGATTAATTAACAAGTATGCAATTCGATAGTACATTTTACATGCTTCATAGACGCAAGACACTACATCTTTATTTAAGTTCTACGCTACTGAGCGCACTCTGTGTGATGTGTACACCGTGCCGTTGCAATTGCGTCGTCACAGAGTGCATCGAACCCGAGTGCGCGCAGGTGAAAGTGAACCGAAGTGGTTCTCTCGTACATTTGTTGTGTGTCGGACGAATGGAGTGGCGTGTAAATTTTTGCAGATTTGGATAGCTCTCTCACAAATAAATTTGTCTATTTGAGAAAAAATGTCATTCATTGTTACTACAGGTGAAGGAATACAACGAGAAATATCTTTTCTAAGAGAACTTCGTTTTTGTTGGGATGAAAAAAAATAATGGTTTGGAAAGCTCTCGATGTATAGAGCTTAGAAGAAACTTACTTGGATCACATTTTATGTGGATTATTATATACTCGCGACGAGAACGAGAGTTTTTAAAATTTAAACAAGGAGAAGAGAAGAAGGACGATAAGGTCGGAAACTACTCATCATCATTGTGCTTTTCAGACTGCAACGAATGTTGTATTCGAGCTGAATCGATCTATAGACACGTTACACGCAATTATCGGAACCCACCTAACGGTAGAACGTGCTCTAACGAGTATAACCAACTGCATATCACTCTAGAAAAAAGCGTAGTACATACTGAGCGAGAGGGGTGGGTTAGGTTGGATTATTTAAAAGTGCATGTGCGCTAAAATGCGCGAGGCGAAAGAATGTTACTCGATAATGTTGCTTCAAGAATGTTACTGTTGAAAAATAATATTTCCGAATCTTAAGAAATTATCAATTCCGTAATGTTGACCGAAGAAACGTAACGACAGTGTTTCCTTGTATTGTTGTAGGAGGGCCCATCTTAGGACTTGCCTCGAAAAGCTGAAGCTACTAGTGCCACTTGGGCCTGAAACCTCGAGGCATACCACGCTGGGCCTTTTGACCAAAGCTAAGCGTTTTATCAAAGTAAATCACCTGTGATCAAGTCAATTTACAAAACATTTAAAGTACGACTTGTGCAAAAAAGCAACACAGACATAAGTTATCCTTCCGCCTACTTTAACATATCATGATTGCGTGTACCCAAAGTGGTGCCCCTTTAGATTTGACAATGTAATTTCTTTCTTTGTTCTTTTTTTCTTTTTTTCTTTTTTACACACGTACCAAAATTTAGAAATTGACCAGAAATAAATGATGTAATGTGTCCGGGGAATATATATATATATATATATATACATACGGCAAAACACAAGAATGATATACAAGAATTAATCCTATAACTCTTACTCACGAATGAACTTGGTTGGTTTGAAGAACCTGGAGGACCGTGAGCGCAAACACGCTATACACAAGGAGCAGCTGTCGCGCGAACACAGGTTCCTAAGGCGACGGCTCGAGCAGCTGACGAGCCAGACCGGCCTCCACAGCCTTCACGCGCTCCACGGCCTCCACGGGTTAAACCCGAACGCGCCGACCGGCTCCACCGCCGCCGCCTCCGCGGCGTTACTGTCCAAGCGGCGCAGCATCTCCGAATGCTCCTTGAGCACGGCTTCCGTCAGTTCTACCGGCAGCTCCAGAAACTCCGACAGATCCGCGGGCAGTCCTTCTGTTTCGGAATCCGGTGAGTATATCTTTGAATGTTATTGGATGGACTCGATATGTGTTGGATTGAATTCTTCGTTGCTCGGTTTCAATATTCCGTCATCATCTTCTCCATCTTGTATTGTTATGCATGGCACCTTCAAATTTTCGAATTTTCGAGATGTAGGAGTGAAGAGGGATGTGGTGGAGCGAGAGATATAAGGGTGGAGAGGGATGGTAAAGTTATTTGTCAATATTCACGCGTTTATACGCGGAGTATCGCAATCGCCATCAGTAAATCATAGAAACCAACGAGCGAAGAAATATTGACCATAAGGTTCTTCGGCGGGTAGAAGTCCTTCGTAGAAGTTTTCCCCGGTAAGCTTCGTGCGGACGTGCGTTAGCTGTGCACGTGATTGCGTTTCTCACGCACGGATCGGACCGTCACGTGACCGGATAAGTACCGACTGACCGACCTCTGTGACTATACGTTGTATTACAGACTTATTGTAAAGTGCTTTTTATGTTGGAACTCATGATTGAAACTCAATCGGAACTGACGGTGTGTGCAAATAGGTAAATAGGCCATAGAACGATCTGTCTGTTGATTCAGCGCGAAACCGGAAGTTGACAATTTAGCAGTTGAGCGCTTTAGCTTTCGTAGCAAGGCCAATGATTGTTTTGGGTTTGCCAAAATCAAAATTTGCCTGGAACTTGGCCAACTTGACCTAATCCTAGCAATTTTAGGTAAAATCAGATTCGGTTAGGTCGCTTAGATCAGGTTGGTATGGTCAGGGTTAGGTTAGGTTTCGTTTGTGGTCCGATTGTCGCGCGTATAATTTCGCTCCTTAAAAGATTTAGTTTTGTCTTAGCGAGACAGTAAGAGTTAATTACCACGGTCGATAAGAGATAATTGTTATTGTCTCATAACGTTCTTTCGTCGTCGTTATCACCACCTTTTTTTATCTCGTATGTTTCTGATTAATATGCAGTGCACACGGGCTCGCGCTATGCTGCTCATCGTTATATGATAATGAGAAATGATTAATTAAGGAGGAAACCGTCGTGCGGTTTATTTCTATCTTCTGTACTTCCTAAATATTGATACCTACGGCTTTTTTTTTTTTTTTTGTAAAAAGGAAAACGGGTTGTGCCACGTGTGTTTTCGATACTCCTTATTGAATAATAACGAGGGAGATTAAATCAGGATTGTAAAGCTTTTCTTGAGGAAACTCGGAGACCTTTTCTCTGCTCTCCTTTCCCATTTTGAACGCCACTGTTACCTGGACAGGTTAGTGATGTCGGTGACGCAGGATGGAAAGGCAATAGGGAGAGAGGAAAGGTGACGAGGGCCGATCCGGTTCGCTCAGTGTGACGAGAATAGAGGCATGTTATTGATTATGGAAAAATACCCTCAGCCCAGAGAGGCGCGGAGAAAGAGGAAGGGTGGCTCGCAAATGTGGTCGACACCCCCTTCGTCTTCTTGGGTACTGTGGTTGCCAGCGGGTATTGCGGCTACTGTGTACATCCGTACTTTCTATGTTAGTTTTTTTTTTTTCTTTTTTTATTATATAAATTTCCGCCTCTTCTAGGATACGACGTATCATTCTTCCTATTCATTTTTTTTTACTTCGAAAGATATCCCTCCACGTCTTTCTTTCATATTATTATTTTTTTTTCTTTTCTATAAATAAATGCCATTGCCCTATTTGCTATCTCCATTGATATGTTGCCTATTCCGCACATGATCATCACATTTTGATTGCTCTAATTTGGAGCTGGATTTTGTGCGGTTTTTTGTCTTCATGCTCTATGCTTATCAATACCTCATTTTTATGTCATTTCCCCTATGTCGTAAGATACGACATCATAGTAATCACGCAGTATCATCTCTGTTACTCCTATCTTTTGTGGGCACTTTTTTTTTTTTTTTTTTTTAATCTATTGTGTGTGAATATATTTCGTATATTCGTATTTATTGCGTATTTGCTTATAAATTGTCAGAAAATAAGATATTATTCCTTTGACCTCGAATTCTTATGTGTCGTTCTCGCAATGCAAGAAAGTAAACAAAAGTTTGTACTTTTTGTTGCAGATGAAGTGGACGTGATTGGTTACACAAGCAACCAATCGGACACCGACGATCACAGTAGCGTACAGAGTAGTAGCGACAGCGGTGTCGCAATGTCCACTTCCAGGTTGACCCTTTCCGAGATGATAGACAATCTTTAGGTATGCTTTTGACCGTTTTTAAGTTACAAATATATAATTGCGTAAAATGAAAGATATACAGAAAAAAGAATAGCAATCTCGATGTCGATCATTATTGAAATCTGACTTTCAGTTCCAGTTTTAATAGTTTAACAATATTATTCTTATATTGGAAAATTCCTCGCCACATGTTCATTCTTCTTGTGTGTAGCAATAAAACGCGATGAGTAGAATATTATATTCCAAATATAGGATATCATTACGCGAGAGAGTAGGATGTAAATCGAGAAGGGAGTAAAAGATGAAAGAAAGAGATCGACGTTACAGAAGCAAAAGAGGGATGTTAGATGTCAGACAAATAAGTTCTCATATTGCTTCCTCCACGTTGTTTGCAGACAGAGGTGACGCAGTGGTGACGGCAGAAGTTGAGAAAGAGAGAGAGTGTGTATAAGAGAATGTGTGAGAGAGAGAAAGAGAGAGAGCAAGAGGAGAAGGAGCAGAAGGAAGATCCATCGTGTACGAAGATCGACGGTGCGCAAGATATCGATTCATATACACATACACATACATACATACATACATACACTCAAGTGCGCGCGCGCGTACGCATGTACACATGCATAGATTCGTATTCATATAACTTTATCTTAAAATTGTTTACAAAGTTCTGTTAAAGAAAAGGTTCTTGAGAATTCGCTAGCTCGTGTTTGTGATTTTGCAAAGCCGCTTGGTGAAGAATCAAGGTAAATAGTTTTTTTATATCGCGTGACACAAAGAGAAAGGAGAAAGTAGAAGAAATGAAGAACTTGAATTTGGTGAAGTAAAACATCATTCGTAATTCTGCAAAATTTCTCTAAAAACACTAAATCAAAATATCGGGAGAAAAAAAGGATAAAAGCCAGTGACATTTTGGAAATCACGAACACAAATCCGAGAATCCGAGGACATTTTCTAAAGGAAATTCGATAAAATATAGCTTACAATTGCGTGATGGATATCTTAAAACAAAGTTGGGGAAAAAGAATAATTGTAAAAATAGATGTAACGGAGAGTGGAAAATTTATGATCGACTTCAAAAGAAGAGAGAACTTATAAAAAAAAAAAACAGGAAAAGATAAAGTAAAAGAGACTAAGAAGATATGAAAAAGAAAAAAAGAAAAAAAATTACGAGAAGTAATTTCTACCGAAGAAGACCAGCGACTTTTCGGAAATTGTGAGAACGAACATAAAGATTCGAGCAAATTTTCCGAGCAAAACAACAAAGGAATGCGACATAGAATCAAAAACAAAAAAATAAAAATAGAGAGCAACCTTGAGAAAAAACGAAAGGAAAATAAAAGAAAAAAATGTTAATTTTAAAAAGGAAGGAAAGAATAACAGATGGAAAAACAGAGATAGAAAAAATATAGAAGGTCGAAGAGATAAGAAAAAAATGTGGACTGAAAAACCAAAAGAAAGTGAGAGGGCCAAAAGAGGCTGAAAAAGGGAAGCAAGTGGAAGGAAAAGAAGAAATAAAGGAAAAAAGGTATATTCCAGTGTAGAGAAGAAACCCAATTACTCTGCGGAAGGTAAATTTCAAAAAATGTGAAAATATAAGAAAAGTTAAGGAAAGAGGAATCTAAAAAGGGGCTGAAAAGAAGCGGAAGAAAAGACGAGATAATAGGAATGATTTGGAGAATATGAAAAGTAGTAAGGGCGGTTATAAATTATTGAACGCTGACGAACCGCAGCGGCATTGTACATATTTTTCAAAGCGAACAGATTTATCGTGTGAGAGGATAGAGAGGGAAAGAGGTACATGAAATAGAGAGTATATATGTGAGAAAGAAAGAGTGATAATGTGAAATTGGGAGAGAGGGAGAGAGAGAGAGAGAGAGAGAGAGAGAGAGAGAGAGAGAGAGAGAGAGAGAAACTAGTCGGAAAATGAAGGTTATAAGAATGCTAAATAAAGAAACTACGGGGAGATTTTTCGTTTCTTTACATGTTTGGTCTTCAATTTTCGCAAAAGGAAAACAAAATAATATAAAGACCATTTTAAGACTCGACATTTAAATATGTATATTTTTAATTTAATGTTCTGCACTATTTAATAATATTAAAAATTTATTTTTACAAATTTAATTGCTTAATCAAACTCATAAAATTTCGTCGTTCTAAAGCATATGTATCTTCCAATTAATTCCGCGATAGATCTGCGGTCTAATGTTTCTGAAAATAGATAAAAATTTGATTATATTCAGAGATTTATACTTTACGAAGTTAGTTGAAACTAATTAGTTGAAACTGAGTGCGTAAAGTAGAAATTCTGAAAAATAAAAATTTCTAGTTTTATCTGAAGTTAAACTACCATTGGAAATATCTAACGAGATTAGTCGAAAGATTCGGAATTATTTGATATAATTCACAGAATTTAGAACGACAAAATTATTTATTAAATATAATTTGTTATATATATATATACACATATACACATATATATATATATATCGGATGAATTATAATAAAATTAATACTGCAAATTTATCAGCGAAATTGTTTATTCTATTTGAAATTCAGAAATTGTACACATTATATGAAATTAACTCTAATACGTTGAGGTAGTTATAAAAAATATAAAATTATTTTTATAGTATAAAATTATCTTTGGAACATGAAAGAGAGATTACTTAAGAAAATTACAAACATTATTTCGATAAAGTATAAAATAACTTTCGAAATTAAAGCGCGAGTTTTTAACATTTGTTTAAGTAAATAAGCTCTAAACTAAAATAAATTCATTAAACAAGTAAGTCCCGCGCCGTCGTTATCTTTGGTACGAGAAAAAATATATAAATCTGCGAAAAGTCAACATATATAATATATAAGTGAAACGAAATAGAGAATGTGAAAGAAAGTAGAACGATGAAAAGAGGTTGGGGGTTGGGAGAGAAGAGAAAAAAGACTTTTCTTGTGTCGAGAGAACAATGAAAGAGAAATGGCTGACTTCTCGATAAATAATTAACTTTGATTAATTAACAGACTATACGCTAACTCATACATAGCAGACACACACATACAGCATTGAAGAAAAAAAAATAAGTACATATATATTAAGTTATTATGCTATAATTAAATGAACAAAACAAAGTATAAAGGGCAAAAAATTAAACTGATAACTATATTATGATATAAGTGTAAAATGTCTACATGAATAAATATATATAGACATATACATGCAAACATAATGCGCAAGTGCGCGCGCGCGTGTGTGTGTGTGTGTGTGTGTGTGTGTATATATATATATATATATATAGGGTGTTCCTTATAATATATCCTCTAAATATATAAACATACAAAATAATAAACAAAAAATTAATAAATATAAGAAGCCGTAAGTGACTTTTGTCAATGAATTTGTTTATGACAAATAATTCGAACTTAACTGCAAAAACAGAAAAGGAAGAAAGTAGAAATAACTTTTCCTCATATGACCTGTAACTTAACTCTTGTGCTATTGATTAAAAAAATACAATAATTTAAGGAGGGAAAGTCCTCTTAGGATCTTAAACTTAAATCCAACGGCTTGTTTAATGTGGCCTGTTAAGAAAAGGAATAATAATTAAAGATGATTAAATTTAATGCTGAAATAATTATTAAACGATTATAATATTAAAGAAATTCTTCATTTAATTAATAATATATATTTGAAGGAAATTATGGAAATGTGTCAAAAAGTTAAAGAAAACAAAAATAAGGGACACCCTGAAGATATATATATTCGAAAAGTACAAATTTCGAAAATCCTTCGTAAGTTTTTCGGAATGTCCTGTTATATATATATATTCCTTTTATGTGGCGCGATTTTTACGAGAATGATCTTCAACCATTCTCTAAACCGTGCTTTTTTTTGCAAATGATCTTGAACAAGCAAAACATCCAAAATAGAAGGGATCAAGATCGGTATTATTTTGCTAAATCCTTTCGAAATTTTTCAAGTTCAAATATTCAAGCTCAAATATATTTTAATTTTGAATTGAAAGTCAATGTGATATTTTTGTTCGATATACGGAAAGGTTTATCTTTTATGATTATGGAATATAAATAGTATTGTTGCATTTTAATGTTAACAAACTCTCTCTTACAAGGATTTTATACAAATTTTTCGTAGATTGAAGAAGGGTCTTTAAATTTTACAAATTTTACATACATTCTCAACATGATTTTCCCACTAATTTGTTCGAAATTAAGCTCAACCAAGCTACATGTACTGGTCTCGATCCTTATTTTGAAAAAAGAAAAAAGAAATTGAATAAAGAATGCGATCCTTAACGAAAATTGAAGGAACTCACGATTTGAGGGATGATAGCGAGAGAAACGACGAGATGTTTCTTTCGTAAAGTTGAATTTAAATGAGACACGTTAATGGACACACTGATTACTAAACTGCAACTGGTGATCTCTGGAAGACGAATGTTACATTGTGAACCAGAATTCACATGACTGGATGAGCGAGCGAAAACAATATTTCCTCCCCGAATATTGGATGCGTATACGTGTACACACTTTGACGAGAAACAAAAAAGAAAAAAATGAAATAACAGACAACGGTAGAGAGACAGGTGTGTCAAGGGATAACAGTGCAAAAAGGAGTAGGGCTGGCTAAAAGATCTCGAGATCAAAAGATAGAGTCAAATCCCGCTGGAAAAGCGAAATAATTTCAGCAAGGCACGCCGCGCAAGTTTTAATACATGAATATATCGATTGTTGTATCAACAATCATCTATATAATAGCGCTAAATCGCAATCATATTGGTTGTTGCACGAATCAATTATCGCGGCGAACATCACGATTATTAGAAATAGCGGGATTTGGCGGCGATTAATGTGATATGCGATCCCGCGCCTGTCTTTCAACGAAGAAACGGAATTTTCATCCCCATTTTTTTCCCTCTTCTTTTTATATTGAACAATATTATTAATTTAAAAGTGCGAAAATTTAATATGCAGATTTGTACAAATATCGTTATTTTGTGACTTTACCGAGATAATTCTCGGTTTTATAGTTCTTTCTAGATCATATACGGAACGGAATTTTAACAACTTATAACAAATATATCAAATTTTCCATCTTGCACAATCTAAATATTTTTTTAAATTAAAACTAAATTGTTTCAATTTTTCTAATGAACGATTCAACATTGAATCTTTATTATTTTAACATGTATATAGTACAGATATATATATACAGATATTAAAGAGATATATACGAGATGTAACAGAGAATTATTATAATTATTATAATTACGTTAATGTAATTGCAGTTGCTGGTTTAAAACTGAATGAAATAAAAAGAAATAGATTCTTTTCTTTTGAACTCGACAAAAGTGTATTAGATTGAAAGACCGAAAGGCAACAATATCTGTACTTCCCAAGTTGTAACATTTACGACGACGATTGAAGTTGTTAACAAGGTAAATTCTAATATGAATCTTCATGAAAAAATTATTTTTATTTTTATTGGGTAGCTCTACTGATGTAAGGATGGAAATACTTTGATGATCTAAGATCGCGAAATCTTTAGAACGCGTAGATCAGAGTAGTGCAAAAGATTAGATTAAGTTAAGTATTTATAGTATTTTCAAAATTATATTTGAAACAAAATATTCGGCAATTTCAATGTAATTTTTATTACTTGAAATGTTTGCAATTCGTCTAGTCTTTGCGGAAAGTAATCGATAACATATGCATACGCGATCACTTGCAGATACCTAATATCTCTTATTGAATCTGACTTCAAATCATATATTTAATTTATTTTAAGATTTTCTTTCGCTAAATTAATTATTATGTATTTGACATATTAAATAATAAATTGGTTGCAAAAGAAAAAATTTGGGGAACAGAAAGATAAGAGAGAAAATGAAATAATGGAAAATAGAAGGACAAGTAGAAACAGAGAAATTATGTTACATAAGAACCGAATGAAAAGAGAAAATTTAAACAAAAGGAGAAGAAACGAAAAGGAGGAAAGTATCGTATATAAAATAGAAGATACACAAATGAAGAAAAAAATAAATAAAAAAGAAGAAAGATACTAAAAAGCGACGAAGAGTGATAGAGAAAGGA